TCCAGTCAAATAGATGGGTGATGTAATTTTAAACCCTTATAATAAAAGAAGCTGAACTCAGTTTTTTTTTCTACTGAAAGTCGACCCATTTTTCCACAAATCTGGGCTATAAACTATAAACAGATGGCGTCTCTTCAGTGATCTGCTCTGTAAAAATTATTTTTATAAAATAATACAAAGAGCGTCTAAGATTTTTGGCTTTTAGCAGTAAATTGTAAGCATATAGCAATATGTGTATCATAATAAAACAAATGTTCTGTTAATTTGAGGGGAGTTTTTACAAAAAATAAATAAATAAATAAATATTTACATTTATTTCATGCGGTTGCTCAATAATTTGTCTTCTGATTTGGTCACGTAAATTAAGATGGACAAACCAAAATATACCCTGGTCAATAAGAGGTAATGATGATGATACCCAGTGTACTCAGAAAAGCATATCGTACAGTAATTTGTCACTATAGCAGTATTATATCATCATATCACCCACGCTTAAGGGAATATAACCGGCTCCTTTGATGAGGTTTGGGAGTAGATGCACTTGCTGTGCTCTTGAGGCCAGGCACTGTTGTACAAAGGACGTGCTGGCTGCTTCAGTCTGAGTGCCTGAGCTTGTGCGTGTGAGTGCTCTCTGGACTGGTCCTTGAAAGAAGCTGACCTCAGGTCAACCCCCATCCTCTCCTTTTTGTTCCTCAGTCTCAGTGATAAAGAGACCTCTTCAATTATTCATAGTGAGCGAGCTGCAGAGTGAAGACAGTAATAGTAAAGACAGTGATTTCATTTTCAAGCAAAGTCATGCTTAAATGGTTCTTTGCATGGTGAAGCTGTTCCTGAGATTGATGTGTTGTGTATGGTTCTATATAGCACCAAAAAGGGTTCTTCTATTGTTACAAGCTTTCAAAAAATAGAACAATAAAAAATAGAACCGTATACAACAGATTTTCCATCAGTCTGAAGAACCATTTCACCATGCAGAGAACTATTTAACCATGAAATATTCATGGTTTTGTGTGTATATATATATATATATATAATGGGTGTGTGTGTGTGTGTGTGTAGAACCATGAATATGGTTTCCTTTATTAAAGAACTCTTGAGGAACCATCATTTTTAATTATGTAACAATTAGCAAATCATTTCAAATAGTTTTTTTTGAAGTACAGTACAATGAAGTACAGTATTTGAAAGTAAAGCAGTGCTGCATAGTGTCCCAATCTAACATTATGACCACAACTCCATGTTAGCCCCAGGCGCGTCTCCAGAAAACGCTACGAGGACATGATTAACTAGACTGGTGGACTGAAGCTGTATAATGTGCATTTCTCCAGAGTTCAGAACGTTCCAGTGCGAGATATTTTATAGAAATTAATAAAAGTGGCTGCCAAAGCTCTTAAATGATAAACCCATACATGTATTTCAAGCTCATGTCAGCTTCTTATTCGCCAGCTTCTCATTTGAATTTTTCGTTCCGCCTTAAATGTCAGCTTACCTTAATAAATGAATTAATTTACATCAGTAAATAATTCCTAATCAACAAATACCTTAAACTTTCGCTTGTAAATGTTTACTGAGCAACTATTGAGCAGAACAGCGAAGCTATAATCAGCCGTTGAAGCTGTTGAGCTCATCTCACTGGCTGATCTAATGCCGCGTCCCAAACCTCACACTTCTGTACTTAACCTACTACACTAATGAGCGCACTTCTAATGGTATATGCACTGTTTTTTGCATACTATTTAGTGTGCTGCTATGCAGTTTGGGACGCAAAAACGATAATGCAGCATCTGCATTATCAGCCATTTACAGTTTAGCTTTCGCTTGTTGTCACTACAGCAACAAATCAAATGAAATCAAGTCAGTACACTCAAATATTTTAGTTAATATGCTTTAAAAATGATATTTAGAAAGTGTTTTTAAAAACGTTTAACTTTTTCTGCCTTTGCTGGATCTGGTGTGGCTTGTTATCTCATTACAAACTGCTACAGCGCTGCTACATGAACTTGACGTTACCTGCCAAAATGGCGGCAGCTCGATTGTGGTGTCATTGGAATACTAGCAGTTTTACATTAGAGAATGTAAATGTTGTTAATTGCTTAAGTTTGACTATGTAATTATGTCTCTACGCTTAAAATAATGCAGCTAAACGATGATAATTCTGAACTCTTCTATGCATTAATTGTAATTATAGTGTAACCGTCTCGTTTTTAGCGACATTTATTACCAAACGTGTGAAGAGACCATTTGAGGAGCTAAAGTTGCTTCAGAATGAAAAGCTGACAGACATTATCTGTGGATCCTCCCTCAGCAGCGGCTGTTTAATGCTAAAGTTGAGCTGATGCTGCAGAGCTCTTTGCTGCTTTATGCTTATTCTGCGAAAGCGTGCTGCATATGCAGAGTCTCGTTTTAAATAATGCAGAGATGTCTGTTGAAAAAAGCTCAGGCCCTTCTTGCTGAAGCAGCGAGTAAAAGCCAAGCCTCGGTGCTCTTTGGAGGACAGGTATTAATTATGTGTGCCTCTCTGATTTCATTATCTTCAAGGCAGGGCCGAGTCACTGTCGCAGGATCGGGCCCTGAGATGCACTGTAAGGGCTGTGTTGTGTTACTCTGAGGATTCTGATGAATGTGAGCAGCTACAGAGTGGATATGACGAGAAATGAGCGTTTAGCTGAGCATCCGGTAGTAATTAGTTCCGGATCGTTCATTGTGAGCTCCTTACAGTTTTGTAGCAAATGAGCTCAAACGTATTCATTATTTACGAACTGGTAACTTAGGAACTCTTCATTTTTAACACACTGACTGCAGCAGATATATATGACACAGACACGGCCTCATTAATGAGCCTTGATTGGTGTCGGATCAGATCAAATATTCTGTAATATCAGCTTGTATTCACAGCTTATGCTAAACATTACCTTATAGCAGGGGTCGCAACCCACATGTTAAGAAGAGCCATTTTGTCCTTTCAACAAAAATCAAACCACCTTGGGAGCCACAACATTTTATGTCCATTTTACCATCTTGGCTGTTAATATGTCTCAGTATGTGCTGATGTTCTAGTATAGACTAAAAAATATAAAATAAATGAAAACACAGACTTACTTTACTCTGCTTTAAGCTTTAGCTGAGCTGTAGCCACTTTTCTCGCATCTCCAGCAGGAAACTTTTCCTCAAAAGTAGAAAAGTAGAATGGTTTCTTGTAAAATGTCTCTCAATATTTGACTTTTTTACGAGGCTCAAGTCACCTTCTAACTCGTCTAACTCGTCAAATTTTCCCATTCTACCTTAAATGGTGCCTGAGGGTGTAACTGCTGTACCATTTAAGGTGGAACGGGAAAATTCGAACAAGAAGCTGCCGATTTCAGCTTTGTGACTTTTTAGTGTTTGACAGTTTCTTGTTGCAGATTAAACGTATCAGGAAACCAGCTGGAGTGATTATAAACACTAATAAGTCCATTCGCCTCCAAATTATCGATGTTTGTATTAAATCTTTCTCTTTGTGTTTTCATTAGCTACTAGCTAGGCGATTGCAATGGTGTTGCTATGGTGACCAGCAGTCTGCGCACTGATCTTCAGGGTTAAAGGGTGAATTAGCAGTTCTACATTAACTCCAGAGTTTAAGACCATTTATTGTTAAACTGTGTTGAACGATCAGCAGAGCTTTATTTTACTGTAAAGGAGGATTATTTTATTTTTACCTACAAATCTGATTCTGCTGTGGAGCCACAACAGGGCAGTAAAAGAGCCGCATGTTGACCCCTGGCTTATAGTAAGGCTGTAATGATTTTGATACATATTGAAAAATCTCATTTGAAACAATGTATAGAAATTTAATATAATATTTATATGAATCATTCTACCAAACTGGTTCAAAGTCGAAACACATTTGGGACTTTTAACTGACTTGGACTTCAGACTAAAATCCTTTTGCTTTGAATGACCCTATACCTTGTGTTTATTTTAATAAAACAAATTATTGATTGTTCCAGTTTGTCATCATATTGCGCTTTCGGTAGTGACAATTCTAGCTCATTTTGAGCAGAACTCAAAAACGCTAGCGAGTACATGACTAGTAAACCCAGTATAACAGCTGTACAGCAGTATTATTTATTTAAAAAAACGAAAAAGTTTACTTAATTGCAAGAAAATATGTGTAGTGACAGTTCTTAATGTTCCACACTGATTTTCAGACTTTGGGACACATTTACTTCAAACATTGGGATCTAACTGCTCACCATGTGGCCAAGAGAGACAGGGATGCCTCACTTCCTGCTCTAAAATGCAGGTGTGTGGCTAAAATAAGGCTCCGCCTACTGACTAAAACTCAGTAGTGTTGCGGTAGTTACATGAAAATGTGGGAGAGAATTTTATTTATTTATTTTTTAACTTAAAAACAAAACTAAATCTTTCAACTCCACTTAAAGTCAAAGAGATTTTTAAAAAATATTTGTATTTCCAAAAGTTCCCAATAGAAAGTACCATATATGATTTTGTGTATATTTAGCTTATTACTAATTAATACCTTGGGGTAAATAAATCATAACATAAACCTTGTAAATATCTAAATAGTAGTTTTTTTCTGTGTGACTGTAGTTAGGTTGAAATAGAGTGGTCCATATATCAGTAGAGCTCTGTAGAGTCTATAACATACTCAGAATTGAAAATCATATTGAGCCTGAAAATAGATGCGTTGTTATGCACGTAAGCTGTGCACTTATATTGAGACACCACTTCACGTTATGGAATCGAATTTTATGTTTCACCTTATCCTGTAAACTGTTTAACATAATGTTAAACAAAAACCTAAGTGAGCTGCACATATAGGCACAATAACACTTATAAAAGGAGGAGCACTATTTAAAATGTACAGTGCAGTAATAATGCTAAACTTCTCTCAGTGCCAAACCGTCTAGAAAGTTTTCATTTTTGGTTCGTCCTTGTGGAAAATTCCAGAAGCAGCCTGCAGCTCATTAAATCCATCTGAACGCTCTTTGTTCCTGCAGGCAGCTGCTGACTACGTGAAGGCGCACCTGCCCGAAGCCCTGAGGCAGCAGCTGCAGGTGTATGAGCGAGAGAAGAAGGACAGTCCGCTCTCCTACGCCTCCATCCTGGAGCAGCGCATCCTCACTGTGGACCGAGACATGGTGGAAAAGTTCTCCGCCTCACACGAAGAAGCAGGTAGCTCAAATAGAGGGCTGGACAAGATAATACTGTGTGTTATGGCATGTGTGTCCTTAAATAACATACTTTGAAACTTTATATAAAATAATGTGTATAAAATGAAGATTTTTATGGAGGCGTGTTTATATAAAAATACATGTGGTGTGAATCAATCAAAAATGACGTGAGTAAACACAGCGAAACACCAGCAACACTGAAATGAAGCACTGTTTAGACTATAAACTCTTCCAAGGCGGAGCTGTTGGATTGTTTTCCCCTTTCCTTCCTCCCTTTACAGGCACTACGTGTTTGGTGGCTCTGTTGTCTGACCGGGAGTTGACCGTGGCTAACGTGGGGGACTCCCGTGGTGTCCTGTGCGATAAGGACGGAAATGCGGTGGCTTTGTCTCATGACCACAAACCCTACCAGCTAAAGGAGCGCAAGAGGATCAAAAGAGCAGGTAAGGAAGAGGACGCCTCAGTGCTGCCCTCATCTGGATATATGTAGTAAATACGTGAGTATTTAGAGCAGTGAATTACCCATCAGTGTTTTGATATTAAAAATGCATTTTTATTTGTAGCTTTGTTGACTTAAAAAGCAGAATGAAGACCTCTCCACCATGATGATGCCAAAAGTATCGTAAATCAGGGTCTCAGGCATCAGGCAACAAATTTTCTGTGTAGTAGCTTTTAGAGGCATTAAACATTAAACAGTTTGGACGTCTGGTTCCTATCGCCACCACTGGGAACAATTCTAGGTCAGTAAGTTTCTCTAGAACGGAGCGTTTCACACCAAACCTCGTACAACTGAATTACGGAATTATGCCGAAAGAAAAAAATCACTGGAATTGGTGGAAGACCATAAGACCAGGTTTGGCATGTATTAATTCAAGGGAATCTCCTTTCAACCAACAGGTGGCTTCATCAGCTTTAACGGCTCGTGGCGCGTGCAGGGCATCTTGGCCATGTCCCGCTCGCTCGGCGACTACCCCCTGAAGAACCTCAACGTGGTCGTTCCCGACCCGGACATCCTGACCTTTGACCTCGATAAGCTGCAGCCCGAGTTCATGATCCTGGCCTCGGACGGCCTGTGGGACGCTTTCAGCAACGAGGAGGCCGTGCGCTTCGTGCGCGAGCGGCTGGACGAGCCACACTTCGGCGCCAAGAGCATCGTCCTGCAGTCCTTCTACCGCGGCTGTCCCGACAACATCACCGTCATGGTGGTAAAGTTCAGGAGCAGCGCTGGCGGTAAGACAGGGGAGTAGAGCCCTCCATCAGGCCCCGCCCACTGAGCGTGTCAATGCAAACCTCAGAGGATAAGAATATTTTTACGCAGCTCTTTTATAGACGTATGCCTGTGCATGTATGTGTGAATACATGCTTACTAAGGATACGATCAACATTGATTCTTGCCGCTGTGCCAAATGGACACCGTTTAAAACTTTTTGGCTGCTTTTTTTTCCTTAACGTAAACCACTGGACATTGAAATGAAGTTTTTTTTTCAAACACTCATTGAAAAGAGCAATATTAAGTGCAAATCAGAATGCCTTGGCCATGCACGTATTTTTTAATAAGGAAAATGTCAAATTCTACCTGAACAATTCACTAGAATCTGTATTAATTTACTCTAATGCTGCTTGTGATGCCCTACCAACACCCATGTACGGGTTACATAATCAAGACTGTGGTTATTAAATGAAATGACAGACGTTGTTGCTTTGCATAGCACATTTGCTGCTGGTGGTAAAAGGACACTGTAAACTGGACTTAGTAATATTTAATAATACGTATTTTAATATGGTTCATTTCAGTCCAAAACTCTACCTAAACCCTAAATGGACATTTAGTAAGGCTTTACTCGAAGGCTGTCTGCATCGGCGCTTTATAACACATGCGTAGGTATTTAATAACATGTTTTAAAAGCAATACTTCAGCATTTGTGATCTTATGTCAGTATGACTTTAGATTTTTTATCAAGTAAATAACTGAATTTACTGAAATGTGTTCCGTTTATAACACTGTTATGAAGACCTTAGGCACAGGCCTAGTTAAGAACATCATATATTGTATCAGTTCTGTGAAAGATGCCCTCAAACTAGAATCATATTGGGAAAATATATATGCACAGTGGCCCTCATTCATCAAAGTTGCGTACAGTCAAATCTGATTATAAAATGAAAGCATGCAAATTTCACAGTCCTGTTATCGATCAGTTTTATCTTTGGTGTATTTGTACAATTTGAGTGTAAATAAATGGACAAAATGCTTGATTTGCATTTAAGTAACCAAAACTATCATCAATAAAAAAGAATAAATATAAAAATTAACAGTAATACCGATAATTCCAACGCACAGCAATCCAGTACAAAAGTGGATGTATTAATTAACATTAACAATACAAACATTAACAGTACAAAATACAGTTAGTGCAGAAGCATCTTATACACTTCAGTAGTACAGCGTTTAAATATGATAATCACACTACACAATCACATCATCCTACCCTATTAAAAAAGTGTTCTTTTTGTGTATTTCACATTTTATTCTTTCATTGTAATTTTGACTCTATAAATTTTGGTCAGTAGGGGGAGCAGTGCACTCACTCCTCAACCTCAAACTCCGCCTACAAGCACAGCTCATGTGCCACAGAATGCTGTCCTTATTTTGGCTGCTTACTGAAACATCTGCATGAATTAGGGCGTGCTTCATGTAAATGATATGTAAATGAAGTGCAGGTATGTTGACGCTTGATTTCACGCACTGACACTGGTTCATTATTAGCGCAGAGCAGTTTTTGGTGAAATCTGCGCTCATTTTTATGCAGCGTTGGTGAATAAGGGCCAATATCACGTAAGCTGATACTGATTCAGTATATGGTGCTTTTAACTAGACTTCTAGAAGTTGTGTTACATCAGAGGTCGGCAAACCAAATGTTAAGAAGAGCTGTTTTGTCCTTTCAACAAAAATCAAACCACCTTTGGAGCCACAACATTTTATGTTTTACCATCTTGGCTGTAAATATGTCTCCGTACTTGCTAATGTCCTAGTATAGGCTAAAAAATATATAATATAAAAGAAAACACAGACTTACTCTGCTTTGCTTTAAGCTTTAGCTCAGCTAAAGCCACTTTTCTCACATCTCCAGCAGGAAACGTTTCCTGCAAAAGTAGAACAGTTTCTTGTAAAATGTCTCTTAATTTTCGACTTTTTGCGAGGCTGAAGTCGCTTCTCATTCGCCAGCTCCTTGTTCGAATTTTCCTGTCCTACCTTAAATGGTGCCTGAGGTGTCAGAATGTATCTGCGGCACCATTTAAGGTGGAACGGGAGGATTAGAATGAGAAACTTTGAATGAGTCACCTTGGTGACTTTTTAGTGTTTGACAGTTTTTTTGCAGATTAAATGTATCAGGAAACCAGCTGGAGTGATTATCAATGCAAATAAGTCTTTTTGTCACCAATTATCGATATTTGTCTTAAATCTTTCTTTTTGCTGTTTCGTTAGCTACTAGCTAGGCAAGATGGTTGTCTGCGTTGCTAGTGTGACCAGCAGTCTGCGCTGATCTTCAGGGTTAAAGGGTGAATCAGCAGTTCTACATTAACTCCAGAGTTTAAGACCATTTATTGTTAAACTGTGTTGAACGATCAGCAGAGCTTTATTTTACTGTAAAGGAGGATTATTTTATTTTTACATACAAATCTGATTCAGCTGTGGAGCCACAACAGGGCCGCATACAACTTTGGAGCCATGTGTTGCCGACCCCTGCGTTACATGGTTATGATGCTTCAAAATAGCGTTATAAATGAAACAAATGTTCATGTCAACACAGTATCATTTACTTAATAAGTGATAAATACCGACATCTTGTAAACAGACGTAAGCTCTTCATAAATACTCAAGTATTGCTTTTGTAGTGCTTATGCGTGTCTTACGAAGTCCTTGTGTAGGCGGCCTTCAGATGAAGCGCTACTGAACATTCTTACTGCTACACAATGCATTTATGAACACTGAACCTACTGTATACACGTTTATTAGCGTCTCTGCATCTGTAGTGTATGTTTTCTTTGTGTCGTCTAAAAGTGTTCATTACCAAACAGTTTTCTCTCTGATGCTGCAGAGAGGCGTGAGATGGTCTGCAGCTTTCAGAGCTGGTGCTTCAGGCTGGAACATTTTACAGCATCACCTAAATGTTCGTATTGCTGGGATAAAACTACACTACTACATTCTGCATGGCCCATTCAGAATCACAGCCAGTCTAGATGACCAGACTGTAGTCCATCTGTTCCTCTGCATACTTTGTTAGCCCCCTTTTACCCTGTTCTTCAGTGGTCAGGACCCCCATGGACCCCCACAGAGCAGGTACTATTTGGGTGGTGGATCACTCTCAGCACTGCAGTAACACTGACGTGGTGGTGGTGTGTTAGTGTGTGTTGCGCTGGTCTGAGTGGATCAGACACAGCAGTGCTGCTGGAGTTTTTAAACACTGTGTCCACTCACTGTCCACTCTATTAGACACTCCTACCTTGTCAGTCCACCTTGTAGATGTAAAGTCAGAGACGACAGCTCATCTGCTGCTGTACGGTTTGTGTTGGTCATCCTCTAGTCCTTCATCAGTGGTCACAGGACGCTGCCCACAGGACGCTGTTGGCTGGATATTTTTGGTTGGTGGACGATTCTCAGTCCAGCAGTGACACTGAGGTGTTTAAAAACTCCAGCAGCACTGCTGTGTCTGATCCACTCAGACCAGCGCAACACACACTAACACACCACCACCACGTCAGTGTTACTGCAGTGCTGAGAATGATCCACCACCCAAATAGTACCTGCTCTGTGAGGGTCCATGGGTGTCCTGACCACTGAAGAACAGGGTAAAAGGGGGCTAACAAAGTATGCAGAGAAACAGATGGACTACAGTCTGTAACTGTAGAACTACAAAGTGCACCTATATAGTAAGTGGAGCTGATAAAATGGACAATGAGCGTAGAAACAAGGGGGTGGTCAGAATGTTATGCCTGATTGGTGTAAGTAAATAGACTGTCCATTCATTTAATCACAGCAATACAAACATTAACAAAATGTTACAAATAGTAGCTGTAAAAGCTCCAATCAGGAACAAAAAGCATCTTAGTTTATTAATTGCCAGCATGGTAACTGTACATATTGTGTATATAATAGTGGGCAGTCCTGTAGCATCGCTCTTCCACTCATAGCTCTCCTGATTGGAGCTTTAGGTGTCACTGTAGTCACTGTACTTTTTGCTGCTGATCAGTTTTTGTCACATGACTACAACAATGTAAATGTTACCCCTTTTCAGAGCCACGTGGTTTTCACCAATAGTGCAGCCTTTTGATAAACAATAAGAAGATTCAGTTGTGCGAGAGCTGTAAGGCATCGTGGTTTGTGGTATGTATGCGGGTATAGAACCTTGAGGCAACTAGCCGAATAAAAATGCCTTTTGTTTTCAAATAATGCACTGCTATTACACATCATGTTCCCTAAAACTGTTGTTTTGTGTCTTTTTGTGTAGACCAGTGGCCTTTGGGTACCACTGCCCTGTCCATTTTAGTATTTTTCTGCTCAAACACGTCACCTCAACTCTAATTCTAAGTCTTAATTATCATAAGTAGTTGCCAACGCATTTTGGAATAGTAATTGTTTCTCAACTGCAGGTCAGTGAAACAGGTAGTGAACCTTCAATCCAGACCACATGTGCTGTAGATGGTTCTATATAGAGCCTTTAGTGGCATTCCTATGACCACCACTGTGAACAATTGGACTCTAAGGCTCAATCCCATTTCTTATTTTTACCCCTACCCCTTGTTTTCGAGTGTCACCCTAACCCCTTGGAACTGAGTTAGTGGTTAAAATCTTCCCTCTGAAATGGGACCCTCAAATAAAAAGAGCATCACTTCATTAACAGCTACTAGCGCTGCTCTGTAGGCGACCCTGCCAGTCTGCAGTGACAGCAGAGGAGGGTAAAGTTCAGCTCCTCACTGCTGGGCTTTAGTTACATTTAGGAATCATATGACTTCAAAGAGGGGGGCAATTATTTATTATCACCCACCCCTAATTCTTCAGTGATATGAAGCTGAAGTCAGATATTCACCAGCTTCCTGTTCAAATTTTCCTGTTCCACCTTAAATGGTGCAGCAGTTCTGGCGCTTCAGGTGTCAGAACTACTGGACTATTTAAGGTGGAATGGGAAAGTTAGCTAGATAGCTACTGAAACATTAGCATGCTATTAGCAATTTTTATGCTTGTTATGAAGAAAAGGACCATAATACACTGAAACAACGTTAAACTAAGACAATACAGTGGTTATCGTAATTTTTGATGGAGAAAATTCTCACATTTGTGTGTTTCGGTGGTCTCTTGCTCAGCCATCTTGCCGGTTTTTCTCTTTTTCTCATAAAACTCTGTTATGAGTCTCTGAAAAACCTCCGTTTGGAGGGCCATGTAGCCCTAACACTTCACCCTACCCCTCCATCTCAACAAGAATTGGGACACATTGCCCCTAGACGTGAATGCGCAAAACAGAGGGCTAAGGGCTGAGTGGTAGGGGCGAGGGGTGAAATGGGACAGGGCCTAAGTTTCTCCAGAACAGAGCGTTTCACACCAAACCACTCTGAATGACTTTGTTTACATCTCAACCATTTAATTCTGCAGAATTTTTGAAAAGCCTGGCTGAAGGACTCGTGCGTGAGGGACGCTTGTGTGCATGAGTGTGCATTTGAGTGTGCGTTTGTAAGGGGCAGCAGCCTGACCATATGTCGCCTCGCTTATTTGAACCGAAGAGCTTTGGCGTTGACGCACGGCTGCGTTCCTGACAGTCCATGAGTGACACGCATTCCAGCACGGCGAGGGTGTCGAGTGGAGCTTCTGAAATAGCATCCGCATTGTAAAGCCCTGCACGCTGTTGAGTCACCTCCTGTTCCTGCTGCTTACAGAAAGCGGCCTCACATCACCCGCCGTCCACTCCGTTACTGGAACTGACAGCCTGTGACATCACCATTAACCCAGTTGTTTGTGTCTTTGCGCATATAAAGAAGGCACAGCTCTCCAGCCTCAGGATACAAGAAACTCGGTGAAGACAAGCTGACCAAAGAATATAAGAATGGGTCAGTGCAGCTCCGCGTCCACTTCTGATAATCAGCTGTGCGTTGGACCAACTAGAAAAACTCAGCAAATATGTGAGAAGTTAAGCAGGTCCTTCAGGTCTGCGCCTGCAGTCCAGTTCATTGGATGTAGAATGTGTGGCATTTCCCAGGAAAAGAGGTTTCCAGACATCTCCTCAAAGCAAACGGAGCCTGAAGTGGTTCGGAAGAGCAGGAGGAGAGGCTGCGACTGCGCAGGACTCGTTTTTGTGGAGGACATCGCTGGAGGAGTTTGGATAAGTCCGAGGGAAAGCAGCGAAAGGACGTGAGAACGAGAAGCTCACTTCTTTTGGTTTTCCTGGAGGACGTTTGCGGTGGTGCTGACTTTGGAACGGTCGATCTGCCAGCCCTGAACGTCGGACGACGGCTTGACGACCCAAAGTGGAAAGTTCCTGGAAGAGGGGTAGAACCAAGTTTTGAAGGACGGATCACTGGATGATATGTCAAGTTCCACTGGAGTCATTTGTTCAAAGTTTATTTTTTTAATTCTTATTTATTGATTTATCTCAAGATACCTTGAATTATAACTCAAGAAGTTTTCTTTCTTTCTTTCTTTCTTTCAAAATCTTGGGAACACATTTCTGGTGGACTCATTATGGATTATAGGACTGGTATTTTTCTGCAACTCCAAAATGTTTTTGGGAATTCCACTATAATATCCAGGGATCTCTCAATATTAGACCAAAATATCCACGGAATTTATTGTGAATTCTTTTGTGCACTTATAAGTGCCATTCCTACCATCATTTTGGGCTCCAGGCCAAACTTACTCTATTTTATTTAATAAAAACAATTAATTTTAATTTAATTTTAATTTATTTATTTTTCCTTATTAAATAATAATGCTAATTGACAGGGATGTGAATATCCTCATCTTCTTTAACTTGCATACGTATATCTGAAGGACTGTCGAAGGAGGGCGTTTTGATCACTTTTGCATCACTAGATAATGTTGCCATATGGCAACAATGACTTTTCTCTGCCTATTTTTTTGCCTGACTACAATATAAAAGTATGATTTTGTTCTTTTCCTTTGGTAAACTGAAGGCTTTCTGAGTAACATGGTAAACTTTTATCTGATTATACGCCTACTTGTAATTCTTTTTTCACACGTCGCATGCTGAGGCCTGGCATCTGAAGTGCTGAAGTATCAGTATAACTACTGAACCCTCTACTACAAACGTTATGAGAGCAATTTAAAAATATGTATCCGATTCACTTTTCTTGCATAAAATTGACCTGATTATTGAATTCAAATCATTTTTTAAATAAAAATGTGTGCAGGGGTCCTTTCAGGGTATGTTGCCTTGACTGTCGCACAATGTTGCTTCTGGGCAACAGACATAATTCTGCAAATTCACATATCTAAAAAATGATACTGAATGTTAAAAAGAGGTTTGAAAGTGCCCACTAAGAGATAGCATGACCAAATACGTGCTTTTTTTTACTGACTTACTCAAACTCTGCCCTTTATTGTTAACCCTGTCAGTGTCCTTAAATATGTATGTTATTGTAAAGTGAGGAGAATGTTTGTTGCCCTGAGGCAACATTGTGCAATAGAGGGTTAAAGAAAAAATGTAAACAATCTGTGGGAAATCTAAAATCCTTTTTCATAAATAAATCAGTTTAGATGCTATGGGATTTATATAAAATGATAAAATACATTTGTTGCCATATGGCAACATCATGAACCAAGGGAACTGCAATCTGCAATGCAGAAAATGGGGTGGGGGTGGTAAATGAATACATTACCATAGGACACTCTAGATGTAGACTATTCTGTATTCGTAAATGTGCATAAAGGGCTATTATGTGTATGATTTTATGCATATTGGTTTACTTCCACTGGATGCATTGTAGGTTTCAGTTCCATTGTGACTTGCTGTTGCCATATGGCAACAAAATGCTATAGTGCCATTTTTTCAATGAGAATTTCATTTTATTTTAAGTGTTTGTGCTCGTCTACCACAACATACATATCAAACTCATGTCTAACTTGATTATATGCTTGAGTAAAAAAGCCAACCTGTTCTATCAGATGATTTTCTGAATGAACACACAAAAACGCAGTTGATGATTTCTAGAAACTCTCAACACTGCTTGATTTGGGAGGTGCTGTCATACTTTGACCTCAACCCGACGCCTTATCGCAGAACTCTGAGTGTAGATAAGTGTGCAAGGACATAATAAATCAACCAGTAACAAAATACAACACACTGTGTACACAGGCAGCAAAAAGGCCCGGCAGATATTCGCGATATTGAAAATGGGTCTGAAGGGGTCCAAGCTCCCTGAGGCGAGAGTCCTCCTCCTGGGTCTTGACGGGGCTGGCAAATCCACTCTGCTTTACAAGCTCAAATACAACGAACGCTTCCAGACCGTTCCGACAGTCGGCTTCAACGTGGAGATGTTTGACGCGAAGCAGAAGAGACGGAAGATCACCTTGACCGTCTGGGACGTTGGTGGCCAGCAGATAATGAGAGCGAACTGGAAGAACTTCTATGAAGAAACCGCTGGCCTTCTGTTCGTGGTGGACTGTTCAGACAAGGGACGTTTAGATGAGGCCAAACGTGAGCTGGAGCACATCCTCAGGAGCGAGGACCTCGAGGAACTGCCTGTGGTGATCCTGGCCAACAAGCAGGACGTGGGGGGAGCCTTAACGGCTACAGAGCTCACGCAGAAGTTCAACCTGAGGAAGATGTGTAGCGACAGGAACTGGTTCGTCCAGCCCTGTTCGGCTGTGTCCGGCGTAGGACTGGAGGACGGTTTCAGGAGGATGGTTCACTTCGTGAAAACCACCGATGATGCCAATATTAAAGAGACGGTCAAGTATTTACGATCCAAGTCAATGAAAACGATAAAGAAGTAAGCGTGGTGGTGATTTTATTCAGTTGATGCCGTCTGGGATTTTCTGCACTCTGGAGTTTCACTGGACATTCACACGTTCAAACGGACCAGTCATTCATAAATTCAAGTCATGTGCAGATTAGACCTTTTATGGTAGAGCTGCTGATCAAAGGGCAAGAATATTGGACAGGAGGGCCCAGTCACAGTTGGATTTGCCAGCGAAATTTTGTGGCACATTCATTTTCAATGGAATTTGCCATGATGAGAGATTTTGCGTCACAGACTTGTGGGGTGAATAAATTTCGTCTGTGAAACTTCACATCAAGTTCAACGTTGGTGAACTCTAACATGCAAATTTGCAGGACTGAACAACCGTGTTTCTGCTTTACCTCTCAAGATCAATATTGCAGCTCTGAAGATCCAAAATGTAGAAAACGCCAATTTAACCAGTGTTTTAAAGGTGCAGTGTGTAAAATTTAGAGGGATCTATTAGCAGAAATGGAATATAGTATACAAAACCATGTTTTCATTAGTGTATAATCACCTGTAACTATGAATCGTTGTGTTTTCATTAGCTTAGCATGAGCCCTTCATATCTACATATGGAGCGGCACCTCTCCAAACAGAGGCTGCCATCTTGCTCCGCCATTTTTCTGCAGTAGCCCAGAACAGACAAACCAAACTCTGGCTCTAGAGCACCTTATGCACTTTTACTCTGAAGCAGCAGCTTGAATTTGGTGGCGCTGTAGCTCCAGTTGAGATGTAAATAGGAGAAGAATCAGTGGTTGCTGTCAGTGCTGGCCGACCATTTTGTGTCATGAGAAGTTTGAGAACCAAAAAGTGACCAACGGACAATCATACTTATTATTTAGCACAAGATAAAGCAAGGGAGGGTGAGTCCTCGTCGTTAAAGAAGCAAAAACCTGACGGCAACCATAGGTTCTACTACACGCTTGGAAAGGAAGGGTGAGGGTTATAGTTGCTTGCAATCTGCAACCTCACCACTAGATGCCACTGAATCTTTCACACTGCACCTTTAAGTTAAAACCCTTTTAACATTTCTTTCTGGCTGTAAATAAGCACATAGAAGAGAGACTGCATGATACACAGTCGATCGAGAGACTGTGTTTTTGTCTTAGTTGTGTTTTTGCTGTTTACGGTAGCTGAGTTAACCTTGCTAACTGCTATGTTAGCTCCTTGGCTAACTGCAGCTCCACACAAATCACCCGTCCAAGTTGTGTACGTTTTTTGGTAGTGGAAAAAGTCAGCGTGCAGCACTAAACTATCACGAGTGCATAATTATTTGATAGAATTATGTTCACCTTCATGTTTTTTACTCTTTAGCGAGTTAACTGGCTTTCTCCCTGCACAAATGTGGAGCACCAATCTTCTGGACGAAGCTTGGTCCAGCGTACGTTGACGCAAACTGCAAATGTCTAGTGTGACTGACTTAAAATATCCTATCTGAAATGAGTCATTTCCATCATGTGAGGAGTGAGCCACCCATGAAACACTGGCAAAAAGCAATGCAGGAAGCAGTTTAGAGTGACGTTCAGTGACTCTGCTTTGGAACCGGGATTCTACAGACAGAACGTCCTGTGTCAACTCATAAACTTTCAAACAGCTCTTCTAACTTTGTAACTACAAAAAAAATCGAGTCTATCCTGTAAATCAAGTCCCATTAGCACATTAAATTCCCAGACTCTTTACATTCTAAGGCTTATTACTTAGCAATGACATGGGTGACATTGAAGAATTCATCATAAAGGGGCCTAAAACTAGCATTTAATCTCATGTAGTTTTCAGATTTTTGTCCGTGTGTTCGTTCACTACAATTCCCAACATGCATGACACATTTACATCACACAACCACTGGGAACCCCTAGGATGCTCAACATATTGTGGCTGCTGGACACTGATCTACCTGCTAAAGTATGGTGTGTATAGTGTAGCAACTTTACAGCCTTGTTTTATGCCCCATGGAAGCCTATAAGACTATTTTTATGATGCATCTTACTGTAGAAACACTCCCAAAAAGGCAGACAGCAATTCCCAAAACTGGAAAAATGTAAAAGCTTCGCAGTTAAAACATTCCCTTAAACATCCTGTAGTCAAAGTGACGCACATTCACAAAGACCTCGGTTCCACAATACATCTAGTCTTCAGATGTCATGCTGGAACCCTGATATCAAACCAAAAAATATAGGAACAGAACATTTTTCTAAAACACATTTTAAGACCCTGATATCGCTGCAGAAGGAAGGAGCCTGACTGTCATTTTAAAGCAAGCATTACATTTCTGTGCTTACAAAGCAAGAGCCTGTTTACATTCCCATATAAGGTTATTTACTGCCACTGGAATAATTCCACCCTTGAGCATAAGTACTGCATAACAGCTCAATACCTGAACAGGTAATTGCAGTATACAGTCGTCTGTGCAACATAATTAAAGGGAAATTCCACTAACTTTACTGCACAATAGAACAGTTAAGATATTCAGAGTGGTTTGGTGTGAAATGCTGAGAAATTTTGAGTTGGAATTGTTCACGGTGGTGGTGATAGGAACCAGACGTCCACCTATAAAAGCTCCCTCACAGAAAGTTATTACATGGTTACGTATACAGTTTTGTGATAATCCTAAATGTTTATATATATATATATATATATATATATATATATATATATATATATATATATATATATATATACACACACACACACAGCTGTTGTCAGAACAAAACCTTGTATCTCTTTACAGGAGAAGGAAAAAACCTACCTGACTTTCAATGTAAGTCAATGGAACTAGAATTCTGGGCTGTTTATTTTGGTCTGTTCATAATAAATTTACACACAATGTAAAGGACTACAATCATTTTCAAATTATGTCAAAAAGATACAAGGTTTTGTTCGACAACAGCAACATATTTGTGTTGTAGACTTTCTGACTACTGGTTCCCATCACCACAATCATGTAAACTGGGGGGGGGAAATAAAAAGATGCAGTAATGTATACAAATCAAGGTTTTATTTGTTACAAAAAGTCTAAGGCTGACAAGATAGAAATAGAGCACATAGTTAAAAAAAAGGCACAATAAATTACCGAGTTCCACTGCTGTGCCACAAAAATACAAAAAGTCTTTTATCCACCAAACTTAAGCATCGCTAAAGCACATCTTAAGGCAGACATGTTAGTCTGATGTCTTTATAAAGACACCTATCAACACTGAGCTGTCCAAGCCAGAACCACAAACGACTTAATGTACATGTACAAAACCCACTACACGTAAATTCTTATTGTACTTCTGTTCGAATTAATGCATCTTTGTGGGCACCCGAATTGAGGAATCCAGTGAAAGGAATCCATTTGAGTCCTGGTTTGTAAGGCATTATAACGTGGTACTGGTTTTGTAGCAGAACCATTCTGGACTGCTGCTGGTTATTGTACAGGTTATGGCAGTGGTTAAGTCTTTTCCTCCAGCAGAAATGTCACAGGAGCAGGAAAGATACCTGAAAAGAAAGAGAAAGCATATTTAACCAGCCCTGATATTTAGTGTATAACTCTTACAGGGTATCGCTGCAAGCCACCTCACAGTAAATTTACTATAAGACTTTAGCCGCAATTAAAGAGAAAATGGACAATACCAAATATATAAACTCAAAAGAACCAAACCTATGTCTGGGGTAAGGGGGAAATACTTTTTCATTTCTTGAACTTTCTGCATAAATAAAATACTAAAAGTAATTCAGAGTGGTTTGGTGTGAAATGCTCAGTTCAAGAAAACCTGGCATCAGAATTGTTCATAGTGTTGGTGATAGGAACCAGACGTCTGAAAATTTTAATGCATCTAAAAAGATCCATCTCAGAAACTTCATTATACGTTCTGTTATGTTAAAGACATTTTTTCTGATAGCTGCAAGTTAAGATTTAGGCCGAAACAGCATTTTTAAAAGCTATTCGTGGCAAAGGAATACATGCACTGTGTTGTTAAGAGGTAAAATAAATCTACGTTTGTCTATTTTACCATCAACACTACATATAAAACCTCAGTAGGCACGTGTAGGTTCGCTGGTAGTTTGGGATAGTAAATAAAATGGCTATATTTGTATTGTAGACATTGAGACCCCTGGTTCCTATCACCACCACTGTAAAGAAATCTGAGTATCAACAATGAACCACTTCACACCAAACCACTGAATGTGTTTACACTGATTGAATTATGCAGCAATTGGTGGAGTTCCCCTTTGAGGGCTCCAGTATGTAAAACATCTCAAATGGTGCGTTATGTGATATGACGACTAACAGGGCTCACCAATGGCATTTACACACAGTGGGACATCAGACAAAAGAGCAAAGCTTCTGTGTCCTGAAGGGGTTGGTGCTTGAGGAGACACCGGTGAGCAGAGGGTCCTGAAGAGCGTTCTGGATACAGAACTGCTGAAGCTCGGCTGCAGCCTGAGACACCTGAAAAATATGAACATTAAACTGATGCATGAAAAGCAGCACAAGAGAGCAGCGGAAATCAGCCTCTTCATTATGGAGGCTGAACCAACTCAGCAGACTTCCTGAGCTTCCTGAGGTGTTACCTTAACATACACCACAAGCGAAACCCTCTAGCCTCTCCAGATTGACTCTAGGACACACATTTCAGACAGTCTGACTGTTGTTTTAACATCTTCCTCAAAGAAAACGCCAATACATTCGCTTTTAAACGAACCACGAAGCTGAATCTGCTTCTCGAACTTTCCGTTCCACCTTAAATGGTGCAGCAGTTTCGGTCTGGCGCGCCATAATAAAACCGCGGCACCATTTAAAGGGGAACGCCACCAATTTTTTCGAATTTTCTACATAATGTAATGGTTATGATGCGAAAAAAGCCATTCAGAGTGGTTTGGTGCGAAACGCTCCGTTCTAGAGAAACGTACGAGTCAGAATTGTCCATAATGGTGGTGATAGGAACCAGACGTCCTCTTCTAAAAGCTCCCTCACAGAAAGTTATTATACAAATCCTGAACACTCAACCTAACTAAAAGGTCTAAGAAACTGCTTTTATTATGTTTTTTAGATAAAATTTTGCTTTGTTAATCAACTTATTTTAATCCATTCATGGCGGAGAGATACAAGTAAGGCGTTGTAAGACTAAACAGTACCAAAACCAGTATTATTTTCACATTTCCCACTATTTTACCATGATCACCATCACACATACAAACTCAGAAGACACGTCTAGGTTCGCTGGTTGTTTTAAAAAGCGGGCAGTAAATAAAATGCCTATATTTCTGTTGGAGACACGGCGCCCCCTGGTTCCTATCACCACCACTGTAAAGAAATCAGAGTCTCTACAATGAACCATTTCACACCAAACCACTCGGAAATATTTTCTTTAGATCGCAACGAGTGAATTATGCAAAATTTTCTTTTAAAAAATTTGGTGGAGATCCCCTTTAAGGTATAGGACAACGACGCCAACTGTAGCTCCGTTGAGAAACTAAGCTTAGCCGCACAGCTAACCTGGCTAGCTACCCGTAGCTCAACGCGGCCGACAGAAAACGACACCTGGCTAAGTTTTTGCACAAATAAAGAACAACTAAAGCTAAAACTCAACGCGAGCGAGCTACTCCGTCACTAAAAAGGGTTTAAATGATCTTTCCGTCGACGGAGCGGACCGACACGCCCTTATCCGGCTAACCGGCTAATGCTAACTAGCGGCAAAAAACAAAGAAACGGCGCTAAAAACGCTTCTCACCTTCACTCTGTTTATGTTCGCCTCGAAGCGCAGCTGCTGTACGACTTTCTTCATCGCGACGATGTTGCCCGAGGCCGACATTGTGGTGAAAACCGAGCGGAGGAAAAGAAAAGCACAGAACTAAAAGCCTGAAATGAAGCGCTTTTTCCTGCTACGGGAAGCGACGAGGCTCACGTGAGAGAGGCGGAGTCAGAGCGATCACGCGAGTTCTAGGGCTGGGTCTCAAAAGGCTCCCTACTCCCTTTGTAGTGCACTACACACCGACCAGCCATAGCATTACAGCATTGTCAGTCCACCTTGTAGATGTAAAGTCAGAGACGGTAGCTCATCTGCTGCTGCACAGTTTGTGTTGTGTCTCTAGTCCTTCATCAGTGGTCACAGGTCGCTGACCACAGGACGCTGTTGGCTGGATATTTTTGGTTGGTGGACTATTCTCAGTCCAGCAGTGACACTGAGGTGTGTAAAAGCTGCAGCAGCACTGCTGTGTCTGATCCGCTCAGACCAGCGCAACACACACTAACACACCACCACCACGTCAGTGTTACTGCAGTGCTGAGAATGATCCACCACCCAAATAGTACCTGCTCTAAGTTGCCCTTAAAGGGGAACTCCACCAATTTTTAAAAAATTCTCCAGTTAAAAATGATTCAGTCTTTGAGATGTAAACAGAGTCATTCAGAGTGGGTTTGTTATGAAATGGTTGATTTTAGTCTCAGATTTCTTTACAGTGGCAGTGATAGGAACCAGGGGTCACCATGACTACAACACAAATATGTAAATATACACATAACCCTCCGCCATGAATGATTAAAAATAAAGGGATTAACAAGACCCTGTAGGCCAAAACCTTATCCCAAAACAATCTCTCAGGCCTCAGACATTGTATTCACAACCATTTTGTATAATACCTTTCTGTGAGGGAGCTTTTAAAGGCATTAAACTCTTTAGACGTCTGGTTCCTATCAAAACCTCTGTGGACAATTCTGACTCTGTAAGTTTCTCTAGAACTGAGAATTTCACACCAAACTGCTCTGAATGACTTCGTTAACATCTTATCCATTTAATTATGTAGGGATTTTGACAAATTGGTGGAGTTCCCCTTTACGCCAGACTCTAGTCAAAGCAATTATATGTGTTTTGCGCAGGAGCGCCCCCTGCTGCTTGCTTGTGAGTATGAACTACTCATGAGCTAAAATATTTCACCTGGATTTTTTCTATTTATGCTTAATATCAATTAGTAATCAGATGAATAACCACAGATTTGAAGTTAATAACTATATCATCTTCAATGATGTTGGAAAATGTAGTTAAGCCGCTCCTACAAACCCTGACAGTGTCACTATTGGCCATACAGTCTCTATAGGCCCTCACTGTCTCAGTCCTGCTATGGTAACCCTGCTGTCCAATGAGAGCCCGTCCTGCTTCAGACGGCAGTGAGCGGATTGGCTGAAACATCTCAGTCATCAATGATTGGTGAACTTTTTCAAAACACCTTGTCTAAACAACACTGGCTCTCAGTGAACAACATGCTGTGTAGCTCCATCAGCCTCAGACTGAGAGTGGATCTGTTCTTTAGCTGGATGGTTTCAGTGATTATTGTACCTGATAAAGAAGGTTCTGCTCACAGACGGTTCAGAGAACTGACCTAAAATGTTCTACTACCCTAATGTGCTCAATTACAGAACCGGCTGCTTCGCCACCATCTGGTGAGTCTCCTTCTCTGCTTGTTGGTGCAATTACAGTCTTAAAAAGAGGTTCTTTAAGGGTTCTTCAGTAAAGTATTTAGAACCACAAGTTCTATATGCAACCATTTTATAAAAATGGTTCTTCAGATTGGTGGAGAATGTGTTGTATATGATTCTGAAGGGAATCTTTTTGAAAATGGTTCTAGATAGCAACAAAAATGGTTACAAGCTTGACATTGTAACAGTAGAGGAACATTTTCAGTGCTGTACACACTCAAAAAACGTGGTTCTTTAAGGCTTCTTAAGTTAAGGGAATGGATCTGTTTAGAACCATGAGTTCTATATGCAACCATTTCATTGAAATTGTGCTTCATAATGGTGGAGAATGTGTTGTATATGATTCTGTATGGAATCTTTTTGAAAATGGTTCTAGATAGCAACAAAAATGGTTATAAGTTTGACATTGTAACAGTAGAAGAACATTTTTGGTGCTATACACACTTGAAAAAGATTCTTTATGGGTTCTTAGCACCAAAAAGGGTTCTGGTATTGTTATGATGTCATGCTAGTAACCCTTTTTGGTGCTATCTAGATCCATTTTCAAAAAGGTTCTATATAGAAACATCTACAGCACATTCTCCATCAGTCTGAAGAACCCTTTCATGATGCAAAGAAAGCTTTGATCATGCAAAGTGTTCTTTGAGTGTCCATGGTTCTATATAGAACACTTTTCTTCACTAAAGAACCTTTGAAGAACCATCTTTTTGCTGTATAGAGCCATTTTCAAACAGGTTCTATGTAGGACCATCTACAGCACATCCTCCATGAATCTGAAGAACCATTTCACGATGCAAAGAAGAACCATCTTTTGAAGTGTGTACAGAACAATTTTCAAAAATATAGAACCATCAACATCACATTCTCCATCAAACCAAAGAACCATTTCACCATGCAAAGAACCATTTAAGCATGAAATGGTTCTGTATAGAACTCATGGCTCTAAATAGAACCTTTCCCTTCACTAAAAAACCCTTGAAGAGCCATCTTTTTAGATGTTTAGAGTTTAGACTGACTTCTTATTCAGGTTTTCCGTTCCACCTTAAATGGTGCAGCTCTTCCATTCTAGCAGCTCATCATGTGGGTTCTCTTATACGGTTCTCTTATAACCGTTCTCTGTCGGGTTTAAAGTTTATGAAAAAATGGGAACCAGTCTTGTTAGTCAGGGCAGCGTATATCATAAAGCAGGATTTGTCAGTTAGCCAGATAACTGAAGCCCAACAATGAGGACTGTCCAATAGGAATGTCCCTCTGGTCTTTTCTTATTGGACTGGCTTGATTTTAGCCAGATAACTTAAAGGACAATTCCACCAATTTTTCAAAATTTCTGCATAATTCAGTGGTCAAGTCATTGAGAGTGGTTTGATGTGAGATTCGTTTTAGGGACACTTACAGACTCAGATTTCTTTACAGATTTCTTTTATTATCCCAAATCACCAGTGAACCTACACGTGTCTTCTGAGTTTATATATGTGATGATAATGATTGTAAAATAGTGGAAACCATAAGTTTTCTTTGGGTACTATTTTGCCTTAGAACACTCTTCATGTATCCCTCCACCATGAATGGATTAAAATACATTTCAGACCAAAATTTTATCAAAAAAAAAAAAAAATCATAAAACAGTGCCTCAGACATCAGGCTGGATATTATAAACAGTTCATGTGAGGGAGCTTTTAGAGGTGGACGTCTGGTTCCTATCACCAACACTGAACAAATCGGACTCTGTAGAATGGAGCGTTTCACACCAAACCACTCTGAATGACTTTGTTTACATCTTAACCATTTAATTATGCAGAAATTTTGGTGGAGTTCCCCTTTGAGATATCTGGCTAAACTGCTTTGTGAAATTGGTTGTGTTTTCTCCAGGCTGGCGGCTACCAAAGGCAGGAAGGTTAGCCGGAGGGATCTCCTGAAGGTCAACGTTCAGCGCACCTGGTGAGGCAGCTTTGAACTAAAGGAATCTTCCATTTCAGTACAGATCGTCCACTTATTAGAAACTTATTATTATTATTATTATTAGAAACTCTGACCATGTACTTCCACTCACTGTCCACTTTGAGCTCCACTTTAACTTATAGGTCCACTCTAAAGGTCAGCCCGTCTGTTAGAGCACAGTTTGTCCGCACTGAGGAAGGAAGGACTAGAGGATGACCAACACAAGCTGTGCATCATCTGTACACCAGCAAGGTGGACCCTCAAGGGGAGGGTTTCTAATAAAGTGGCCACAGAGAATTAGTCAAGAAATCCCTGTATGGATTCTCAGCTGGAGTTTCAGCTTCACGTGATTCACTACAGAATAAACTGGACTCCTTCAACTGTCCACCTACAGAGAACCCCTTAAACTGCTCATTAAGGGCAATTCTCGAGGGAATTTGGTGAAATTTTGATGTAATTTAATGAGATTGAGAAACAAAGTGATTCAGACTGGTTTGATGTGAACAATTCTGACTCTGTGAGTTTCTCTAGAACGGAGCGTTTCACACCAAACCACTCTGAACGACTCTGTTTACATCTCAACCATTTAATACGGAAATTTTGAAAAATCAGTGGAGTTCCCCTTTGGGACTTATTATTCAATAGCTGCTGTACATTATTTGGGAACAAGGCGCACTGCGAAACTAAGTTATGTGCACTCTTAAAAAATATGGTGCTTCAAGGGTTCTTTCGTAAAGAAAATGGGTCTATATAGAACCATGAACACTCAAAGAACCCTTTGCATGATTAAAGGTTTCTTTGCATCATGAAAGGGTTCTTCAGACTGATAGAGAATGTGCTGTAGATGGTTCTGGATAACCTTTTCGAAAAATGGTTCTATATAGCACCCAAAAGGGTTCTTCTATTGTTACGATGTCACACTTGTACCAATAGAAGAACCCTTTTTGGTGCTATATAGAAACCTTTTTCAGTCTGAAGAACTCTTTCATGATGCAAAGAACCGTTTAATCATGCAAAGGGTTCTTTGAGCGTTCATGGTTCTATATAGACCCATTTTTCTTTCATTTACTAAAGAACCCTTGAAGCACCATATTTTCTGAGAGTAGGTATGAGAGTGAGTGCCACAGACTGACCCTTCAAAGCTTTAATTGCTTATTTGAGACTGATGCTAAACTTGCTCTTACACTTCACTCTGCGCTTACAGCAACGACATCATGGACTACGTTCTGGTGCGGGTTCCTCCTCTCTCTGTGGGTCTCCCTCGTCCTCGTTTCTCCCTCTATCTCTCCTCCCAGCTGCAGTACGGAGTCGTCCTCATCTTCCACCAACAGTGCCAGCTTCTCTTAGGTGTGTATGAGAGAGAGTGTAACGCTGTTGTCGAAGCAAAACCTCGTATCTCCAAAATGGTAACTTTACAGGAGAAGGAAAAAACCTACTTTACTTTTAATGTAAGTCAATGGAACCAGACCATTTTTCAAAGTCATTTTGGGTCATTTCTTGAAGTCCATTCATCATGAAATTTACGTACAATGTAAAGGGTAACAGTTGTTTTCAAATTATGTCAAAAACTGAAAAACGACAAAAATTGAGATACGAGGTTTTCTTCCGACAAGGTTGATCAAGAAAGTGCTTCACAATGGAAAAACAAGGGCAGTGTCACTGATGCAAAACACCACTGTTATGATACACCAAAAGCTGTTGGAGTGCTAATAGCTCCCCCTTGTGAAGAATCTTCAGCCTGCTACGTGCTACATCGTTTTTTAGGGTGAGAGAATTCTAGCAGCTGAGTTTTGTAAATACTGAAGAGGGCAGAAAGTTTTGTAGGGAACCCCAATGAGAAGGGAGTTACAGTAGTCTAAGTGGGTTGATATGAAAGCATGGACCAGAGTTTCAGTGTCTATCATGGAGAGCAGGATGCGAAGACGAGCAATATTACACAGATGTTTTGAACAGAGCCTTAATATAAGGTTCGAACGAAAGGACAGGATCAAAAAGTGCAGGTTACGGACTACAGTTGAGGGCAGTTACACCGTCCAAATGAAATGTGAAGTCAATTTGCGATAACAGATTTAGAGCCAATGAGTTTTAGAAAGTTACTCTGCATCCATTGTCTGAGGTCTTGAATACAGGATATTAGGGGTGGCAGGGGTGGCAGGGGTGGCAGGTTAGTGGTGGTGTTGGTGCGGATGTAGATCAGTATATCATTGACATAACAATGAAAATAAAGACCATGACGGCAGATGATCTGACCGAGGTATACTTAAATGCCTAAGGGATAAATTTCAAATTTAAATTTATATGTTTAAACTGTAGTCCAGAAACTCAGGGTCTAAAACTTACAATACAATTACTTATTATGTAAATAATATGTAAAACTTACAATTATGTATCTTCCCCCCACTTGAACATTTCCCTAAAGGCATTTTAAGTAGCTCATTAAAATAACCCCTTAAAATTGCAGGCTTATTACATTCTAAGGCTTATTATTCAGTAACTAAAGGGACTTCAGTGTAAACTGGCTCAGCTATTCTTAGGTTATAGAAGTGTGTAATAAAACTTTGGGTTAAGGAGTTAAAGGCCAAAATTCACTTAAGATGTCAGATGGTCCATCTGAAAATGAATTATAAAAACAGGACAATGTAGGAAAGACCTACACTTAAATTCAGTACAGCGAATTAAATCACATCAGCTGCGTTAGCTGACGTAAGTATTAAGAGGTAATAGTTATGATCATCTAAAGGCTCAAATCACAAATACATCATTTGAAAATATCATTTGCCATTAAAAACAACTCTGAATCAACATAACAGCCCAGTGTGAATGATTTACTTTGGGAAATCAAAGTTTTGGGCTACAGATTCTCATTGTGTTAATCAGTTGAATCAGTTGTGGGTGAACGGTGGTCCAGTTATGTCTGCTGTGTTAGGAAGCTTCTTGTCTGTATCTCTTGCTGTTATCTCTGATGTTATTGTAATGTCTGTTGATGAATTTGTCTCAGAGGAGATCCAGGAGGCCATAGACAGGCTGCTTCGCTACCGCAGACAGGTTCAGATCGACATGCTGCCGGAGGAAATCAGGTCAGAGGTCGCCCTTTATGTACAACTCAGCGTCCTCTCTTCTTCTCTTCTTTTGATGCTTACTGACGTTGCCTTTAAAAACAAGAGCTATTCAACATAAACCTCCAGAACTCCGCCTTCCAGCTGGCTTTACGTCCACTAATTACGTCCACTCAGCAATAAAGGATTTCCAGGTTGGTTTTTGCAGTGTGTCATTGGTATCTTCAGACAGAAGACTGGAAAAGTGGTCATTTGAATTGACATGATTTACATGATCAGCTCAGTTCTTTCCAAAAGAAGTCAAGTCAAATGCAGCAGTTGTGTTGATGTGATGTGTTTTACTGATGTAAAACTGATCCACACAGCTAATTACACCCTATTATAACAACTACCTGGCAACCATCTGGAATACTATAGCAACCGCCTAGCAACACCCTAGCAACCACCTTGGGTACCATAGCAACCGCCTACCAACCACCTGGGATACCGTAGCAACCACCTAGCAACATCTTAGCCACCACCTAGGATACCATAGCAACCGCCTACCAACCACCTGGGATACCATAGCAACCACCTAGTTAAACCTTATCTTTTCTTCTGTGAGTTTATTGGCTGGTTGCAAAGCAGAAATCTGATTACTGTCTGACTCTTGTAGACCCGGAGTTTCACATTATCTGATTACCCAAGTGAATGTAAACACGTCGATTGGATTACTGACAAAATCTGATTTTCTGCAGTTATCTGATTATTAAGTGCATGTAAACACACTCGCTGTGCCAGCTTTTGCGTAACGCTATGAGGTGCAGAACTGTGTTTTTTTCTGGAGCAAACATGCAGCGGCAGCATGACAACTTTTACTGAGGTTTGTCATTGAAAGACACTTTTTTAATGTTCAGTAGTATTTGGCCAAAACCATAAAGTATTGAATTTTGATACCCAGTCTTAATTATAATACAGGAAAAGTAAAATATTACAGTCGAAGCCCAAGAATGTGATCAAATACAAGCTCATGCGTTTTTATCCATTTCAGGCAGCATCACACCCTTCCTGACGCTCTGTCTCTTCTGAATGAGACGGAGGGAGCGAGGGATCCGTTCTTTGGGTTGATGGAGTTCGGCCTGCCCAGTCCAAGCAGCCTAATTCGGGTAAGCGTTTGCATGTTAGCACCAAGCTAATGTACTAATGTTAAGTTTTCTTGAGTTTTGGAAGCTCCTGTTTTTTCACTTATTATCCTTATTATATTATTATCCTGCGTCGGGTTGGAGTTTTTCAGACCACATCATACGTCTTTATGTATCAACGTGACCAACACAGGCTCAGAAAGAAGGTCCGGCTCGATATTTAGGCCTCTAATGCAAAATCAATAGTATTCTGATGAAGAGACACTATGTGGCCAAAAGTATGTGGACACGGTCACAAATAGACAAGCTTGTTGATTGTCCCATTCCAAAACCATGGACCTTAATATGGAGTTAGCCCCTTTTTGTGGCTACAACAACCTCCGCTCTTGTGGGAAGGCTTTCCAAATTTGGAGTGTGTTTGGGGGAATTTGTGGCCATTCAGTCAACAGAGCGTTCATGAGGTCAGGCACTGATGTTGCACTCGGCAGCCCTGCTCTGTGAGTTTGCGTGCTCTACCACTTCGTTGCTGAGCTGTTGATGCTTCTAGATGCTTCCATTTCACAGTAGCACTTACAGTTGGCTGGGGCAGATCTAGCAAGGCAGGAATTTCACAAACTGAGCTGTGGCAAAAGGTGGTATCCCGTATCCCCATTCGGACAGGATTAGTTTTACATAAGGAGGTGATTATAGTGCCATCTGAATGCGCAGTGTCAGTCATTTTTACATGACTGCACACTTCTGCGTCAGTAAAAAGCCTTTACCTTCTAAAATGAGCCATAAAACAAGCTCAGTTTATATTAATCCTGTGTGAATTTACATCCTGTAGCTTCTTTTTTGCCAGCTTCTTGTTCAAATTATTCTGTTCCACCTTAAATGGCAGTTATTATTATAACACCCAGTGCCAGAGTGTAACTGCAGCACCTTTTAAGGCGGAACGGGAAAATTCAAACGTGAAGCTGGCAAACAGGAGGCTGACTTCAGCCTCATTGTTCCTTGAGGCTAAAATCAGGCCGATATATAACGTTACTGCCTCACGTGTACAACTCAGAACATGTAAAGCTCATGTCTGAAGCACACCCCACGGTACAAAGTGTTCTTCCACATGTTGTGTGTAATTACACATTTCCACCAGAGAGGGCTCCAAATCCCCAAAACTTACATAGTGTAACTTTAATGGATATTATGACTGGAAAATCACTCATTAAAGGTGGTCTCTGACATTTGCACTGTACTTTAGGTCAGTTTATTTCCAGTTGTATCAGTTTTCCTGCTGTGTTTTGTTGTTGGCGTCACTGTTCTAAATCTCTTGTGTTTGATTGACAGCTGGCTGAAGAAATGGAGGAAATTTCACCCGAGCGTCTGCTGCCGGAAAGAGGAGCGACTCCGCCTCCAGATGGTGAGTAAAAAACGAGTCCCTTCAGTAACGGATCAAACAGACAGTGGGCCGATTACAGTCAGTGCTGAGCAGTTTGGATGAGAGCGCACTGAGATCAGACTGAGTGTATGACTGAAAACAGAAGTGAAGGAGAGGCAGTTCAGTTCAGTTCAGTTCAGTTCAGTTCAGTTCAGTTCACTGATCACTGATTTTCGTGTTTTCCTCTCTGCAGGCATCACAGCCAGTCAGGAGTCCATCACTCTGACAGAGACAGAGCCCGTCGCTATGCCTGAGCCTGAGGTACCGCTGTCAGTCATCAGCATCGCCATAGCAACCCAGCTTAGTTACAGCAGGTCACTGGGTACTGAGACAGAGCCAACATGAGCCAGTGCTGTAGACTCACTGTACTCTTTCATTCTCTCATTCACTTCATCTTCCCATGTCTCACTTTCCTCCTCAATTTATTTCCTTTTCTCTCTCTGTCTCTGTTTCTGTCTCTGTCTCTCTCTCTCTCTCTCTGTACCCTTTTCTTTCTGTCTCTCTCTTTCTTCTTCTTTTCTACTTCTGTTTCTTTTTTTATTTCCTTCCTTCTCTCTCTCCTTCTCTTTTTCCTTGCCTTTCTGTCTGTCTCTCTGCCTCTCTTTCGTTTTCTCTCTGACTCGTTCTCGCTGTTTCTTTCTCTCTCCCTTTCTTTCTCTCTTTCCTTATCTATCTCTCTTTTCTTTCTTTCCCATTCTTTCCTTCTTTCTTTAACTTTTTATCTCTCGCTCTCTCTTTCTGTCTGTCTCCACCCTTTTCTCTCTGTCTCCGTCTCTTTCTCCTGCTCCTTCTCCCTTTCCTTGTGCCTCTCTCTCTCTCTCTCTCTGTCTGTCTCTACCCTTTTCCCTTTTCTTTCCATCTCCGTCTCTCTTTCCTTCTTTATCTCTCTCGTTTTCCTTGTGTCTTTTCCTTTCCATTTCTGTCTCTCTCCCTCTCTTTTTCTCTGTTTCCTTTTCTCTGTCTCTGTCTCTCTCTCTCTCTCTCTCTCTCTCTGTCTCTCTCTCTCTCTCTCTCTCTCTCTCTCTTTATGCTTAGTTTGAGGGGGCGGAGCTACAGGAGTTTGATATGATTGACATGCTGCTGGAGCAACCAGATCATTTCCCTGAGGGTGAGGAGACTCCGCCACTACAGCGCCACCTACTGTGGATCTCTTGATGTTTAACAGAAGAGAATGAAAATCAAAAATGACAATATTTACACTATTATTTACACTAATATTTACACTAATATTTACACTAATATTTTCCTGTGAATCCTCCCAAAAACATGAGCAGCTGATTTAAACTAATCAAGCTTAAACTAATTAAAGATTCATGGATAAAAAATATCAGAAAATCTCTTTTCTAGGCGAGGAGGAGAGCGAGAGAGAGCGAGAGAGAGAGGCAGAACGAGAGAGAGAACTAGAGAGGGAGAGAGAGCGAGAGAGGGAGAGAGAGCGAGAGAAGGAGAGAGAGCGAGAGAGGGAACGAGAGGAGGCCATACAGAGAGAGCAGGAGAGAGCAGCAGCTGAAGCTGAGAGACTGAGAGAGTTAACTAGATCCACCATCTCTCTGGAGCCGTACGTCCACCAGAACAACGGACAGAGGAGAGAGAGAGAGAGAGAGAGAGAGAGAGAGAGAGAAAAACAGAGAGTTAAACACTGAAGTCGAAACCTTTAGGATAACTGCTCTCAGTAATAAACAATTATTATGGTGTATATTAATTATAATTTGATGCTAAAATTCTATGACTTCATTGATTTCAGCTGGTTAATAAGAAGAAACTATGAAAAAATAGACATTTTAGAGTCCAGAATGATGAACTGAGCTGTGGATGAGGTTAAAATGATTGAGAAACCTGGAGAACATCATTAATAGTTAAAATAAAATTAATATTCAGAGCAAAGATCTAATAAAATTAGGATCTACAATGACTTTTGAAAAAACTCATAATTAAAATGAGGTTTTCCTAAAATTAATATCCAGAGTGAAGTTATTGTAATATTAATGCTGGTGATAAAAATGTAGTAAAGGAAATATCATCAATAAAGTTCTAGTGAAATTAATGTTCAGGATAAAGTTCTAATAAAAACAGTGTCTGAAATGAAGTTTTAATTAAATTCAAATTCACAGTGAAGTTCTACTGAAGCTAATATCTAGAAGAAAGTTATAATAAAATGTATATCCAGAATGAATTTCTAATAAAATTAACATCCAGGATGAATTTGTAGTACAATTAATATCAGAATGCCTCATATTTCAAAAGTGGTCATCAAAACCTGAGGCTGATAAAATTACAAAATGTTACTATAATGTTTGATTTAGTTTCTAAGTAGTTATCAGAATTACTGCAAATACATAATTACAGTATTACTTATCATTTACTACTACTATCAACAACTACTTGTTGAAATATTGAATGAAATATTCAATCACTTTTCAACTCTAGTTTATAATATTTCATCTGTACTTTGTAACTTACAGTTGAATAAAATAACAATAATATGACGAGTTTTGAACAGTGATGTCATTTTTCTACATGTGTAGACTGTAGTTTGGATGTGGAGAAACCGGCTCTGGCTCTTTAATCATAGCTGTTCTTTCCTCCAGGGTTCTGACCACCGAGCTGTCCAGCAGAGATGTGGCGTTTGAGCCTGAGGAAGCGCTGGGTCTGCCCGCAGAGATGCCTGAACTGGCTGAGAGAGAAATAACTGTGATCCCTGAGCTCATACCAATCCCACCAGCCCCGCCCAGCCCAGAGGAGGAGAGGAGAGAGAGGCGGAGGGAGAGCCCCAGGCTGGAGGTCAGTAAGCTGCACATTTGCTCCAACAACAAAAGGTCTGATGCAGATAAACACTATACAACAGTTAGTTCTGACCACACGCTGTGATTGGTTGTTCTGTCTGTGTTGTTAAATCTGATAACAGCATGTTTTTCACAGAAGACTAGACAACTAAATATAATATAGAAGTGTTCAGTGAGTCACTCTACACTGTTATTCCAGCTTCCGTTCTTTTCAGGAGACTCACTTTCAGTTCCTCAAAGAATCTGCAGACACACCTCCAAAGTTCAGTCTTAGAAGCTGGTTGATCATTTTCTGAAGTAATCAAACACATTCAGTGGTGTTGAGGTCTGGACTCTGGGGTGGTCAGTCCATTGTTCAGCTTCTTTGTTTGATGTGTCCGTCTCCTTGTCTCAGTGAGGTTCTTCTTGACAGCTACACATCCTTTCAGACCCACAGCGCTGAGTCGTCTTCTCACAGTGGAAGGATGGACAGAAACACCTGTGGATGTTTTCAGATCTGAAGCAGCTTGATTTTCTCCTCTCTCTCAGAGATGAAAGCTTTAAGTGCTGTTTAGCTGATAGGATGATCTAAAACTGTGCAAGACACCAAAACTGTCCACTGTTCTGACTGGAAACTAAATAAACGAAGGGTGGTCTCTGACTTTTGCCCAGTACTGTATGTTTATTATTGGCAGATTATTGACAACTAAAATGACCTTTGATCATATTTAGCGGTCTGTGCCCAGTGGAAAGATAAAAATATGGTGAAAAAGCTCTCATTGAGTGTGTTTACATGCGCTTAATAATCCGATAACTGCAGAAAATCAGATTTTTTTCATTAATCCGATCAACATGTTTACATACACTTAAGCAATCAGATCAGGGGGAAACTCCAGGTCTACATGAATCAGACATTAATCAGATTACTGCACTACAACCAGCCAATAAACACACAGAAGAAGACGTGACATAAACGTAATGTAAAACTCAAATTTCATGATGCAGCTTTTTTTAAAAACATTGCACCACTTTACCGAAAATATGAACTTACATCATCTAGAAGATGAAGAATATTTAAATGCTTCATTTCGTCAAGCATGTATTTGGTTTCAGCGTCGCTCCAAAAGTGTTTTGCTGCGTCTCGAGGCGACGATGCTCGCTTATTTCCGGTACTGCCGCACCTGCTCAGACTGAGAAATCCGAAAGAAATCAGAGTAAGAGTTCACATGTACTGAGAAATCTGATTACTGAGCTAAAATCCATTCTTAATCGGATTTCTAGATTGGAGTGTGGTGTTTACATGACCATTTGCATAATCAGATAACTGCAGAAATAAAACAACTTGGGTTGGACATTTTCGGTCAACCAATCAGATTGTGTGGTCAGAACTAACTGCAGGGACAGTCTAGTAATTATCTTCTGGTGTCACTTCTCTCTTATTCTTCTCAGCCTGTCCCGTTCAGCCCTGAGGCTCCAGTGGAGAGGAGGAGGAGGAGGAGGCAGCTGGTCTTCATCGATGAAAACACACAGATACCTCAGGAGGCAATGCAGGCCCAGATAAACGATCCAATGACTGAAACCAGGACTTTGGTAAGACAGTCTAGCCGACAGTACACACATCTTGGTTCCTCTCAGTGATTCTTCCTCATGTTCTTAGGGAGGTTCTCCTTTTGAATCTTGGTTGCTCTCAGTGGTTCTTCCTCATGTTTTTAGGGAGTTTTTTTTAGGCTTGGTTCCTTTTAGTGGTTCTTCCTCACACTCTTTGGGAGGTTCTCCTTTTGAATCTTGGTACCTCTCAATGGTTCCTCTTCATGCTCTTAGGGAGTTTCTCCTTTTGAGTCTTAGTTCCCCTCAGCGGTTCTTCCTTGTGCTTTTTGGAAGCTTCTCTTTTTGAGTCTTGGTTCCCCTCAGTTGTTCTTCCTCACACTCTGGGAGGTTCCTCTTTTGAGGCTTGGTTCTCCTCAGCGGTTCTTCCACAAGCTCTTTGGGAGGTTCCCCTTTTAATCTTGGTTCCTCTCATTGGTTCTTTTTCACACTGTTTATAATTCTGGAGTCTTTGGGTCTTGGTTCCTCTCAGTGGTTCTTCCTCACACTCTTTGGGAGGTTTCCCTTTTAAGTCTTGGTTCCTCTCATTGGTTCTTACTTACGATTTTGGAGAGTTCCTCCTTTTGAGTCTTGGTTCCTTTTAGAGGTTCTTCCTTGAACTCTATGGGAGGTTCTCCTTTTGAATCTTGGTTCCTCTCAATGGTTCTGCATCATGTTCTTAGGTCAGCTTGTCCTTTTGAATCTTGGTTCCTCTCAGTGGTTCTTCATCACGCTCTTAGGGAGCTTCTCCTTTTGAGGCTTGGTTCTCTCAATGGATCTTCACACTATTTGGGAGGTTTCCCTTTTAATCTTGGTTCCTCTCAGTGGTTCTTTTTCATGCTGTTTATAATTCTGGAAAGCTGCTTTAGGCCAGCGACTCTCGCTTTATACAGAATTTACAGAAAAAGCTTTATACAAATCAAATTACACTGAAATTATGAATGGAGCAGAAAACGACCAGGCAGCTTTGTGGAAACCATATCTCTGTTTTCAGTCACTGTAAGCTTTGTTAGCACGTTTAGACACAGACTCATTAAGCTGGTCTTAAAGTCGAAACCCTGCAGAACAGGATTTAATGTTTACAGTTATAATCTCCTGAATCAAACTGGACTGAACAGAACATTAATTACCAAATGCTACATCAGATGTTAAACTGTCTCTGTCCTGTTTTCTTCTTAGGAGAATATTCTTATCAGACCACCTTCTGAAGAGAGTGATCCTAAAACCCTCCTCAGTAACCCCTGCATGAGTGAGTAACCATTCAAACACGTTTCCATACAAACCGGAGACCCGCGAATATGACCACACAGCTCAGATAACGTACTTTCACTAACTCTGAAACACATGATGCTCTAAGGCAGCGTTCACATTACAAGTCCTACCACTCAATTCTGATTTAGTACACAAATATGATCTTCTTGCTTTGATGGTTCACATACAGTAGTCACTACAAAACTTGTATGCATCTATCTTCATATAGTATTAGAATAAACGCAAAAAAACATTAATGCAGTAAAAAGTAACAGTTATTTCTTGTTTTCAAAAAAATGTAGTTGAGATGTTGTCATGATGGTTCCAGATGTTTCTTCAACGCCCCAGCCATTGCATGCATTTGTTAAATTCCATCACCCACACAACTGATTTAACTAAACCACTGAGCCATTTTTTCTTTTCAATATGAATAAAACCACCTTGGTAGCCACAACATTTTATGTCCATTTTACCATTATGGCTGTAAATGTGTCTCGGTATGTGCTGATGTTCTAGTATAGGCTAAAAATATAATGTAAACGAAAACGCAGACTTACTTTGCTCTGCTTTAATCTTTAGCTCAGCTGGAGCTGCTTTTCTCACATCTCCAGCAGGAAACTTTTCCTCAAAAGTAGAACAGTTTCTTGTAAAATGTCTCTCAACGTTCGACTTTTTATGAGACTGAAGTCGCTTCTCGTTCGCCAGCTTCTAGTTCGAATTTTCCCGTTCCATCTTAAAAGGTGCCTGAGGCGCCAGAATGTAACTGCTGCACCATTTAAGGTGGAACAGGACAATTCGAACAAGAAGCTGGCGAGTGAGAGTCTGACTTCAGCCTTGTGACTTTTTAGTGTTTGTCAGTTTCTCATTGCAGATTAAACATATCAGGAAACCAGCTGAAGTGATTATAAATGCAAATCAGTCCATTCGTCTCTAAATTATCAATGTTCATCTTAAATCTTTCTCTTTGCTGTTTTGTTAGCTACTAGCTAGACGAGACTGTTGTCTGCATTGCTATGGTGACCAGCAGTCTGTGCACCAACCTTCAGGGTTAAAGGGTGAATCAGCAGTTCTACATTAACTCCAGAGTTTAAGACCATTTATTGTTAAACTGTGTTGAACGATCAGCAGAGCTTTATTTTACTGTAAAGGAGGATTATTTTATTTTTACCTTCAAATCTGATTCTGCTGTGGAGCCACAACAGGGCAGTAAAAGAGCCGCATGTTGCCAATCCTTGAACTAAACGAAAGGATTGATTGGCCGGACTAAAATGAGAATGGATTGCAATTCATGTGTTTGTGATGTGAACATTGTAACTGTCTCTCAAACCTGACATGAAAAATCTGATTTCTGAGTTCACACAGCACTGAAAAAATCACATCTGTGTACATTGAGACAAAAATAAAGCTGATTTTTGTTGCCTCAATCTACAGAAGGCTGTTGCTGTTTTTCTCCCAGTTTCCTCTCCTTTGTACACAAACTCAGACTCATCTGAATTCCATGATACTTCAGTAAAGTTCCTGCGGTCTTCACACAGGCCTCCCTCCAGAAATCCTGCAGCTGTGGAAGCAGGGCGCAGTCATCCGCCCCATCCCTCCATCACCACGGCGTGAGGTGCTTAGAGAGGAGGAGGCTGTTCCGGAGAGGGAGAGAGAAAGAGAGGAACCGGAGAGAGAGATGGAGCAAGAGCTCGTCCTCAGGGAGGTCAGAGTCCATGGTTTTGGAGAGCGCTAACTTCACACAAGTGCATAATGATAAAAATGGCAAATTGAAGACCTCCCATACGGAAAAAATATATATGGACATATATTTTTAGATATTTGAAATACATTTGAAATACATTTGAAATCCATGCCAAAATACATTCCAAACACTAAAATGTATTTCAGAATATAGTGCCAAATATATTAAAATAAATATATATTAACCAAGTATGTTTTTAAATGAATTAATTTTTAAATGTATGGAGAAATATTACACAAAGAAATATTACACTATAGAAAAATAAATGTATGTACATGTATTTATCAAATACATTTGAAAATGTATGAAAGTAGACAGTATCCTGTCTAATGCACTTCACTGATATCTTTTAAAATGAATTTGTATTCCAGTATCTTAATTTGAAATATTATAAACTAATTTGATATCTTGTTCACTTGAAATACATTTTGTGAGGCTGTTTAATTAAACAAATACAGATACATAATTTTTGTGTTATGAATACATATTCCCAATATCTGCATCCCACTATATCCCAGCACTGCCTGCCATATGTACAAAATAATAAGTTTAGTGGGGCATTGCCCACTAAATGACCCTCTGATGCTGGACCTGATACTCCTGTTGTTTGTCCTTACCTGTACAGGTTCCCAGAGAGATGGTGGAATCGGGCATCTCCCAGTATGACACTCCAGGTCAGATATATTCGCAATAATGCCGTTAATGGGCCTCATTCACCAACTGTTTTAAAGAAGAAGTTTCTTCTTAAACTCAGTTTTTACGTTGATTCTGACATTCACCATGTTTTCTTATTTGGGATTTGTTTTTAAGTAAGAACAGAATCTACACACACTGAAGAGCACAGAGGTGTGAACAGTGCTGTGCTTTAGGAACACGTCAGGAATCTGAATCTAGACTTTTTCTTATTACCTTTCTCAAGAACAAATTTAAGAAAAAACTTGGGAATATATTGGTGAATGAGGCCCAAAGAGTTTTGTTATGAAGTTCCAGTTTTCATGTTCCACTGCATTTCCAGTGTCCTCTCTGGTGATTTTGGAGATGACTGACAGAGAAGTGTCACCGCTGGAGACTCCAGAGATGCGACGGTGAGAGACGAGAAAGACGGAGACTAGAAAAATACTGTACCATTCCTCAGTGCTCTGCAGGCTGATTTTTACTTATGTTAATTGTAGGTTCACCAGTGTGTTTTAATATGTACCAATTCATTTTGCAATGTGTAGTAATACATTCACAATATGGTCATTTTTCTGTATCGTGCAGCCATTTAGTCCACTGTAAAGAGCACTGAAGCAATAAAATTTACATTTTTGAAAAATATTAAAGACATTTTTCCCCTTATCCTAAATGTAGGCGACCAGCTTACTCCAGATGCTAGATCAGTTATTCCAGATGCTAGCTTACTCCAGATGCTAGATCAGTTATTCCAGATGCTAGCTTACTCCAGATGCTAGATCAGTTATTCCAGATGCTATCTTACTCCAGATGCTAGATCAGTTATTCCAGATGCTAGTTTACTCCAGATGCTAGATCAGTTATTCCAGATGGTAGATCAGTTATTCCAGATGCTAGCTTACTCCAGATGCTAGATCAGTTATTCCAGATGGTAGATCAGTTATTCCAGATGCTAGCTTACTCCAGATGCTAGATCAGTTATTCCAGATGCTAGCTTACTCCAGATGCTAGATCAGTTATTCCAGATGCTAGCTTACTCCAGAGGCTAGATCAGTTATTCCAAATGCTAGCTTACTCTAGATGCTAGATCAGTTATTCTAGATCCTAGCTTGCTCTAGATGCTGTATCAGTTGTTCCAGATGCTAGTTTGTGGAGTATAAGTTTCCGTTACTTGTTAGTTACATTAGCGTATGGCGAAGTGTAAAACTAAAAAGCAGACTTGTTCACTACACTTGGGGGGAAACAGGCAGATCACAGTGATGTCAGCTGTCCTGTATTTTGTATTTTTCTAATTAGTAGAATTTCTCCTGTTTCTATGTTTGCAGCTCACCTGTTCTCATGCCTGTTCGTGGTTTGGAGATTATTGAGGAGAGGGTTCCAGATCGACTGAGGTAATGTGACCTAAAATCTTTCTAAATTTGAGCATAAACACGCAGGTTCCTCACTGCCCATCTGATCTTAATCAGTGTCCTTCGGTCTTGATTCTACAGTTGCCTTGCACTCCATAGCTCAGTGCATTCCTTGCTTTAAAAGTTTAGAAATCAATTTTCACAATTGTTGCAGAACTGTTTCTCAGGCCTTTTGAAGGCTGCTGGGTAAGAATGAAGGGGTAAAGACTCTTCCCTCAGTTCTCAACACCCACAATCCACAAACAACAACGTGCTGCATTTCAAAGATCATGAGGAGAAAATTTAAACATTATTTGTTTCAGCTGCCATTTTTTAAACGGTCATTAGTGAGTTTTCATTGCAAGGTAATGCGCAACACTATTGTTATCCTATTTATATTCTTTTTCGTCTTTTGTCCACTAACATGTCCTGCGTTTTTTTCGAGATTTCAACACCTTTCGAACTCTGGAATGTTCGCTCTGATCAGGAATGTGTGTTTGTATACAACTTATTTTATCATCCCTCGTTCATCCCAATAAACTCCCATTCATTTTCAGTAACACCTAGCAACCTCTTGGCAACCCCCTAGTAACACCTTAGTAACCAACTCTTGTTCTATAGCAACTGCCTAGTAACACCTCAGCAACCACCTATCAACAATTTAGCAACCACCCAGTACACCTTAGCAACCACCTAGCAACACCTTAGCAACCACCAAGCAACACCTTAGCAACCCCCCCGGTACACCTTGACAACTGCCTAGCAACACCTAAGCAACCACATAATAACACCTTAGCAACCACCTAGCAACACCATAGCAACCGGCCGGTACACCTTAGCAAGCACCTAGCAGCACCTTAGCGTCCACCTAGCAACAGCTTAGCAACCACCTGGTACACCTTGACAACCGTCTACCAACACCTTTACAACCTCCTAGCAACACCATAGCAACCATAGCATCTACCTAACAACACCCTAGCAATCGTGTAAAGTACCATAGTAACCGCCTGGCAACTCCTTAGCAACCGCTCTTGAATCGCTTAAGTATTTTTTAATTGACCATTTTAAGCATTTCTGTATCCTGCGTTCTCCTGCAGGCCTGCTGTCCTGCGACTGCATCCACACTGCAGATCCTGCTGATATGTTGAACTTCTTAAAAACAGGGCCCCTTTGTGGGCGGAGCCTGAATATGTCATTTAGCTAATAAGTCAGAGCCGATCTCTGATTCACCTCTGGTTTCCAGTGTGTTCTTATATAAAATGACCTGCTGTGCTGGACAGCTCTCTAAACTCACCTTCCTGTTGCAGACGGCTCCCCACTGTGGAAGAGCAAGAAGTGACATTTCACTCTCTACTGCCCCCTGTGGCCAACCGCAGAACTGTCGCCCAGGCTTTTTGGAGGCTGCTAGGTAAAACTGCTGGACCGGTCTGTCCGTCCTGCAGATATATTTCACTAATTAACTTGTTTAATCACCTTAAACTTCAGGCTTATTATTCAGTTATTATGAATTATCCAGTTTTATAAATTATTTAATATTTACTATATATTATTCAGTGACTACAATAAAGTCTTCAATAAATACTATATATTATTTAGTATCAACTATACACAATTCAGTAACTACTATGATTTATTCAATGCATAAAATTATTCAATAATTACTCAAATTATTCAGTAACTACAATGAATTTTTCAGTATTTACTGTGAATTATTCATCGACGAACAAACAGTTCAGTAACTATTATAAATGATTCAGCAACTCCTATAAATTCTATATAAATGCTCAGTGAAGATACTTACAGTCTTCCTCCTGTTCAGCTGCCTCGGTTTGATGTAAGAACTTGTCGTTGTGTTAACAGAGCAGATTGACCAGAAGGTGGTCACTGTGCGACAGGACGAGCCGTATGGTGACATCATCATCACACAGGTGCAGCAGATGGAGGGACAGGTGGTGTGATTTTGTTTTTTATTGCAGATAAAAATGACACCATGAATGTAACAATTTAAAAATTACTGTTTGTTAAGTGTTTGTTGAAGTTTATGGAAAATGATCAAGATTATATTTATAAGTGATTAATTTTTTTTTATTTTTATGTATTTTTTATTTATGACTGCTTTGAAGTTGCATGTGTACAGTCAACCTCCTGTATTAAAGTTTAAACCAGGAATTTAGATATTTTATATAATGGAAAATTGTTAGAATGACTAATTCTTCACTTATTTATTGTTCATAAGTGGACTTATACTATGAACTTATTCAGCTAAAAGGATTTTTATTTTTTTTGTTTACGTTACTTGTTGAAACTGTGAAATATCGTTATTATATTTAGATTATTAAATGTAATATTTTTGAAATGTAATATTATTATTATTGGAAAATGTAATGTAATATTAATGTATTTATTATGAGTTTATGTTCTGAGATGTGCTCTAAGCTGTACGGCTTGACTGTTTTTCAGTTTTCTTATCTATTTTTGATGCCATTTCAAGTTTTATGCTGTAAGGTTAGATTTTAAATTTACATTGTTTTAATTAACGGCTGCAAAAAACAGCATAACTTAATGATACTATTGATATCAGATTTGTATGTATTTAAATATAAGTATTATGGTTTTTACTTGTAAATGGAACCAGAAAACTGTGTGAGCAAACTTAGCTATTTGATTTATTATCTCGAGTTTATTAAGCTCTATTAAATCATTTAAATCTGTTCAGTGTTTTCAGCCGTTTGACCTGCAGCCACAGAAATAAACTTTTCATCAGTCCAGAAAATGTGGAGGATGAGGATCCTTTTCACACTTATGGTAAAATATTTACAGCACTGTACAAAAGTCAGAGACCACCCTTCATTTATTTAAGTGGGGAAAAAAACAGTTTTTAAAAAATAGTTAAACGCTACAGAGAAAATGTGGCTCCTAACAACCACCTGGAAGAGCTGGTCGACACCAAAACTGCCCCCATCAGATAAACAGCACTTAAAGCTTTCATCTCTGAGAGAGAGGAGAAAATCAAGCTGCTTCAGATCTGAAAACATCCACAGGTGTTTCTGTCCATCCTTCCACTGTGAGAAGACGACTCAGCGCTGTGGGTCTGAAAGGATGTGTAGCTGTCACTGAGAAAAGGAGACGGACACATCAAACAAAGAAGCTGAACAATGGACTGACCACCCCAGAGTCCAGACTTCAACCACTGAATGTGTTTGATTACTTCAGAAAATGATCAACCAGCTTCTAAGACTGAACTTTGGAGGTGTGTCTGCAGATTCTTTGAGGAACTGAAAGTGAGTCTCCTGAAAAGAATGGAAGCTGGAATGAAGGGAAAGATATTCTGCTTCTTTCCTGACACTGAAAAATGAATATCTTGTACTTTATGGCTGTTTTGACTGGAAATTAAATAACTGAAGGGTCTCTGACTTTTGTTTTCAGCAAGTGAAACGACGAAACTTTCTAAAAACTTTATTGCACAAGGAATTTGTTTTATTACAAACGGCTGCTTTACAGTTCACACTCACACATCAGTAGTGATATAACACAGTATAAGATTTTTACAGTAGAACAGATTTGGCACAGTAGTACAGTAGGCACTATGTTTACCACAGATCCTAAAGAATTAAATACAGTGCATTACATTTCAAATACAAATTCTTACTTTAAAGTCAGTTTTTTTTACCTTAAACACTGATTCCAAAATAAACAGTCACACACTTTAAAACGTAAGTCTGCTCTAATGGACCTCCTGCACTAAAGTCCTGTCACAACCTAATGATAGGCCTAAATACTATTACATTTCTTAGAAAAAGCAACTGTATTGAAATACCTACTAGAAAATACACATAAATCCTTCAGACGCTCTAGAAGAATGTAATTCAAGCAGTTCTCCATTACTACAACCCCATTTCCAAAAAAAGTTGGGACGCTGTGCAAAAAGTAAATAAAAACAAAATGCAATAATGTGCAAATGATTCAAACCCTATATTTCATTGAAAATAGGACAAAAACAACAAATCAAATGTTGAAACTGAGAGATTTTATTGTTTTTTGAAAAATATCTGCCCATTTTGAATTTGATGCCAACAACACGTTCCAAAAAAGTTGGGATGGGGGCCTGTTTACCACTGTGTTTCATCACCTCTTCTTTAACAACACTCTGTAAGTGTTTGGGAACTGAGGAGACACTGCTGTAGTTTAGAAAGTGAAATGTTTTCCCGTTGTTGTTTGTTATAGGATTTCAACTGCTCAACAGTTCGGGGTCTCCTTTGTTGTATTTTTCATTTCATCAATCGCCAAATGTTTTCAGTGGTGACAGGTCTGGACTGCAGGCAGGTCAGTTTAGCACCTGGACTCTTTTAATATGGAGCCATGCTGTTGTAATACATACAGAATGTGGTTTGTCATTGTCTTGCTGAAATAATCAAGGCCTTCCCTGAAAAAGACGTTGTCTGGATGGCAGCATATGTTGCCAAAACATGTATATATCGTTCAGCATTAATGGTGCCTTCACAGATGTGCACGTCACCCATACCATGTGCACTAAGGCCCCCATACCATCATGAATACTGACTTTTGAACTGTGCACTGATAAAAAGCTGAGTGGTCTTTAGCCCGGAGGACACAGTGTCCATGATTTCCAAAAAGTTTCAAATGTTGATTTGTTGGACCACAGGACACTTTTCCACTTCCCCTCAGTCCATTTTAAATCAGCTCGGGCCCAGAGAAGGTGGCAGCATTTCTTCCAGCAAATACTGGTTTTTGGCCTTGTCCCTTACATACAGAGATTTCTCCAGATTCTCTGAATCTTTTAATGAAATTATGTACTGTAGATGATGAAAAGCAAAAGTTTTTTGCTATTTCATGTTGATAAACGTTATTCTTGAAAAGTTGCACTATTTGACCATGCAGTCTTTCACAGAGTGGTGAACCCCTCCTGATCTTTACTTCTGAAAGACTCAGCCTCTCCGGGATGCTTTTTTATACCCAATCACATTACTGACCTGTTGCCAATCAACCACCAGGTGTTTTTTTTTAGCAATACACAACTTAACCTGCCTTTTGTTGCCCCTGTCCCAACTTTTTTGGAATGTGTTGTTGGAATCAGATTCAAAATGGGCAAATATTTTTCAAAAAACAATAAAAATGTCTCAATGTCAACAATTGATATGTTGGCTTTGTACTATTTTCAATGAAATATAGGGTTTAAATCATTTGCACATCATTGCATTTTGTATTCATTTACATTTTGCACAGCATCTCAACTTATTTGGAAATTGGGTTGTACAATATAAACACTAAAATGTACAAAACATATTCAGCATTTTCTACAAATGAAAATGTTAAAGACCAGATATGGCAGTGGTTTCATAGTTAACCACTCTGGCTGATCTCTTTTAATGTCTCTGAGAAGGCAAGAAAAAGAATTCCACCCATTCTTTGACTCCACTTACCTTAACAAGGCCCTGCGTTCATTCACTTCCTACTTTGTATGTAATGCATTTGCTATTCATGTTTACTTTAAAGGGCCCATTAATTTCTCCTCACAGTTTGGAAATAAGAGTTGTAAACACTGATAAAGTACCATTCGGCCTCCGACCCATACAGTCCATATATGGAAATTAAGCTGCAAAAACAGCCCCTTTTGAATTCATTGTTTTTTGTGACCTCACCAAAAACAATGCATTTACATATATTCGCCCTTTCAGCCTCCAGCAGTTTAGCCACGCCCAGTTATTATTCTACATAATTAAATGGTTGAGATGAAAGTCATTCAGGGTGGTTTGGTGTGAAACACTGTTCTAGACAAACTTACAGTCAGAACTGTTCACAGTGGTGGTGATAGGAACCAGACGTCCATCTCTAAAAGCTCCCTCACAGAAAGCTATTACAAAAATAATTGGTATGAATACAGTGTTCAGGCCTGAGTCATTCTTTTACCACAGTTTTGAGAAGATTTTGGCTTAAAATATCTTCTTTATTTGAACCCTCCTCTCATGTTGCAGGTCAAATTGATCCGTTTCAAACTTTAAAAATATGGGAAAAATATTGAAACCTTTTCTAATGGGTCATTTAGTGTGAATTGAACTGACTGGGTCAGTTTGACCCGGAACAGAAGAGATGTTTGTTTGTATTAGTCAACATGCCGACATGACAGAAAATGTGTCGAAAATTTTAAAAAGTCTAAATAAGAATTAATAAAACAAAAGTGTTGAATGTTTAGTTTTTGCCGATGTACAGAAAAACAATTTGAAAATGATTTTTTTTATAAAAACAAGTAAATTATTAAAAATCATCTGTAATGGGTGAAAAACGTGATTACGCTACATATTAATTACATTCATTTTAATCGAGCTAAAGAGAATGTTTATGGAAGGAAAGACATTTTTAATGTTTTGGATGGTTAAATATGCATCAGGTCCATTTGAGCATCATATGCGCTGCCTGATGTCTGACACATTGTTTAATGATAGTTTTGAGATCAAATTTTGGCCTAAAGTGTATTTGTAAAACCAATTTCTGGTGGAGAGATACATACAGGGTGTTCTAAGGCAAAATAGTCCCCAAAGAAAATATATTTTTCAGGTTTATTACTATTTTACCATCTTCAACCTTTCATATAAAACTCAAAAGACTCGTGTAGGTTCACTGGTGGTTCTGGATAGTAAATAAAATGGCTATATCTGTGTTGTAGTCATGGTGACTGCTGGTTCCCATCACCACCACTGTACAGAAATCAGAGTCTGTAAGTTGGATTTCTATTAGTTCTTACTAGGTTTATATTAGTCATGTACTAGTTTTTTTGGCATAATATCAAAACTGAGGTCATTTACATGTATCAGTCTTAAAGGCTCAGCCGGTAAATACTAAGGGAGGTTTTGGTATATAAACCCAACCAAATGTCATAAGTGAACCTCTGGAAACTGTGTGTTATATGTGATTTGATCACATGATCATATGGCTCACAAATGTAGGACCTACTTTTTAAATTGAAAGCCTCTCGGGAAATCCACCAAACAATTCTGGCCATTTTGGGCAGTGCCTGGTTTGGTTCTTAGGACCATCAACAGCAGTTTCAGAAGCCTGAGGGTCTTCAGTTACAAAAACGGTGGCCCTGAGTTCCATCTTAATACGAGTATCTCGACAATGGAGTGTCCTCCAGGAGATCATCCTGTCAGAAAGACAATCAAAGACACGAGTCAAACATGATGTGAAGTCTTCTTTGCTACCTGATCACTGGGAGCGTGTTTAGTTTTAAAGGGCTCATATTATGTTATTATTTTTCTCAGTATTGTTTTTAATGGTTAATGTAAATATGTACAAATATAAAAACAAAATGGCAAAAATGCCCCTTTTATAATTAACTAAATTCACAAAACTGAAGAATGACCATATTTCCACCTTGTCAGCCTATAGTAGTTTAGCCCCGCCCAATCAAAATGAAGTTATTGAACTTTGTACAACAGTTAGTTCCGGCCACGCAAGCTGATTGGTTGAGAAGCGTTCTAACCGTGCTGTTATTTCGCCATAACAGAAAATGGACACTTTTAAGATCACATTTGACCGACAGCCGATTTGGTCAGACTCTGAAGATGAGACGACACTAAATTCCCAAACTGTCATCACCACTGAGCAGCTTTTCAGTCGGCAGCTGTGACAGAAGAACAGCTAAACAACCTGGAATCAGCCAGAAATGAACCCAACACCATTCGCCAAACTAAACGGGCTGTAAGAAGCTTTACAGACTGGCTGGAACAAAACAACATTAATACTGAGCTAAACTTGATATTGCGTCAGTTTTATGGCTCAGTCTGATTTGGTCAGACTCTGAAGATCAGACTACACGTTTGGCGAATGGTGTTGGGTTCATTTCTGGCTGATTCCAGGTTGTTTAGCTGTTCTTCTGTCACAGCTGCCGACTGAAAAGCTGCTGAGTGGTGATGACAGTTTGGGAATTTAGTGTGAGGAGCTGGAGAACGAACTGCCGGCTGTGCAGCGAGTGGGCGGAGCTTGTTACTCTGACGTAGCAACAAGCTGCTCGTTAAGGAACTATAATTTGGCGGAAGGAACTGCGAACATTAAAACATATTAAACGCCGCGTTCACGGCCCAGTTTATTAATTTATTACTTTATTTAACTGATGATCTACGGCGACCAAATCACAGCCATGACGTTATTTCGCGATAACACACTCCCTCTCGAGTTCTATTGCTTAAGAAGAGTATTTCAGCCTGTACTGCTAAGGTAACGAGTGCAAACGCTGACTTCTAGAGTGAAATTCATTACACTCAACCCTTTATGATTTCAGGGAAATCAAAAAATATGTGTTGGTAATTTTTAGTTAATTTTCATTTAAAGCTGCACTCAGTAAGTTTTGGGGATTTGGAGACCTCTCTGGTGGAACGTGAAATTCCACTATGTAATGTCGGTTGTGTTTTGGACCCCTTCGCCAAACAGAAGAGTATGATGATTGCGGAAAAATCATTGATGGTGATGCTGGCTCTTCTTATTCGTTATTATATAATTATTATTATGATTATTTCAGGCTTGACAGGCGACTCGCAGCAGCACACACACTGTTTTTTAGTGTTTGTTTTGGTTGGAAACAAAAGGGTTAAAATCAAAGACAGAAAATCGTCCAATCAGGATGTTTTTCTCTGTGGTATCTACACAGATACAGCCAAGCGAGCTCTCTCATGGGTCAGGACTTCAGGAGCTGAACAGAAGGCCTTATACGCTAGATTATCTACCAACATAACTGGGAAAATCACTAAAAATCAATATAAGTCTGCAGGGGACACTTTATTCCAGCGGTTCTCCCCCTGGAGTGGTGGATTCAGTAGTGCAGCCTCTGTATACTATCTAACATGTGTATCTATGGTTTTATCCCAGAGAAGGAAAAGACTAATAATGGTGAAACTAGCGGAGGCTCACCATGGGCAGGTCCTGCAGCCGATGGAACTCTGGATGCTCACTTTGCTGGCGAAACCTGAGGAAGAGCATTACGGAGACCAAAGCAGTGCTGACGATGAAGATGGAGACCAGAGCAGCGAACAGGGGGTCCCACGGAGAGGCGTGAGGCACTTTGACTGAATCTGAATCTTCGGAATATAAACACAGCATGGAGTGTAATGCAAACACAGAGATTAGACACTGAAATGACTCAAGAAGCATGTAAACTCTGAAAAGTCACTCATAGTGGAGACATTCTGTGGTACAGGTTCTAGACTTTCATTTCGCTGCTGTCGGAACAAAACTTTGTAGCTCCGTTTTTGACGTTTTTCAGTTTTTGACATCATTTGAAAACGCCTGTTACCCTTTGCATTGTGTGTCAATTTCATGATGAATGGACCAAAAGAAACGGCCCAAAATGACTTGGAAAACGTCTGGTTCCATTGACTTACATTAACAGCAAAATATGTTTTAGATACAAGCTTTTGTTCTGACAACAGCGATTTGTGTTTGTAAATAGAAGAGGATGTATTTATTGTGATTTGCAGTTGTAGTTTCTGACATCAAAACAAGCAGAAAACTATAAACAAATATTTAAAAGTATAGAAATATAATTAATATTTGCACGACAGTGACAATATACGCCATTCTACTGAATTAGCTCAAACTCCGGTTCTGCAGTAAAAAAACAAAAGTATTCATTCAGATCTTAGATATTTACAAGGATTATGTTATGATCTACTTAAACCAAAGGCATTAATTGAGATATTATAAGCTAAATGTGTACAAACTTTTCAGTTAATTTTTATGTAAAGCTGCATTATGTAAGTTCTGGGAATTTGGCGACCTCTCTGGTAGAAATGTGTAATTGCACGCTACATGTGGAAGAACATTTTTAATGCCGACTGTGCTTCGGACCCTTTCCCTGAGCAGATGAATATGATGATCGCGAGCGCGTCGAAAGAATATGATGATACAAAGTCATCAACCCCTAAATTTACACCTGTGAAAAACACATTTTTATATGTATTTTTATGGGTTTTTTTTTTATTACTTTAAAAGTTGAAAGATGTAGATGTATCATGTTAAATTTTAATGAAAAACTTTTTTTAAAAAAATACTGTTCCATGTTTTCATGTCAGTACCGAAACACCGAGTTTTAGTCTGTAGACGGAGCCTTATTTTAGCCACACCCCTGCATTTTAGAACAGGAAGTGAGACTGCATCCCTGTCATTCATAGCCACATGGTGAGCAGTTAGATCCCATTGTTTTGAGGTAAAAGTCTGAAAATCAGTGTGGAACATTAAGAATTGTCACTACTGAAACACATTTTTTTGTTTTTTTGTGTATTATGATTTTATGTGTGTACAGCTGTTCAAGGCTATATTTGCTAGTCAGGTACTGGCTAGCTTTTTTGAGTTCTGCTCAAAATTAGCCAAAATTGTCACCACTGAAACAGTCACTACTGAAACATTTGTTTCGGTAGTGATATGATTGTTTCGATAGCGACAAAATGGAATGTTCAATCATTTATTGTAATAAATTAAATATAATTAAAGTACAGGACGACTTAAAGCAGGATTTTAGTATAAAATCTAAGTCAATTAAAAGTCCCGAATGTTTTTTCAACTCTGACGTTGAACCAGTTCAGTAAACTGGTTCATACTGGTATGTCTGATTAGACAAAGTGCCCCCCTTTAATATCTTAATGTCCCCCTTTTCTGCTATAGACTGAACACGAGGCCCAGTCAGCAGTCAGTTAACACGTAACAGAAGTAGAAGCTTCTGTTATTTGTTAACTACTTTAGCCTTCTGGCTTTAGTGCTAAAAGAAGCCAACTTCAGACCCCCAACATCTCTCGGTGATCAACTACATTTGAGTTAAGGGGACAAGAAGGTATAAATTAGATGTTTTGGCTGAACCTCCACAGTCCACAAACCTTCATCTCCAACATCCAGTTCAGACGCTCCATCCTGGTGCGGGTTCTCCACAGGAACAGGTCCAGTGGGCTGGGTTTTGTCCGTCAAGGCAGTCCAAGTGGAAGCTGGACTGGAAGAAGGAACTGAAGAAGCTGTCTGAATCGTCTCAGAGGAGCTGAAGGTGGACTGATGAGACGTTTGATGTTCTTCACTAAGACTGGTAGAGGCTGCAGTAGAGGCAGTTAAAGTCATCATGGATCCTGGAGTGATGGTGGTGCTCCTCAGTGAGGTGAGAGCTGGACTGGTATCTGAGGAAGCTAGAAGAAGTGAGGAAAAGGCAGAAGAAGAGCTGAAAAGTCTGAATAGGACTATACGGAGAAGGAAACTACGAGAAAGAAGAGGCAGGCGAAGAAGAAGAAGAAGGAGGAAGAGAAGCTGTGAGTTCACTGAGTGCAGTTTGGTCAAATTATGTGTAGAACCTTTTTGAAAAGGGTTCTATATAGCACCAAAAAAGGGTTCTTCTGTTATAACACACCTGGCAGTGTAACAATAGAAGAACCCTTTTTGTTTTTAAAATACGCAGCTCAACCAATCAGATTTTAGATCTGGAACTATCAGTTTTTTTATAAAATCTATTTAAAAATAAAATAATTCACAATTACATTTTTTTTATTACAAATTATTCAAGGTACATCCCACATAGCGAGAGTACAGGGGGCCACTGTAGGCCCACTGATGGCAAAGCTGACAGCCCACTGGCTTTTTGCTCAGCGTTTTCCAGGTGGTCCACTAGTGGTTAAGCAGAGTATTAGACAAAATGGCACCTTTCAGCACTTGTTTTCCACTTACAGTCCAATTTACCTATTTTTCTTTTTTCATTATCCTTTGTAAATTACTTTAGTAAATAATTTTAACAGTAATATCATAAATAAAACCGGATATACAGCTGTAACCAATCAGAAACAACATTTTCAACCAAATCATTTTATATTAGGCCAAGTTATTCATTTTTTTCTCTCAGTTGTTTGTAATAATTGTCTTAGTTTATTTTTCAAAATAAAATGCTGTGTGAATTCAAACTCTAAGGAGAATAAAAACTAGTTAAACCTGGTATGCAGGATGGTAATCTGGGTGGTCCAGGGGGTGGGGGGTGGGGGATTTGGGGGTGTGGACCAGCAGTGGCTATACAGTGCCGACATTATCGAGCCAGTGGACTGACATATGCTTGTTATCTGAGATGTGAATAATCGATGAGGTAAACAAACATTCCATGAGTTTGGATATGTGTTTGTTTTAATAACCCTGTCTGTCTCTATTACAAAACAAGATGATTCAAAGCACGGGCATCATGAACGGCCCCAACATGACCCAGAGTAAACCAAGAGCGAGGCACATTTAGCCACACTAAATATAGCCATGTCTCCAGTATACTGATCGCATGAATACGTCAGTATTTACAAACCGCAGCCAAAACTTTGTCATGTTCCTGGACTCCACCTCCTCGTATAACTGTTATTAATGTCTAGCAGTGCCATAAAGCACACTGGATTCTTAGCAAAACGTGCAAAACTCCAAGAAACCGCCCTACGTGGGACAGCCTGTTCTTCAATGTGTCAGACATTTTATTTAAGAGATCAGCTTATTCTGGAAGACCTGTGCAAGAAGTTTAAAGGAGCAGAACAGTGAATTTACTCATATCTCCCTATAGCCCTGAACCATAGTGGACAACCGAGACTATTTATTCATTTTACTGCGTTTATAACTCTATGGAAATAAAAACATATTTCTCTATAATGTTAATTCAGGTTTATTCAGTCCCAATTTCAGTATTTTATACTATGTTTATTTTCACACATATGGCAGATTTACTAGGCCTGTATGGTCAAAAGTATCGGACACTGCTCCTAATTATTGAGTTCAGTTTGAAACCATTGCAATGCATTAGGTATAAAATCAAGCAGATAGCCATGCAGTCTCCATAGACACGCACTGGCAGTCAAATGGGTCGTGCTGAAGAGCTCAGTGACTTTAAACGTGGCACTGTCATGAGATGCCACCTCTGCCATAAGGCAAAAATTTCTGCCCTGCTAGATCTGCCCCAGTCAAGTGTAAATGCTATTATTTTGAATTGGAAGTATCTAGGAGCGGCAGAGGGCGGGGCCGCCGGTGTTGAAATCTCCTATCCTGTGTTACATCACCAACTACAGAGTTCCAAACTGCCTCTGGAGGCAGCAACATTTGGCTGAGGAGGGATAATGATCTGTGGCTGTTTTCCAGGGCTTGGGCTCGGCTCTTTAGTTCCAATAAAGGGTGATGTTAATGTTACAGTATACAAATACATTTTAGACAGTTGAATTCTTCCAACTTTGCCTCAGCAGTTTGAGGAAGACCCTTTCCTTTTCCAGCTTGACTGAGCCCCCGTGCCCAAAGCGAGCTCCATAAAGACATGGTATGACGGATTTGATGTAGAGGAGCTCCAGTGGCCTGCACAGATCCCAGACCTCAACCCCACCTTAGGGATGAATCTGAACATCACCTTCTCGTCTAAAATCAGTCCTGACCTCACAAATGCCTTTTAAGCTAAAAGGGCACAAATTCCCACAGACACAGTCCAAAATCTTGTAGAAACCTTCCCAGAAGTGTGGAGGCTGTTATAGCTGCCAAGGGCAGCCAGCTCCATGTAAACACCCATGGTTTTGGAATGGGATATCCGACAAGCTCATTTAGGTTGCAGCCAGATGTCCACATACTTTTGGACATATAGTGTCCAGTATAGTGTATGTGCATGAAAAGTATCAGATATTGGCCCACAGTTCCAGTTAACAGTGTTCTTAACTATATAACCTTGACTTTACTGTTTCCCCAGAGCAGTTAGCAAATGTGACAGCTAGTAACAAGAACTATAATCGTACCATTAGCAACACTTTGGACTCCAACCAGCGCTATTAAATTTAAGCCGCTGGACCAAACCTGGCCCACATTTAGCCTGAAATAAACACCTGAAGTGTGCTGGACGCCATTTGTTGATTTCCTCGAGATGTTTGCCATGATTAATGATGAAAAGGATGCTTTTATAATAATTTTTTCTTTAGTTTTTACCTTGTGTCGTCTCTGTGCTGCGTCCAGGTGCAGGCGTTTGAGTGCTGGCTGGAGAGGGTGAGCTGACTGCCATGACCGCAGTGTGTGTGCTGGGGTCAGTTGGAGGAGAGAAGGCCGTGGCTGCAGCGTGTGAAGTCTCATTGTGAGGGGGAAACTCGCTCACGTGGGTGGAATCAGGCTGGGTCTCCATGACGTTACTCTTTGGGGTCACATGGAGGGCAACGGAGATCACCTCATTTAGGGTCAAACCAGGCGTCAGTGCTGGGGAGGAGGCAGTGGACTCACCTAAATGACAGGAAAAAAAAGCAGTGAATGTTACCTAAACTTTGGTTTACAGAACTAAACTATAATAAACATCATATAATAATATATAATAGTCTTAACCCATCAGGGAGGGTCTCTGTGCTAGCTGAGCGTTTCCTCTCCATGATAAATGGGAGTGGTGGGAGAGGGAGGTCAATATAGCATTGGTTAATATTATGTTGACAGGAAAACAAGACCTAGAAAACAAGTAGCTTTTTCTGCAGCCCCCCTAGAGAAAATCAACTCGGATATTTCTAATTAATATAATAAAATAAAACATGTTTCCTCATAACCCTCAGACAACTAGGACACTGTTGCCTTTCTGGGTGTGAAATATTGCGTTGAGCTGCTAGTGAGCAAAGAGGGGTGAAAGAAGAGGGCTGAGACCTGCCTGCTGTGAAAACAATTCACGTCCTTGCACAAAGACGCATTTAAACACAATGAAAACACTTTTATAATTGGAAAAATAATTGGAAAAGATTCAAATCTAGTTCGCTTACAGTTTTGTAAATCATACACATTTCTATTGAAACATATTTCAACAACATTATTGAAGCAAAAAAAGCATCCAGAACAGACGGAAAAAGGATTTTATGACTACTCCAGGCTAAGTGACATTTTGCCTTAAATAATAACAAGGTAAAACAATGTCAAATTCAGGACTAACTATAAGGCCCTGTATATGGAACCCACTTCACTTCCTCGCTTTTATACTTATATAACTTACACGTTAGTTTTATAGTACTTATTGAAATTAATAACTGATTAATGAATAACAAAGACTGTGGTTTATTGATATATTCATTTATTTTAATAGTGTAATAATGTGCTCTCAGTGTTGCTCCTAATCCTTAAATTGTGCTTATAGTGAATGTGAAAAATATATAGTTATAGTAAAAAAAATAAAAATGACACAATTTCCCCCTCACTCCAAATGTAGTTGATAAACAGAAACATGTTTGGTGTCTGAGGTTTTGCACTGGAGCTGTAAGGCTAATGTAGCTATATGTAATAGACATGTATGAGCAATTAGCATTATCATCACAAACTTACCTCAAACCATGTCGAGATGTTAAATAATCTCAAAGAGTCGTTTGTGTGGTTTCTGACACTGTATGTGTATAAAATTGGACAAAAATTCAAAAAATTCAAAATTCAGGATTGAAGTCTGTTTACTCGGCAGCCATCTTTACAACACCGCCAGGCAGTTATTTCCAGCCATACAAGACCAGACTCCTCTCTCTGAATCGGGAGAGACTAAAATGCTCAAAACTGAAGGTTAAATTACTGTTTAAGAAACTTATTTGAAATCACTCATAAAATCTGACACAAATCTCATAAGTAGTTTGTAGCATTCGGCTCAATTACTCACAAAAAAGGTTATTGTTTAGGTTGTTGTGGTTACTGCACTTGCGCAGATCTCCGCAATGATGGGGGACTTTTCCCGCTAGCGCCTCAATATCACTTACCCTTCCCCGCTCGCAGCATAATAGACGTTTTAGCAATTAGCATCATGTAAACTGCATGCCTAAATCATCACAAGCTTGCCTCAAACCATGTTGAGTTGTTAAAAAATCTCAAAAAGACTCATTTGTGTGGTTTCTGACACTGTATGTGTAAAAAATTGGACAAAAATAGAGACAAAATTCAGGCTTAGCGGCTGCTACAAAAGTCTTTATTGGAAAGTCTGTTCACTCGGCGGCCATCTTTGCAACACCGCCAGGCAGTTATTTCCAGCCATACAAGACAAGACTCCTGTCTCTGAATTGGGAGAGACTAAAATGCTCAAAACTGAAGGTTAAATTACTGTTTAAGAAACTTATTTGAAATCACTCAAAAAATCTGACAAAAATCTCATAAGTAGTTTGTAGCATTTGACTCAATAATGCACAAAAAAGGTGATTGTTTGGGTTGTTGTGGCTACTGCACTTGCACAGATCTCCACAGTGAGGGGGCGCTTTTCCAGCTAGAGCCTCAATATCACTGACCCTTCTCCGCTCACGGCATAACCAGCAAGCTAACCGGCTCTTTTAATGTGTATTTTTACAAATAGACACCATATTGAGTGTTACAAGCTTTCCCATTCATATTTTAACCAGTGACCAGCCTTTATAACATCTCTGCTGCTACTCGTTTTTAGCTATGCTAATGTTCTTTTGTCCATTTTTATAAATAATAATATGTCGTAAGCAGGTCTCTCTGAGATTACTGCACAACTGGACAGGGTTTGAGGTAAGTTTGATTATTTAGGTTGGGCTATAAAAATCTATTATGTATTAGCGACTTTAGCCTTGTAGCTTCAATGCTAAAACTAAAGAAGCGCCAAAAAGTCCATCTGGGGTAAGGGACAAACTGTATAAATTTGATTTTCAGCCAATTTACAGCACTTCAGACCAGTGTTTGGCTCTGAATCTGCTAGCGGTCAGTACAAAGCAGCTGTGACCTTTAACTGCTTTAGAAGTGCAAAGCAGCAAACAAGCCAAATGCATCCAAAAAAAAGAGAAATTATGGAAGCAGATCTCCTGAGAAATCTATGAAAACACTACAATAAAAACAGACCAAGGAAACGGATGAATCTGATAAATATTCAGAGCTGAGCTGCGTTCATTAACTCGAGCTGAAGTGCACAGCATGAATTTTAAATCAAGTCCCAGGATGAAGTTCTCACTTTGAGGAGCCAATTAACAGATTCTGAGGAAAATCCTAAAAAAAGGAGGAGCGTCTCCGTCTCCAGCAGACTTGGTGAGGAAGCCAAACAAAGGAGTTTGGCGTCAGGCCTTTGTTTGTGCTAAAACCGTCCACTTCATTAAAAACACCTCCTTCTTTCTACACTCGTTGTCCATTTTATCAGCTCCACTGACCACCTAGGAGCACTTTGTAGTTCTACAGTTACAGACTGATTGTACATTGTTAGCCCCCTTCCACCCTGTCCTCAACGGTCAGGACCCCCACAGAACCACCACAGAGCAAAGTTTTTAAACACCTCAGTGTCACTGCTGGACTGAGAATAGTCCACCAACCACAGATATCCAGCCAACAGCGTCCTGTGGGCAGCGTCCTGTGACCACTGATGACGGACTAGAGGATGACCAACACAAACTGTGCAGCAGCAGATGAGCTATCGTCTCTGACTTTACATCTACAAGGTGGACTGACAAGGTAGGAGTGTCTAATAGAGTGGACAAGGAGTGGACACAGTGTTTAAAAACTCCAGCAGCACCACTGTGTCTGATCCACTCGTACCAGCGCAACACACACTAACACACCACCACCACGTCAGTGTCACTGCAGTGCTGAGAATGATCCACCACCCAAATAATACCTGCTCTGTGGTGGTCCTGTGGGGGTCCTGACCACTGAAGAACAGGATAACAAAGTAGGCAGAGAAACAGTCTGTAAACAACTGATATCCAGGTTTTAAAATTTCACACAGTCGTAAATAAATTAATTAATTAATCATATATGCCAAGTGGTCCAATTAAATCTAAAGCCACACCCTAATTAGAAATGGCAGGTAAATTAGCATATATTCAAATTCATATCTGTTTACATTACAGTGTTGCTGTTTTAATAAACATTTGGCTTTGACTCTCAATGGCTGCCAAACCTAGTGACTCTAAGTGTTTATGCACTCCACACCCTAATCTAGCAGACTTTTAAGGGGTTAGGTTTAGTAAAAAAAATGCAGATCTACAAAAAATCTGTGTCATGCAGGAGAATGTTTACCTTTCAGCTCAGATGTGCTGGTGAGCAGCAGGATGATCCACATTATAACGGCCACTCCAGTCTCCATTTTCTGCTGTCTGGAGCTGCTGGAGTCTGCTGGCCTTTTACTTGATGGCGAATATCATGTCTAAAAATATCCTCAGGGGCTGGGCAGCGCTGAGAGAGGCCTGGCCAGGCCTGCAGGCAGGAGATCCCGGGCTGTGTTCACTCGACACACGGCTCTGATTCCTTTCTCGGGTCCGTTTTCTGCCGCTGATCAGCTCTGAACCTGTGCGCTCCAGCCACTGTGTTCATTTTCTGCCGTGTCTTCATTGGTTGCTATGGTGATGACGCAGGCGTGGGCGTCGCAGCCTGGCAACGGCGTTTACCTCCGTGACGAAAGATTCTTATTAACTCGAGTTAAAAGGGAAACTCCACCTATGTTTCAAAATTTCTGCATTACGTGTTAACAAAGTCATTCAGAGTGGTTTGGTGTGAAATGCTTCGTTCTAGAGAAGCTTACCGAGTCAGAACTGTTCACAGTGGTGGTGATAGGAACCAGACGTCCACCTCGAAAGGCTCCCTCGCAGAAAGTCCGAGACGGCTTATTATTTTCAGATTTATGACTATTTTGCCATCATCAACATTTCACATATAAGCTCAGAAGACTCGTGGAGGTTCACTGGTGGTTTTGGATAGTAAATAAAATGTCTATATTTGTGTTGTAGACATGGTGACCCCTGGTTCCTATCACCACCACTGTAAAGACATCTGAACCATTTCACACCAAACCACTCTGAAAGACTCTGTTTACATCTCAAACACTGAATTATTCAAAAAGTCTGAAAAATCGGTGGAATTCTCCTTTACTGTAATAGATAAGCAATATAATAATCATTTTACAAGGTAGCCCAACAGAGGCAGAATGGGCGTTCAGTATGGACTCTTTCCCACAAAAACGTTTTTATTAATGAAATCAATAAGATACTTTATAAGCTAAAAAGACATTAAATGTTTTTGTTCCTGGTGGTTTAGTTTTTTTTTTTTTTGTATTTTCTTGATGAGTTAAACTCATGATATGCAAATAAGTCAGATATTTTCAATGCTGACAGGCTAAAATATTTTAACATACTTATATATTATATATTGTATAAATATTTCAGCATTTTAAACACTATTTTTTTAATGTCTGGAATGAAGTTTAAGCGACTGCGGCAACTCGTGAAAACCCTCCCCTCCTCCTCTAGGATTGGCTAGAAGCCTGGCTACGATGATGTTCTAGCCAATCCTAGCACAGGGGGCGTGGCCTGCCGGAATTCGGGTGGGGAGAAAATAACGTCTAAGGCATAACGGCACTGTGAGTGACCCTTGAGGAAGACTGGACAGAGATAACGCGGCGAGAAACAGACACATTCACGCTTAAAACCAGTAAAAGGAGATGAAAACGTCGTGAAAGGACTTTTTCAGCGCCTCGAAGGAGGAAAAGTGTGGAAAATGTCCTCGGCTCCGGTACAGCAGCCCTTAGAGGCGGCGGAGTTCACGGTGGAGGCGGTGGAGCGGGTGAGCTATAAACAGACCGAACTCTCAGTGTGTAGATTAGCTCGGTCTGCTCATGAACGGCGATGCGTGCTGTCTGTGTCCAGTCCTGTCACTGACACACAGACAGGTCAGGAGTGGCGAGTATTCCACTTTGTTTCAGTCAAAAACGTGTCTTGTTTTCTCTCAGGAAAAGCTAAAGTTTACTTCTTTGGAGTAAAACTCAGGTAGGAGTAAAACTAGCCACCAAAAACCAACTGAAAGCGTCAGGTCCAAAAACTGCTGCGGTGCTGAGTTCTCCAGAACCGCATAGCAACTTATTAAAGGGGAGTTCCGCCGAATTTTTCAAATTTGCCGCCTAATCAAATGGTTAAGATGTGAACAAAGTCATTGGTGGTTCGATATCTACAGAGCCCCTCAGGTAACATGGTGATTATTTTTTAATAAGTCGTGGCCACGAATTAGCATATTGAGGCCATAATTGATTATTTTGAGACCAAGAATTACTATATTGAAGTCACAATTTACTATAGTGAGGCCACAAATTTCCACATTGAGGCCGTTAATTACTATATTGAGTTCAAAAAGTTTTGTGTTGAGGTCACAATTTACTATACTGAGGCCACGAATTACTAAATTGAGGCCACAAATTACTATATTAAGGCCCTGAATTACTATGAGGCCAGAATGTATTATATTGAGGCCACAAATTACTATATTGAGGCCACAAATTAATATATTGACACCATGAGTTAGAAGAAACTTAATTTGTGGCCTCAATATTGTAAATTGTGACCTCAATATAGTAATTTGTGGTCCCAATATATTCATTTAAGGCCACGCCTTATTAAAAAATAATCACCATGTCACCTTAGGGGCTCCGTAGATATGAAATGCACAGTTCTAGAGGAACTTACAGAATCAATTCGTTCACAGTGAGCATGATAGGAACCAAACGTCCCCCTCTAAAATCTCCCTCACATAAAGTGCACAAAATGATCAAGAAAACACTTCCTGATGCCTGAAACATTGTTTTCTGATAGTATTAAGATAGTTTTGATAGTTTTGTTTTGCTTCACATTTTTAGAGTTCACAAGGAAAACATTAAAGTAAATTATCAGTTAAAAATAATCTAAAGCCATTTTTCCTCATTGAAAAAAAGCAAAAATAATACATACCTTTTTACCCTTTTGCTGTATCATATCAAGCTCCAACTGATCCACTGAATTATATGAAAATTGTTTATCTGCGTGATGAATATTTATAGACATGGTTTGAGGCTGTTTTGTGACAATGACCCATATAATTATTCAATCTGAATGACTGAAAATGAACTGAGGACAAAGTAGACTCCACAAATAGAGTTGAGTAGAGTGAAAGTAAAGCCTGTTAGCATTTAAAAATGTACAAAACAACCGAAACTATACAGAAGTACAGAAAATCAAAGAAATGTACCTAATTATAATCCACTTCTACAAGGGAGTCCCATATTTTATTATAAGGTTTTACAATAGCATCACTGTGTGTTAAGGAACCTGAAATGCTGCCTTTGTCTTAAACCGCTGTGCATGTCCTACAAGACTATGTGCATCTTATTCAGTGTGTACAGCCGAGGTCAGTGTAGTAGACAGGGTAGAAAAGTAACTCGATATCCACAGTAAGCTTCCCTATACTAATAATAACTAGTAGCATGTGCAGTTCATCCTCCACCCCCCACAATTGTTTCCTCCAGAAGTGATATGGTGGGATTTAAATCTCTAGAATAGCTCAGTGTTGTTGACACAGTGCCACTGAATTGCTGTATATGAGCTGATGGGTGTAATCTTACACAGGCTCTGCAGCAGCTGTACTATGATCCAGACATGGCCCAAAAAAACGTGGCCCAGAAGTGGCTGACCCAGGCCCAGGCATCGCCGCAAGCCTGGCACTTCTGCTGGGCTCTGCTCAGCCCAGATAAGGTGGGTACTGAGGGTCTATCTGTGATGAACCCGTGAACATTTTCCAGTTCTGTTCTATGATTTGGGTGAACAGATTCAGCACAACTGAACACTTTTTAATGAAGCAGCTACACTAAAAAATGTTTTTAGGGGCTCTTCAGTAAAGGGAATGGTTCCATTTAGAACCGTTTCATGCTTTAAATAGTTTCTGCATTGTGAAATCGTTCTTCAGATTGATAGAGGATCTGTTGCATATAGTTCTACGTACATATAGTTCTGCTATTGTTACAATGTCAAGCTTGCGATAGAAGAACGCTTCTCAAAATGTTCTATGTAGAACCATATACAACGCATTCTCCATCAATCCATCAGTCCTTCAAAGAACCATTTAAGCTTTCTGTATAGCACCAAAAAGGCCTTGTAACAATAGCACTTTTTGGTGCTATATAGAACCATATGCAACACATCCTCAGTCAATCTGAAGAACAATTTCATAATGCAAAGAACCATTTAGGCATGGAATGGTTCTGTATACAACTCATGGTTCTGAATAGAACCATTCTCTTTACTGAAGGACCCTTGAAGAACCAGTGTAGTACATTAGAGCACACAGGACTGGTTATGCTGTCTTTGTAATAAAAAATCCTCAATATGCTTAGAAGAGCATATTGACATAACATTACATAATTTAGCATGAAAGCAGTATAAAGACAAGGTTATTGTTATTTTAACTGTCCACCACAGCATATTGGAGTTAAAATTAAATCAGAAATATGAATTTCAGCTTTAATTTGAGGATATTTGCATCTAAAGGGAGATTCACTCGAAAGAGGCCCCGAATATTCTGCTGTAACTCCCGTTAGGATGAAGCAATCGGAACCAAAAAAATGCGCTACATACCTTGACGTATGTGTAATCGATTGCATTACATGCGATGCTGGAAGTGATCTCTGTTTTCTGTCAGACACATGAAGGGGTACGGGGGTACGCACCCGGAAGTTGCAAACAGAGGTTAAACGTCGCAGCGGCCGTCCGGCGCCTACCTCACCACTCTGACGCAGGGGCATCCCAGCTTGTTCAAAGCTCCGTATACTGAGGAGCATGTTGTTTTGTTCAGATTGTTTCATCGAGAGTTATTGCAGAATTTTTGGGGCTTTTTTTTAGTGAATCTCCTTGTAGATCAGTGAACAGGATAAGAATTACAACCATTTTCATATTTAGAGGCTCAAAGGATTCGGCTGCTCCGCTGTTCCACAGCCGGCTGTGTGTTATTTCCTCGTTATTTCAGCTACAGTTTCTGTTCTTGTCAATTAAGCAATAGAACACGAGAGGGAAGGGCGGCACGGTGGCGCAGTGGGTAGCGCTGTCACCTCACAGCGAGAATGGCCTGGGTTCGATTCCCGGCCGGGTGACCAGGGTCATTTCTGTGTGGAGTTTGCCTGTTCCCCCCCGTGTCTGCGTGGGTTTCCTCTGGGTACTCTGGTTTCCTCCCACAGTCCAAAAACATGCAGTCAGGCTAATTGGACATGGTAAAATTGCCCCTAGGTGTGAGTGTGTGTGTGATTTTGTTTGTCTGTCTGTCTGCCGTGCGATGGACTGGTGACCTGTCCAGGGTGTAGCCTGCCTTCCGCCCAATGACAGCTGGGATAGGCTCCAGCACCCCACCGCGACCCAGAAGGATAAGCGGTTTAGATGATGTATGTATGTATCGCGAAATAACATCACAGCCGTTGATCATCACAGCCGTGATGTTATAGCGATGACACACAACCTCAAGTGTTCTGTTGCTTTTATACAACAGTTAAATAAAGTAATACATTAATAAACTGGGCCGTGAACGCAGCGTTTAATATGTTTTAATGTTCACAGTTCCTTCAGCCAAATTATAGTTCCTTAACAAGCAGCTTGTTGCTACGTCAGAGTAACGAGCTCCGCCCACTCGCTGCACAGTCTGCTGTAAGCCTCGCCTTTTGAAGTACAGACTGAGCCATAAAACTGCCTCAATATCAAGTTCAGCTCAGTTTTGTCTTTTTTTGCCAGATTAATATTAATGTTGTTTTGTTCCAGCCAGTCTGTAAATCATCTTACAGCCCGTTTAGTTTGGCGAATGGTGTTGGGTTCATTTCTGGCTGATTCCAGGTTGTTTAGCTGTTCTTCTGTCACAGCTGCCGACTGAAAAGCTGCTCAGTGGTGATGACAGTTTGGGAATTTAGTGTCGTCTCATCTTCAGAGTCTGACCAAATCGGCTGTCGGTCAAATGTGATCTTAAAAGTATCCATTTTCTGTTTTTGGCAAAGTAAGAAGTAAAACGTTCAAACGGCTTGAGCGTCTCCTACAGTTGTCAAAGTCGTTGCTTAGCAACGGAATCTCAGAGGAGTGATACAGTGTTTGTGAAAAAATCTTGATGTTATGGTGAAATAACAGCACGGTTAGAACTCAACCAGCTTGCGTGGCCGAGCTGACTGTTGTATAAAGAGAGATATATTATAAGTTATAATTCCTACTGTTCACCCAATTTGGATGTAAACAGCCTCAAAAACTCATTAAAACTGAAAGTGCGTTTTCAGCTCAGTCATTGTTCCATTTCAGCTCCAGTGTGTTGTGGTTGAGCTAAAATAACAATAACCTTGTCAACGTCCAGATATTTACGGACCTGACTGTATATCTGCACACTTAAATAAGCTGGTTCTTCAAGGGTTCTTTAGCAAAGACAATGATTCCAAATAGAACAACGAACACTCGAAGGACCCTTTGCATGATTAAAAGGTTCTTCAGGTTGCTGGAGAATATGTTGAATATGTTTCTATATAGAACCTTTCTGAAAAGGGTTCTACAAGGCACCAAAAAGGGTTTTTCTGTTGGTACCAGCTTGACATCATAACAATGGTACTGTACAGAACCCTTTTCAAAAAGGTTCTATATAGAACCATATTCAACACATTCTTCATCAGTCTGAAGAACCATTTCACTATGCAGAGAACCCTTTACTCATGCAAAGGGTTCTTTTAGTGCTCATGATTCTACATAGAACCATTTTTTTACTAACAAACTCTTGAAGAACCAGCTTTTTTTAAGAGTCTGCAGTTTGAAAGAGTCATTTGGGTAAAATGAATCAAAATCCAGTCACTACTGTCTGAGTTAAGCTGGCAGGAACAACAGCGGAGCCTTTAACACCGATGCAGGTGCTGTTTTTGGTTTGTGGGGTTGAGAATTTAGAAAGGAATTAGTCTCCAGCTGCTGTGTGAAGGCCAGTGTTGGGAGGGAAATCCAGCTCCCTTCATCATTTGTGCTGGGTGGGGCTGAATGATTTGACAAAATATCTAATTACAATTTTTCTGATCAGTATAGCAGTTTAGTTGTGCCTTAGAAGAATCAAACATCTACCAAGTGTAATTACCAACGCAGCTTGTTCTAAGTGTTCGTGTTGTCACACATGGGTGCTTGGTTGCTTCTCACTGGTCAGATTTATCTACAGGCAGTTCAAGCTTTTGTTGTTAATTGTGCTGAATTTCCACTCTTAAATCTTAAGACAACAATACAGATCATTTTATTATTATTAAATGCCGTCGAGTCGTTTCCGACTTCTGGCGCCCGTATGGATAGTGTTTCTCCAGAATATCCGGAATATCCTGTCTTCTGAATGGCGGGTTCATCTGACTGTAACCACCCGTCCTGTTGCTGGTCGTCCTTGTTGTCTTTTAGTTTCGACTTTTTCGAGCATAATGTAGGCTGTAATTAAAATTGCAGCTCTTGCATTTCAAAAATTTCAAAAAACTTTCAAATTGATTTCAATATAAAAACAATTCGTTGTTCAGCACCACGGCAAGGTCACAGATGCTCTGTAGTCCAGAGATCACAAAATTGCAATGTATATATATATATATATATTTTTTTTTTTACATTAGTTGGAACAGACGAAGAAGTGCATTAAAAAAATACTATCAAACTCAATAAATCCAAATATTTCAATTCAATATTTCTTGTGCTGTGATAGATAGATACGTAGACAGACAGACAGACAGACAGATAGATAGATAGATAGACAGACAGACAGAGATAGACAGACAGAGAGATAGATAGATAGATAGATAGACAGACAGACAGAGATGGATAAATAGATAGATAGACAGACAAACAGGCAGAGAGATAGATAGATAGACAAACAGAGATAGACAGAGAGATAGATAGACAGACAGACAGACAGAGAGATAGATAGATAGATAGATAGACAGACAGACAGGTAGATAGATAGATAGACAGACAGACAGAACTTTATTTATCCCAAAAGGAAACTGCAGTGCAGACAGACAAACGTAACATGCAGTGTTACAGTAACAAGACATATAATTGCACATAAACTTACATATATTAGGCAGAAAATAAAAACAGAAATAGAAGTAGACCAAAGTTAAAGTATGAGGGAGTAGGAATAATAATATTATCTGTTTGCATATTTACATAGCGTATAAGACAGGTTTGTTGTCTTTACATGAGAGCAGGTTTTGCACTGAGCGGTATGAGGTAGTTACAACACAGTGAGTATAAACTAGGAGTAGCAGCAGTGTTTACGGTCTAAAGTGCGCAGTTAGAGTCATTACAGCAGCAGGTTATGATATATTGCACAGTGTATATTAACAAGAGAGGTGATATGGTGGGGTGTAGTGATATGTACTCAAAACATGATTGTAATCAAACATGCAGTTGGGAGGTACTGATGATGTCCACGATTTTCATCATCAATAGAAAATGATTTATCACAATCATGATGAATACTGTCATATTGTTCAGCCCTTTTCCATCCCACACCACTGTTTTCAATTTTTTACTTTGTGCCAAACTCAGTATGTACCTCCAGCTCTAATGTATTTGCTCAGGTTCCTGAGATCCAGTTTTTTGGGGCCAGTACGCTGCACACTAAAATCTCCCGCCACTGGACGGACCTCCCTGCTGAGCAGCATGAATCTCTGCGCTCTCAGCTCATCGCTCAGGTAGGCCGTTTCTCCTGCGGGCCGAAGATGGTTCTGACACGGCTCTGCGTGGCCCTGGCCTCTCTGATCCTCCACACTCTGCTGGACAGCTGGACCGCCGCTGTCCCGGACCTCCTGAGGGCGTTCCAGGGTGGTGAGGGGTCTGCGGAGGTGGACGTCCGGTACCAGGCACTGCTGGAGGTTCTAGTGGTTCTCCCCGAGGAGCTCCAGACGAGGAAGCTGTCGGCAGACCGTCGAGCTCAGCTGCAGAGTGCATTAGCCAGAGAGTGGAGCTCACTGTGCCCCCTGCTGCGGCAGATACTGCGGAGAGAGGATGCAGCAGGACAGGTAAACACACACAGAACTGGAGAACACAGAAAGCGTTGTAGGTAGTAAAAACTACACACACTGCAGATTCATACCGGATTAAAATCGCTCCACAATTATTACCGTCAGACTGTAAAACTACACACACTGCAGATTCATACTGGATTAAAATCACTCCACAATTATTACTGTCAGACTGTAAAACTACACACTGCAGATTCATACTGGATTAAAATCACTCCACAATTATTACTGTCAGACTGTAAAACTACACACACTGCAGATTCATACTGGATTAAAATCACTCCACAATTATTACAGTCAGACTGTAAAACTACACACACTGCAGATTCATACTGGATTAAAATCACTCCTCAGTTATTACAGTCAGACTGTAAAACTACACACACTGCAGATTCATACTGGATTAAAATCACTCCACAATTATTACTGTCAGACTGTAAAACTACACACACTGCAGATTCATACTGGATTAAAATCACTCCACAATTATTACAGTCAGACTGTAAAACTACACACACTGCAGATTCACACTGGATTCAAATTACAGATCCTGTGAGAAATATGTTAAATTACAAAACGAATCCAGCTCCAATACTGCAGAAATCAACCATCTTTCAAAGAAGGAAAGATATGAGATGAAAAATGGGAAACAAATAAATAAACAAATGTACAGTCAAAAGACGGCTGCTACTGTTTCTACCACACAATATCACTTTGCCATTGTTCATATATAACAGTATGTCATACAGTGTTATGTCAAGCAAATCTATTTGAGATTACTGAACGAGTGATCACTTTGAGGTTGCCGTGTCATGATTTATGTAGCACAACGTCGCCTGACGTCCATTACTTGTTAGCTTCAGTAGCTTCGCAGCTCCAGTGTCAAACTGAAAACTGTTGTGTGTGCAGGTGAAGGAGCGTGTGCTGCGGTGCCTCGTGTCGTGGCTGGCTCTGGATGTGGATCTGGGTGAAAGCGAAGGTCTACTGCAGGACAGCTTCACTCTGCTGAGGGAGCCGGAGCTTTTTGACACGGCTGTGGAGACGATCGTCAGCGCCATCTCACAACACGACAGCCAGAGGTGAGACAGATCAGGGCCAAGGAGTCATAAAGTACAATTTAAATACATGCCTTAAATGAAACAGTTTGTGAGGTGAACAAAAGTGATATTTTACATCAGTTCAAACTTCAAAAACACTTCAAATCAGCTTCTGTCCTGCTTTGCTTTTCACAGTGTAGAGAAATGTGGAGTCTAGGAAAGATCTGTTAACCCTTAGACCCTAAGGATCTGTCTGGCCCAGTCCCATCTCTTATTTTTACCCCTACCCCTTGTTTTTGAGTGTCACCCTAACCCCTTGGAACTGAGTTATAAGGGGTAGTGGTTGAAATCTTCCCTCTGAAATGGGACCCTCAAATAAAAAGAGCATTACTTCATTAACAGCTACCAGCGCTGCTCTGTAGGCGACCCTGGCAGTCTGCAGTGACAGCAGAGGAGGGTGAAGTTCAGCTCCTCACTGCTATGCATGTGAAGTAAAGATAATAGACATTTAAAACACAGGCAAACTGTCCTTCAGAGCAACCTGTATGCATGTTTCAGATAAATAATTTAGAACATTAATAAAATCGAAATCTACAGCGCTTAGAAAACAGCAGTTTTGCCTGTTCCACTTTACCTTGCTTCAGAAATATCTTTTTCGCATTCATGTCTGAATCCATTCAGCAAATCATGCTTAAAACTATACTTTCTCAGGAGTCGTCCATTATAGGTTGTGAAAAATATACATCTTAATGTCCTTTTATTCACTCAACCCGGTTACCTGAACACATTCAGCACTGTGAAATATCTGGAATTTTCCACGAGTCGCATATTCAACAGAAATTTGCATCATCCTGATTTCCTAAAGATCACGGAAAGAAGATAAAGAAAGTTTGTCATTCTTGTTTCTTTATTTTCAATTCCATTAAAATTAAATTAAGGTCTGAAAGTACAATCCAAAAAGTACAATAATGTCTTTAATGTCCTCATCATTAGCGTGGATGCTCGTTCTCCACATATTGTGTATTTGTTAATTCTGTGCTAAAAAATAATCCCTGTTACTCGATCAAGTCGTTGTCAGCAAATTAACCGTGCAAAAAATGAGGTATTGTACAGAGCCTGGCTGGTGACATCCCGCATAAATAAAAATAACGCGTTGCCACACTGTATAAACGTGTGGGAACGAGATCCTAATGCGTGGCCATGACTTAGTAAGGCATGGGAACGGCATAATTAAGCAGGGCCACGACTTAGTAGGCGTGTGAACAAGATCATGTCTTATTCAGCTGTGGTCAAGGCTTAATTATCTCATTCCCATGCCTTACTAAGTCGTGGCCATGCATTAGGATCTTGTTCCCACACCTTATTAAATCATGGCCACTCGTTCCTGAGATGGTTTAACACTTTTTTAGTGTTTGAATGTATGTTTTCATAGATTCAGTGTTAAGAAAATGCTTAAAATAGGTAATTTTTAAGAGTTATAAGGACTAAATGGTGCCCCAGTCATGGAATCACCCATTTACAATTAAATAGTACAGAAAAACAACATAAAACCTCGGGTGTGGAAAGGTTTACTGTAATTAACAATAATTTTCAGCACTTTCAGGATGATTATAACTGTAAATATGTTCGCAGGTTTGCTGACAGTCTGCTGAAGATGCTGCCCCAGGTGCTGGCCCTTCAGGAGCAGCTGACGAAGGCCGCGCAGGACAGAGACATGGAGACGTCTCACGGAATCTGCCGCATCGCCGTGGCACTCGGGGAGACTCACTGCAGGTGGCGCACAGTGGCACAGATATCAGAGCACCAGTTCAGCAAGTCCTCCTCTTACCTCAGATTCAGTTGAAGAGTGAAGACACGTTTTGTGTTTTGCACTTCAGCTTCTTTAGTTTTGCCCTGGAGCTACAAGGCTAACGTAGCTAACCTGCAGTGTAAGCCTACACCCACCAATTAGCTATGGGAGGCAAATCCGGCCAAAAGAGAAATTAAAATTAAAACAGTAAAATGTAAATGCAGACCTCTTTTCGCCATTTCTTTTTTCAAACATCTGCGCAAATATCCTGCCAGAATTGAAAATCATATGAAATACCTACATTTGCAATTTCATTTTTCACATAAGCACGAGCCATTTGTGGCAAAAATAAAAATAAATGTAAAACAGCTGTTTGTCATTTCATTTTAGACCGTATTCTGGTATTTCATGGTCATATCTAAAATGAAAAAGCTAATAGAGAAAAGAAAACCCAAGCTTCACTTTGGCTTTCGCTTTTCTTCATGAAATGCAGAATACGTGTCAAACTAAAGTCAAAATGCAGTGTTTACGTTCTTATTTCTTATTTCTTTTTCATAGCAATCGGCTGCATATCTGACAAAATGAAAATGAAAATGCAAAAAAAGGATAAATCAACAGCAAAGTGACGGTTTGTGATTCAGTTTTCGGTGTGGATGCGCTTTAAGTGTCAGAATATAAAGACAAACGCAAACGAACACAGGTGCCACCTGCTGGTGATTTAGTTTTCATTTCACACTTTGCTTTTTCGTTTTCAAATTGACCAGCATGCAAATATATGTTAATTAGCACTAGGTGGGGCTACGGGGTACATTTTAGGACATCCTCAGACCTCAGCATCAGAACGGCATCATTCCTCGCACTAAACCACTTCGAGTCTCGAGAAAAACAATCATCATGTCTCAGATCTGGTGTAACTGAATATCAGACCAAACACCGTCAGACCAAACAGCCTCAGAAAAAACTGTGAAAATGTTAAACTGGCATTTATATCGAGATACACAATAGTTTTCTAAGTTATATGAACCAGTGTATGCTCGACCAGGCTTGCGTTTGGTCTGATACCTTTTTTCTGAGGCTGTTTGGTAATTAGCGTCATGTACACTGCATGCCTAAATCTTCACAGACTCGCCTCAGACCATGTTGACAGCAAATCTAAAACAGACTCACACCTGCGGTTTCTCACTCGTGTGTCTTGCTTATAGACATAGTAGCAGATGTAGTGATAAAGACATAATGATTGTGTATCATAAGACTTTATATATATTTATAATAGATATTAGAATTCAAGTACCCCCTCTAACTGTAGATAAATACAAACCCAATAGACCTCTCCGATCACAGACCGGTCTGTTGGTGGTGCCCAGAATCAGAACCAAACAGGGTGAGGCAGCATTCAGTCACTATGCTGCCAACTACTGGAACAAACTCCTATATGAGGTCAGATATGCTCCCAGTGTCGACATCTTTAAGTCCAGTTTAAAGACGTTCTTGTTGTGCCTTTGTTTAGCACTGCACTGTAGTTTTTACTATTTAAGTTTCTTTTAATCCCTTTTATAATCTATTTTATTTATCTTCTATTTATTTTATAATCTATTTTATTTTATTTATCTTCTATTTATTTTATAATCTATTTTATTTTATTTATCTTCTATTTATTTTATAATCTATTTTATTTTATTTATCTCTATCACTTAAATTTTTATTTTCTTTCATAACTATCTTTGCAAATGCCTTTCTGAGGTGTTAGATGTCAGGATATTATCAAACATTAAGCCGCTTATCCTTCTGGATCGTGGGGTTGCTGGAGACTGTCTCAGCGGTCATTGGGCAGAAGGCAGAAACACCCTGGACAGGTGGCCAGTTCCAGTTGGCCTGACTGCATGTCTTTGGACTGTGGGAGGAAACCCACACAGACACGGGGAGAACATGCAAACTCCATGCAGAAAGGACCCTGGTTGCCCGGCCGGGGAATCAAACCCAGACCCTTCTTGCTGTGAGGCGACAGGGCTACCCACTGCGCTTAAAGCACTTTATTTTTCCTTTTTGATGTTGCTTTTACTTTTATTTATGTTAAGCACATTGAATTACCTTCACGTATGAAACTTGCCTTGTCTCTGTTTCTCTCTCTCAGGGCTCTTCTGGAGCAGGTAGACCACTGGCAAGGTTTCCAGGCTTTAGTCAACATGATTCTCTCCTGCACTGGGATGCCTGGACATTACCCAGTGGACGAAACCTCCAGCTCACTCACACTCACATTCTGGTACACACTACAGGTATTAAACAGAAAACTAGGATCGTCACCTTTTCAAAGAAGAATGATCATATCAACCAGTCTTCACTAGTTACCCATAATAAGGTTCTCCTTATTACGTATAAAGCTCTGCACGGCCTGGCTCCTCAATATTTGGCCAAGCTGCTTAACCCTTGTGTGGTGTTCAGGTCTGTGGGACCCATTTTCAGTGTTTACCAAAAGAAAAAATGATGCAATTTATTATCATTTCAACCTCAGATTCTTGGCTTTGTTCATTTTCTGTGAAGAACATATAAAATAACCCATTTTCAGTGTCTTCACTCTGTTCACCCCCCACACATTTATACTACACATGTGGTGTTGGGTGAACCCGCGGGGAGTAAAAGTGTGGAGGTGCTGTGTCCTTCACTCTGTTCTCCTCCTACATGGCCTGCTGTTAGTGTGTGTGTGTGTGTCTGTGTGTGTGTTTGTGTATGTGAGTGTATGTGTGTGTGTGAGGGTGGACAACAAGGACAGGCTGCTGACTGACTACAGCTGCTAAAGGAGAACCCTACACTGGCCACTTGTGATATTTTAAACATCTGGTATTTTTACATAAACTCTTATGGCTGTATTGATTTAAAACAACCATAGTGGGTCCACCAGACCACTGAGTCACAAACACATCAACACCACACAAGCGTTATTCTATTTGTCCCATCCCTACTTTAGGATCACAAAATTGAGGCCTTCTTCATGTTCCAAGGTTTAAATTGACTTCTATGCGTGGTCAATCACCCATTATGGAATTTTGAATTCCCAAATTATGGAATACCCCCCCCCAGGCTATCCGGGACACCACCACTCAGTTTTCGTTTAAGTCTCTGTTAAAGACTTACTCGTTATCACTGTGTCTACCTGTATTGTCCTTTTGTTGTGATTTGTTTAATGCGTTCATGTTCATTGATTGTAACGCGTTCTTAAGAATGGGAAAGGCGCTATATGGGGGCATTCGTGGGCTGGAGGTTAGAGAACCAGCCTTGTGACCGTAAGGTCGCCAGGTTAATCCCCTGAACCGACAGTATGTGACTAAAGCACATTTGAGCAAGGCACCTAACCCCCAGCTGCTCCCCAGGCGCTGCGGATAGGGCTGCCCACCGCTCTGGGCATGTGTACTTACTGCCCCCTAGTGTGTGTGTGCTCACTAGTGTGTATGTGGTGTTTCACTGCACGGATGGGTCAAAATGCAGAGGTGAAATTTCCCCGTTGTGGGACTAATAAGGGTCACTTAATTTAATTTAAATTTCTATTAATAAAAGTGATGATGACAAAGATGATGATGAAAAACGAACATAACACTCAACTCTACGTCCACTAAAAATCTCAGCCAAATGAAAACCGTCTGTGCGAAGTGCAATACCTTTTTAAAGCGTCCTGATCTTTCTCCTACAGGACGACATCATGACTCTCGAAACAGAGAAGCAAACGCTGTACCTGCAGGTTTACAGACCACTTTACTTCCAGCTGGTGGAGGTGCTGCTGCATAAGGCTCGCTTCCCCAGTGACCAGGATTTCGCCCTGTGGTCCGCTGATGACAAGGAGCAGTTCAGAACCTACAGGTGAAAACGACACACATCTCGTAAAGTAAACAAAGTGGACTCTCTTTTTGAACAACCCCCTTAAATCCTGTGACACTTTTTTGTATCCTATAGAAGAAACGTGAACCTCCTGATCTGTTTCAGTGGCTGTGACTGATGTTTTTTTCACAGGGTTGACATCTCCGACACGCTGATGTACGTGTATGAGCTGCTGGGCCCGGAGCTGCTGCGCAACCTTTACGATAAACTCGGCGTGCTGCTCACAGACACGACTCACTCATCCTCGTGGCAGGTCAGTGCTTCACATCACCACGTTCTTGTCAAAGAACACTTTGTATGGTTGAAAGGTTGCATTGTGAAGAGTTCCTGTAAGTGAACAGAAGAACCCAGCATTTGGTATCGAAAAGTACAAAAGAAAAAAATCTCTGTTCTGTTAGAGCAACAAAAATAAATATAATATTAATAACAATGATGGAAAAATGTCTGTTTCTGTCTTCACCCCCTTCCTCCCCCATCTGTCTCTCTAATGGAGGATATAGAGGCTTTGCTGTTTGGCTTCCAGTCCATAGCTGAAACGGTGGACGTCAGTTACTCTGATGTGATTCCTGGTCTGATCGGACTGATCCCCCTCATCACCGCCAACAACATCCACCTGGCAGAGACCATCATGCTGACTATAGGTACAGCACCACTCAGATTCCTGAGCTAAAACCAGACTTGCAGCATTCTTTGCTGCACTGTGTAGAGCAGGCATGTCAAACTGGGGACGTTCCGGGCCGAAGTGCTTCAGAGATTAGCCTTTACCCTCATCTAACGCTCTGAATTCAGTTCGTGAGGGCCTTGCTAATTAGCTGACGAGCTGAATTAGGTGTGTTAAATGAGGCGGTGAGCTGAAGTCTGCAGTGTTTTAGCCTGCCAGGACTGGAGCCTGACGCATGTGGTTAAGAGGGAGCTCATCAGATGTTTGTGAGGTAATTGGAGGTTTGGTTCAGGGTGCGGTAGATGGTAGTCATCCCATCATAACATGGGTTTAGACACAACTTACCAGATAACAAAGTTTTAAACTAATGATTAGCTTTAAATCGTGGAAAACTCTTTTTTCTTGTTTTTTAATTGGTCCGGCATGTATTTCCCCCTTTACTGTCACTGGAGCCTTTTAAGTGTGAGACAAAGTCAAAATACAGAGATTTCTACATACATGCTACAAGCAAGCTAATACTGCACATTGAAGTGATGTCGCTCGCAAGGCTTAAAAGGGGAATTCCACCCATATTTCAACATTTCTGCATAATTCAGTCAGTTTGATGAGAAATGCTGTTCTAGAAAAACCTATGGACTCAATTTCTTTGCAGTGTTGGTGATAGGAACCAGGGGTCACAATGGCTAACATGCTAATATAGCCATTTTACTTACTGTGCTAAACCCACCTGTGAACTTGCGTGTATTAGTAGGTAAAAAAAGTGGAAGATCTGAAAAACGAGAGGTTGGAAAATGACTTTTTGGTAATAAATCCACACAAACATTATAAGTGGACTTTGAGGAGACACACAGGTATTTAGAGCCCTTTGAGGTGCAGTTATTTCATCCATCAGTGGTTTCCTACAGGCTCCCTGGCGGAGTGGTTGGCTGATCACCCTCTCATGCTGGCTGGCGTCCTGCGTCTGGTGCTCCAGACTCTGTCCAACGCTGACCTCTCCGTGGCCACCGTCTCCACCCTGAAGAGGATCTGCCGTGAGTGCCGCCACAGCCTGCGGCCCCACTCGAATGACATCCTGACTGCTTCGCAGGTACAGAACAGCACATTCACACTCCGGAAACAGAAGCAGAGTTTCTTTACTCGCTCTGACGTTCCTGCCTGTGGCTGTTTCTCTTACAGGAGGTGCTGGTTAAACAGATTCATAAGGTAAGGCCGAAACTCCTCTAATCCAGACTGTAACGCTGTAGCGTCAGCAGCGCATATGAGACTTTTATTTACACTCAGAACCAGCCAAAGTTTGGAAAACTTGCATAAATATGTTTTTCATAATCTTGAAGACATTTCGATCTACAGGCTTAAACACTTAAAAATTCTTTCCATGACAAATAAAAATAGTGCATGTATGAATTTATATGAATTTATTTTCCTTTTTTAGGGATGAATTGTGGGCTCATATTTTCGTGTACAGGTCTGCCAATGTAGAAATATAAATATTAATAAAATGTAGAAACTCTGACTAAATCCAGCTGGATTAGCATTACAGAGAAATATAACACTTATTTGTAGTGGCTTACAGATAGAAAGATTAATAAAAAGGTGAATAAGAAGTAAAAGATTTATAAAATGTGGATAGTTTAGCGCAGTAACCCAGAATCATCTAAATATCGGTTAGATTAAATCTCAGTATTGGTTTCAGATAATGGTCGAATCTTAACATCCCCATGCTGATATTTGTTTTTTGAGCAATTATCTGCTGATACTGATATGATTTCAATACCATCACGTGACGCTATGAACTAAATAATAAAACAGGTAGTTGACAACAGCCAATGAGTGTATGTGTATCTTCTTCAGTCCTGCTGGAAAAGCATCTCAGGTGGCTCTTCATGAAGATGCCTGAGAGAATGCAAAGAGTATGTAAAGCTGCATCAAGGCAGTGATGAGACTTTAAAAAATCTCAAATAAAAGATAGTTTGAATTTTTGAACCATATTTCATTGCATTTATTTCATAGTTTTGATGTCTTCATTTCAGTGTTATTCTAAAATGTGGAAAATGGTAAAAATAAGGAAAACACTTCTATGCGCGTCCGAACTTTTCCTGGTTCTGTATGTGTGACTGTTCACTGTTTCACTGTTGTATTTCTCTAGAGCACTCAGAGTGTGTGAGTGTTCACTGTCTCACTGTTGTATTTCTCTAGAGCACTCAGAGTGTGTGACTGTTCACTGTTTCACTGTTGTATTTCTCTAGAGCACTCAGAGTGTGTGAGTGTTCACTGTCTCACTGTTGTATTTCTCTAGAGCACTCAGAGTGTGTGAGTGTTCACTGTCTCACTGTTGTATTTCTCTAGAGCACTCAGAGTGTGTGAGTGTTTACTGTCTCACTGTTGTATTTCTCTAGAGCACTCAGAGTGTGTGAGTGTTCACTGTCTCACTGTTGTATTTCTCTAGAGCACTCAGAGTATGTGGCTGATGCAGGCTCTGGGTTATCTGCTGTCATCTCTGCCTGATGAGGAGATTCTGGGGAAACTCCTCTCACTGCTCTCTCCACACATCCAGCAGCTGGAGAGACTGGCCAATGAGACGGTAAGGACTCTTCAGCCCATGGACAAAGTCACTGTACTGGTTCATGTGAATATCTGCCAGTGCGGATGGCAACACCAATACATAAATATTTATAAAATGCAGAAAGATCCACCTGGTTTAGCATTACAGAGAAATCTAGAATATATATCTATAGGGCTACAAATCTAGTGAAATCAATAATATGCAGACATTTTAGTGCAGTAGCCCAGCATCCCCTAAACACTGCTCAACCACAGTACAATGAACACATCATCAAATACCACTTTGTAATGTCAGATATGCTGATATTTCATGTTCTGAGGGAATATCTCCTGATCTAGTATCTGATTCTGATATCATCATGACTCACTGCTCTTTATGATAAGAAACTGAGCTCCTTTCCCAGAGGCTGTCGTACCCCTGCTGGAGTTTTCAATGCTCTTAACACATCTGATCCAACCAGTAAGCTTATTAACAAGCCACTCCTGAGCTGATGTGGGTGTAACAGTGTTAAATGTGTATTATTTCTGTAATACATGCAGTGACCGTAGTTTCCAGATGTTGCGTCTGTGAACGTCAGTCAGACCCTATAAAATGTTTGGATAAGCTGTTTTCATTCTGCATACTTGTCTTTGTTTTAAGGCCTGTAAAAATGCACACCCTAAAATGCAGACGATCTGAAGGTGGTGATTCAACTGCATTCATTTTGGAAAATGCTACTTCGTTCAATAAAGTATGTCTTCGTTGTTTAAGGTGTCGGGACCAAGTGCGATTCCCGCTCGCTCAGAGCCCCAACATATGGAAAAATCAAACTAATCTGTTCTATAACTATGTTTCAGTTCTTTAATAAATCTAGTTGCTTGTTCTCATCATAAACGCAAAATAAAAATAAAGTTCAGTCAAAAATAAATGAAAGTTGAATAAAAGACTTCAGCCGTTGAGTTCTTTTGAAGGAAGGAAAAGGCCCTCTTCATTTATTGAGCTTCAGGTGGCATAATGGCTCCGGACAACCAAACGCAGTGTATAATACAGAAACATTATTTTTTATACCCTGTTTGGGGCGATGAAGCAATCGCCCCCTCCCTCTCATCTATTCTCATTTCACTTTGGTTCCCATTATTTCCTATTTTTACACTTCAGTTGGAACCCCTTATTTCCCCCCAGCACGTGTCCTTGATTTTTTAAAAACTTGCATGCTCAGCTATCCCAAGCTACTCCCATCCTCTCAAGGATTTTAATCAAATTTTGTTTTAAAACTGGTTCCAACACTGATACTGTCTGGTTCCCTATCGGCTTAGCTCACTCTTTGAGGTCAGCTTGCCCTTACAATAAAACATACCAGCTTCTAGAAGCTTCAGAAACCCTCCATTGCGAAATCCCTTAACCTACATACAGCAAGGCCTTTCCTTAGTGAGAGGATTAATACACTTTTGTTAATCAATTTTGTAGTATATGATTATGGATTTCTTATTGATTATGATAGTAATATATTCATTATAATTCCACAAAGGGATGCTCAGTGATATCAGAATCACATCGGTATCGACAGATATCTGTGACAGATGTTTAAATTTGTCCAGTACGTTGATATTTGATGTGTTTATTGCACTGTGGAAGAGCAGAAACTTTAGTTGCTGGGTTACTGCGCTGAAAAATCAACATTTTAGTCATTTTACTGCATTTGTAATTTGTAGGCTGATCGATTATGGAAAAAAATAATAATCGCGATTATTTTAGTCAATATTGAGATCACAGTTATTTAACATGATTGCTCATCATGCGTTTATTGAACTTGTCTTGCAAAACTTGTCTTTTTTTAACCGTGGAGCTTTAAATATAATTCAGCTGAAAAACAAATTTAAAAAGTAATAAACAGATAAATAAGTAAAATAAAAAAAAGAAAATAAAAATAAATAAGATCAAAATAAGTAACATCAATTACGTTGTGGTGCACTTCCATAACATACAGAAAACTATTAAACGTATATAAAAATAATAAATAAAAATAAATTAGACTAAAATAAATCAGAGGAGTTTGGGCTTTTAGGGAGGGCTGAAAGCACCACTGTAAAGGAGAGGAGTGCGCTGGATTTAGAACACAAGACAAAACAAGAGCATCATTGCTTAACAGAATGATTGGCACAATAATTGTTTTATCTCGACTGTCTTGTTTTCATAATCATTGGAAACCAAACAATTATGTAATTTAAAATAAAATTTAATTAATTGCTCAGCCCTAATTTGTAAAACAGGTCAGAGGTCAGAGATTTACACCTCTGGTTGTTGTGTCTGTTTATTTATTTTCAGGCCAGTCCAGCTAGTAAACTCTCCACTGTGCACATTCTGGGCCTCCTCTCCAGCCTCTTCTCTACTTTAGACCTGAACGGTCAAGGAGATGGACAGGAGGACGTCAGAGCCGCCCGCCCTCAGCCTCGCACCAACCCGGTGAGCCACAACACACAGAACACGTATAGTCTGACCTTTACAGTGAGCACAAGATCAAACTTAGCAAATCAAATCAGGATTGTTTAGTGATCCTCACCTAATCTGTAGTAGCCACCAGTGTTGGGCGGTAATGCGGTACAAAATACTGTGTTACAGTAAAAGTAGTAACGCATTGCAGTTACTGGCTTCATAACAATGTTATTGTAATATTAATTATGTTTTAGGATTCATATCATATATCTGTCTATCTTTTATCTATCTATGTATATGTGTATATATATATATATATATATATATATATATATATACAAGCCAATTTACAAAAAAGTTGGGAAACTGTGCAAGGTGTAAATAAAAACAAAATGCTATGATGTGAAAATCCCATTTAAACCCTGTATTTTATTGAAAATAGTACAAAGACAACATATCAAATGTTGAAACTGAGAAATGTTACTGTTTTTTGAAAAATATACACCCATTTTGAATTTGATGCCAACAACACATTCCAAAAAAGTTGTGACGGGGGCAACAAAAGGCTGGTAAAGTTGTGTCATGCTAAAAAAAAAAACACCTGGTGTTTGATTGGCAACAGGTCAGTAACATGATTGGGTATAAAAAGAGCATCTCAGAGAGGCTGAGTCTTTCAGAAGTAAAGATGAGGAGGGTTCACCACTCTGTGAAAGACGGCACGATCAAATAGTGCAACAATTCAAGAATAACGTTTCTCAACATAAAATAGCAAAGAACTTTTGCTTTTCGGCATCTACAGTACATAATAACATTAAAAGATTCAGAGAATCAGGAGAAATCTCTGTATGCAAGGGACGAGGCCAAAAACCAGTATTTGCTGGCTGTGATCTTTGGGCCCTCAGGCGGCACTGCATTAAAAAACAGACATGATTCTGTAGTGGAAATCACTGCCTGGGCTCAGAAACACTTCTGAAAAACACAGTTCAGTGCTGCGTCCACAAATGCCAGTTAAAACTGTAAAACACAAAGAAGAAACCATATATAAACGGGATCTAGAAATGCTGCCACCTTCTCTGGGCCCGAGCTGATGTAAAATGGACTGAGGGGAAGTGGAAAAGTGTCCTGTGGTCATATGAATCAACATTTGAAATTCTTTTTGGAAATCATGGACACTGTGTCCTCCGGGCTAAAGACCACTCAGCTTGTTATCAGTGCACAGTTCAAAAGTCAGTATTTATGATGGTATAGGGGGCATTAGAGCACATGGTATGGGTGACGGCACCATTAATGCTGAACGATATATACATGTTTTGGCAACATTTGCTGCCATCCAGATGACGTCTTTTTCAGGGAAGGCCTTGATTATTTCAGTAAGACAGTGTCAAACCACATTCTGCATGTATTACAACAGCATGGCTCTGTATTAAAAGGGTCTGGGTGCTAAACTGGCCTGCCTGCAGTCCAGACCTGTCACCACTGATAACATTTGGTGCATTTTAAAAGGAAAGCATGACAAAGGAGACCCCGAACTGTCGAGCAGCTGAAATTCTGTATCAAACAAGAATGGAAAACATTTCTCTTTCAAAACTACAGCAGTGTCTCCTCAGTTCCCAAACACTTACAGAGTGTTGTTAAAGGAGAGGTGATGAAACACAGTGGTAAACAGGCCCCCATCCCAACTTTTTTGGAACATGTTGTTGGCATCAACTTCAAAATGGGCAGATATTTTTCAAAAAACAATAAAATTTCTCAGTTTAAACATTTAATTTGCTGTCTTTGTACTATTTTCCTTCAAAAATATGGTTTACATGATTTGCATATCATTGCATCCTATTTTTATTTACATTCTTCACAGCGCCCCAACATTTTTGGAAATCGGGTTGTATATATATATATATATATATATATATATATATATATATATATATATATATATATATATATATATATATATATATAGAGAGAGAGAGAGAGAGAGATATTTACTATGACTGCATATTTCTTTATAAATAAAGTACTGAAAACTGAAAGACTATGGGGTGCGTGTTTGCAATGGAACTGTATATCCAGAAATCTAATTCCACTGCAGTATGACAGAAGTAATTGGTAATTATTGAGTCACAGTATCAAGTAATTACTTTAATTAGTCAGCATTAGCTTAATATTAGGCCAATGGAATGCTCACTGAAACACTGAAACAAGGAGCTGATCTGCTGTTTTGGACTTGTCTGTTAGGTTGTAGTCGTGCTGCAGCAAGTTTTCCCTCTCATCCAGAACCTGCTAAGTAAGTGGCTGAAGGAGGCCGAGGTGGTGAAGGTGAGTGTGTGAATTCACTGTGTGTGTATATATATATATATATATATATATATATATATATATATATATATATACACCGATCAGGCGTAACATTCTGACCACCTCCTTGTTTCTATGCTCATTGTCCATTTTATCAGCTCCACTTACTATATAGGTGCACTTTGTAGTTCTACAGTTACAGACTGTAGTCCGTCTGTTTCTCTGCATACTTTGTTAGCCCCCTTTTACCCTGTTCTTCAGTGGTCAGGACCCCCGTGGACCCTCACAGAACAGGTACTATTTGGGTGGTGGGTCATTCTCAGCACTGCAGTGACACTGACGTGGTGGTGGTGTGTTAGTGTGTGTTGTGCTGGTACGAGTGGATCAGACACAGCAGTGCTGCTGGAGTTTTTAAACACTGTGTCCACTCACTGTCCACTCTATTAGACACTCCTACCTTGTCGGTCCACCTTGTAGATGTAATCAGAGACGATAGCTCATCTGCTGCTGCGCAGTTTGTGTTGGTCATCCTCTAGTCCTTCATCAGTGGTCACAGGACGCTGCCCACAGGACGCTGTTGGCTGGATGTTTTTGGTTGGTGGACTATTCTCAGTCCAGCAGTGACACTGAGGTGTTTAAAAACTCCAGCAGCACTGCTGTGTCTGATCCACTCAGACCAGCGCAACACACACTAACACACCACCACCACCTCAGTGTCACTGCAGTGCTGAGAATGATCCACCACCCAAATAGTACCTGCTCTGTGAGGGTCCATGGGGGTCCTGACCACTGAAGAACAGGGTAAAAGGGGGCTAACAAAGTATGCAGAGAAACAGACGGACTACAGTCTGTAACTGTAGAACTACAAAGTGCACCTATATAGTAAGTGGAGCTGATAAAATGGACAATGAGTGTAGAAACAAGGAGGTGGTCAGAATGTTATGCCTGATCGGTGTAAATGCTCACCATCCACAAAATCAAAGAGTGGACACAATAAATACTGAAAAATATTATATTTATTTGCTGTAATTTACATTTAATGGACTGCAAATCAAATAGAAAAGGGTGGTCTCTGACTTTTACGCTGTACATTGTGTGTGTGCTGCACAATTGATCAGCTTTCCATTCATCATTGATCAGTTTCTGACCACTAGATCACTGTTGACCGGACAGACACACACAAGAGACTCATTTTTACTTCCTCACAGGCTGCGTGTGCTGTTTTTGAGAAATCCCTGAAGACCCTCATTCGTGATTTTGCCCCCCTGGTGTCTCAACTCTGTGAGCTGATCGGCCAGTTGTTCAGTGCTTACCCACAAGCCTGTGCTTTGGACCTCACACGACAGGTGAGGTCATGAGCAGCAGACAAATACATAAGCGTTTGTCCGTTTCTGCAACTGTGGCCTACTGAATATTCTGTATATAAGCAGACTGGATGGTGTTCATGCTGGTGAGGATGAAATGCTGATCTTGTATTTACAGGCATTGATTATGTTTTATGTTTTGATCATAGCTGGTTCATGTATTTGCCTGTGAGAAGGAACAATTCCCACCAATCACTGCTCTGCTGGAACTCGTCACGAACATCACCATGTCCATTTTTCAGCACGGTAAGACGTCACTGCGTATGTAGGAGACATGAATTTGGAGTTATAAGGCTGTATCTGAATTTTTTTTTATCAAAATTGAGTTACATATTCCTATTCTGTGACAACGGCGGAACATCATGTGAGGTGTTTTTAGAATTGTGTGCATTTTTGGACTCTTTATCTAGAAAACAAAAAGGTTCTGTCACCAAAGTCAAACTTAGTTCTATACTGTTCTATCTGTGAGCCAATCAGCACTTCAAATACACAGAAGAGGACCAATCAGGTTCCGCTTCTTTATCATGTCGCTGCACCGCCCAGTGTCTGTGTTTACATGCAAAGATTGCGATTATAGATTCAGTCTGAGGTGTTTATTCTCACTCTGCTCAGCAACCTGATGGAAAACCTGTTTACATGCTCACTACGAGTAATCAGATCCAAAATTGGCCACGCATTAGTATCTTGTTCCCACGCCTAAGTCGTGGCCATGACTTAATTATCTTGTTCCCACACCTTACTAAGTAGTGGCCATGACTTAATTATCTTGTTCCCACACCTTACTAAGTTGTGGCCACGCATCACTAAGTCATGGCCACGACTTAATTATCTTGTTTTCATGCCTTACTAAGTCGTGGCCATAACTTCATTATCTTGTTCCCATACCTTACTAAGTCGTGGCCACGACTTAATTATCTCGTTCCCACGCCTAACTAAGTCGTGGCCACGACTTATGTTGTTCCCACGCCTTACTAAGTCATGGCCACGCATTATGATCTCGTTCCCATGTCTTACTAAGTCGTGGCCATGACTTAATTATCTTGTTTCCATGCCTTACTAAGTCTTGGCCACGCATTAGGATCTTGTTCCCACACCTTACTAAGTCGTGGCCACGCATTAGGATCTCGTTTCCACCCCTTACTAAGTCATGGCCACGGCTTAATTATCTTGTTCCCATGCCTTACTAAGTTGCCAGATTAGAACCTTATAACCCAAAGCAGAAAGCGGGTTCTCAGGATCAGAAGGTTCTGTCTGCATTTGACCTGTTCAGGAAAACTCACTGACAAATTTAAGTGATTTTTGATTTGGTCAGTTAGAATAAACTTGGGATGTCGGTCTTCGTCACGTATGAAAGAGAACGTGTTCCGCAGATCAGTTTTGCTGTTTGGAATGCAAAACCTTTGAAGCTCAGGGTGTCAGAACTGCTCAGAACGCAGAGAGAACCTTTACTGTCAGAGTGCTCCGCATGTTCTGCGTTGACTGTGTCTGTTGGGCTGGTGTTCCAGGCGCCCGAGATCATCCTGACGTGGCAGATTCATTCATGCAGCTTCATACTCAGGTGTGTTTATTTGACTGGAAACTGAAAAAGAATCTCATCTAGTCTGCATTTGAGAAGGAAATGGATTCTAAATGATTTAAAAGGCTTCGTTAGGCTTCGTTTGGCTGGTGCGCAGGGTGTTGTTCTGTAAACGGCTCTTTTGTGTTGCAGGTTCTGAAAAGGAAAGCAGACGTGTATCTCTCAGAGGGTCTTGATATCAAAGTTGTTTTCTACTGTGGTGGGCATTTAAGCATCATATCATTTCTGATGAATGAGCGTTTCATATCAACTACACTGAGTGTTCTTCCTCGTTAAAACTCTGCCTCACTGCCTCCGCAGGGATTTTATCATTCAAATTTCCAGAGACGCCCACTGTGAAGTCCACATGCTCGTTATTCGTAAGTCAGTTCTTATGAAACCAAAGATGCTTTTGTATTGATAGTCATAAAACACATTCAGACGTATCTGTGTTAATATTTTTACTGTTAATTTCCTTTATTTTCCATCTATAAGCTTTAACAAAACAATTTAGGGCAAATATAATAAATAATAATAAATAATGGCTTATTCTAATAGTATGTAATATCACATAACAATAATAATGACTTTTTCTAAAAGTATATATTATATAATAATAATAAATAACGACTTTTTCTAATAGTATGTAATATTACATAACAATAATAAATAATGACTTTTTCTAATAGTATATAATATTATATAACAACAATAAATGGCATTTTCTAATAGAGTGTATTATATAACAGTAGTAAATAACGACTTATTCTAATAGTATATAATATTATATAACGATAATAATTAACATTTTATTCTAATAGTATTTAATGTTATATAATGATGATAAATAATGGCTTTTTCTATTGATATATAATACATAACAATAGTAAATAAAAGCTCATTCTAATAAACGTCATCTGTTATATTGGTTGCTTTTGCCAACTTTGATGTCATGTTGAAATAACTGTGAAGGGACGTGTTTTTGTTCTGATGGGTTATCACGGCACTTTTTTGGGTGAAACGGCCCCTAATAGCCCTATAAACACTGCCCCACAGTACAGTGTTGCCTAATTCAGTTGATGTTGGACGTATGAAGTGCAGCCCAGGTCTTTCTCCTCTCTGTTCCTCCTCAGACAGAGCTGATCTCTCACTGTGAGGACGTCCCGGCGGTGAGGGAGGTGCTGCAGGAGGACGGCCTGCTGCTGCTTCAGACCCTGCTGGAGGTCAGACACGGCATCTACAGCTAAATTCACTAAATACAGTTTACTTGACAACAGTCAAGCATTTTTAATGAGGGGACCTGTTATGGGTGGGCGATATGGCGAAAATCATGATGTCGAGATACTTTGAAGACATTTTCACGATACCTGGTACATATTTAGTTTTTCTGAGGTTTGGTAAGTTGGAACTGACAAAAAAAAACCCCTGAACTGCCACAATTAGAAAATATTATCAACATCAGTGAGTGCGGTGATCTTTATTCAGTGTTTGCCAGTTAAACAGGACTTATACTCTCGTTGTAATCAAACATGATGTAGGCCAGTGTTCTTTAAGTACTGACAGTGTCCACGGTACGCTCAGAAAAGCATACTGTCACGTAATTTATCATGATAACGATAAAATATCATCCTATTGCCCACCCCTATGATCAGTTCAGGAAATAATCAGTTCAGTAAATGATCAGTTCAGTAAAATGATCAGTTTTGTAAATGATCTAGATAGTTTAGTAAAAATGTCTGGTTAGTAGGTGGTCAGTTCAGTAAGAGATCAGTAGAACGATCACGTTCAGTAAAATGATCATTTCAGTAAAATTATCATTTCAAAATGATCAGTTTTGTAAATGATCAGTTCAGTAAAACAATTAATTTTGTAAATGATCAGTTCAGTAAAATGATCAGTTCAGAAAAATGATCAGTTCGGTAAAATGATCAGTTCAGTAAATGATCAGTTCGGTAAAATGATCAGTTTTGTAAATGATCAGTTCAGTAAAAGAATTAATTTTGTAAATGATCAGTTCAGAAAAATGATCAGTTTTGTTAATGATCAGTTCAGAAAAATGATCAGTTTTGTAAATGATCAGTAAAATGATCAGTTCAGTAAATGATCAGTTCAGTAAATGATCAGTTCAGTAAAAGCCTGGACTGGCTTTCCCAAAGAATTTTAGCACAAAGACTGATCAAAGCCGTTTCTTGGGAAAAAAGCCAAAGGCCAAACATTTTATCCCGTTGTTGTGATGTCAGCACTCTGACCCTGATTTAGGCCAAACCTGCTCTTCACACCAGAAGAAGAAAGTCTGATGAACGTGAAGCTGGGTGTTCATAAATACACACAGAGCTTTAGACTGGAGCTGTTTTTGTTACTTAATTTTTCATAGTCAGCGTTTGTCAGGCAGTGTATTTACTCATAACGTGCACCACCCTGATCTGTGTGTGTGTGCAGGCTGTCGGGGGTCAGTCCTGCAGCCTGTTGGAGCTCCTGTCTGAGGTGTTCTTCTCCGTGAGCCGTCACTGCCCCAGCCTGTTCTCGCTCCAGCTCAGAGACGCCCTGCAGCCCCCGGGGTTCCCCAGCGCGCTCCTCACCCCGGAGCAGAAAGAACACTTCTGCCAGCAGATCCTCAGGTAGAGACGCCTGCAGCTGAAGTGATAGGCCAGTAAAAAATGAAATTTCCCCCCTTAGCCCAGGGCTATAGAGGGTGACAGTGTTGTCATTAGGAGAAACTAAGGGTCATTCTCCATTTGGAGGGGAAATCATGTCATAAAGGTTGCAGGGCTTAAAAATATGCTTAAAATATTTGGCACAGCTCCAAAAGTCAGTATGTATATTTACACAGCTGACCTAAGATTAAATAACACTTTTCCCTTATGATTCTCTGATTGATCTTTTTGATATTTTCATATTTGCTCTGCATCTGTAAAACAGCTCGTCACAAAACCAATTTTCAACATTTGAGAAACCGTTTTTAATATAAAATAATATTTCTAAGAGGTTTAACTTTGGAATTTGTATAGAACAGTTTCATGTTTACTTTTTTATATCATTAACGTTATACTACATTTAAAAAGGTGTATTTTATTTCAATAATTTATTTGTCACAGAGATTTTGGTCACTGGCGTTATCAGGACTCTTATGTTATGCTCTATTAAACTGCTTATTTGGGTCAAGGCTCATCAGAGAGGAAGCAGCTCAAGTCCACACCCGCTCACTATATTCCATTAATTTACTAATAATTTTGTTTATCAGGCAGCTCATTAACTTCTATATGTCACTGGTGTTTTGTGTTTTAATGGCTGGGTAATTAAAGTTTTATCAAAATAATGCCAAATATCATTTTATTACTGATTTTAAATAGTTGCACAAGGTCACCTGACCACCAGTGAGTCAGCCAGAATGTCACTGGAGTCACAGTCACTGTTGTTACACCTTATTCATACAACACCAGTGACTGTAAAATATGTTTGGAGCTCTATCATATATGATAATAGGAGATGTTGATGGACAAATTAAAATGATTTAGTTTTGGGATGAAAGAAAATATATATTTTTAAATGTATCCACCTCAGTTAACACTCCCAATGGAGAATGACCCACAAATACAAGGATTAACTGTATTACAAAGAACCGGAACTGGTTCCAGTTCCAGACTGGAACTGAAAAACTGAACCATGGAGTTATACCTGCTTACAAACAGACCAAGCAGGGACACTGAAAAAAGGCAATGATTCAAATGTGTCCGTCGGTTACACATGAATAAAATGTGGTACAGAGAACACACTTCCGTACATTTTAATACACAGTTACTGTTTATTTACTGAATTCACCATGTTGGAAAAAAATAAAACATAAAATGGGGTCTGAGCAAAAGTTAAGGCACATTTTATATTCTATTTTTATATTTAAGGTTATATTTAAATTTGGTTAACTTATTTTCACGCAGAAAATCACCCAGACTTCATTTGACTGGGGGTGTTCAAACTGGCATTCCAAAGTAAAATACAGGGTGATTCAAAAAGCTTCATCTGATTTCAAAATGATTTGTTTCACTTGTAAATCATTACAGAACAATGCAGTGAACTGTAAATGGTTTAAATGAGCATAAAGTTTATTATGTAATTGTACAAGGTCTCAGTATGAACCTCCTCCAGCTGTACAGACAACATCAACACCATAGTCAAATTCATCCCATACTGGATTGAGCATGTCGGGTGTCGCTGCACTCACGGCTCTTTCAGTGCGATTTCGGAGATCATCCAGTGTTGTGGAACCAACGACGAACGCTCTGAGCTGTTGGAGCTTCACTGTCCGCGAAAATCACACTGCACAGTTATGACTGATTCACTCTTATTGAAGTGGAGAACGCAGAACGCTTTCTGCTCAGGGGTCTCATCGTCTCTCAGACTGAAGGAAGCCATCTTCCACTGACAGTCAGAAACTGTATGACCCCCTCTTTTAGTTGGATTGTGATTGGTTCCTAGGCGCCTCACGGTTGTAAAAATGTGGCGCTTTGAAATCAGGTGAATCTTTTTGAATCACCCTGTATTTTATTTAAGTGCAACCAACTGACAGCAAGAGACTGTGATTTTTTTTTTAACGAGCATCTACAAAACGAATATCGCCCCAACCAGCCTGCCAAGACACTCATCCAAGTCTGAACCCTGTGTGTTTATTATATAAATAAATAAATAAACGCTTCTCGTCTTGCTCTTCCAAACTGGACGGTTTAGGATGATGTGGGTGGTGATACAGTGTGTGATGAATCAGTGATGTTTATGAACAGCTCACAGCTGTTTGTTCACCTCTTTAGGGAACAGGTGAGTAAGTGGAAGATGAGGGACGTCGTGAAGGAGTTCTCTCTGCTGTGTCGAGGTCTGCAGTGAACACGGTGAGCTGAACAGTCTTGTCTTGTAAAGTTTCCAGAGTGGTGCTTTATTTCTTTACGGGGAGGAGGGGTTCACCCTGCACTGTTTTGAGTTTGATTAAGTGAGCTGTGAATCTTTTCAAATAACAGAGTGATGTTTTGTTTTGTTTTATATTTTTGACCAGTTACACGCTGATCAGAGCCAATCGGGTTTGGATACGCCCACACGCTTCTTCCTGATTTGCACTCGTCCACATTTTAGAATAACAGTGAAGACCCAAACACTGAATCAACATTATGATGCAGAACATTTTAAAACACTTTTTTGATTGTAAAATATTTGTCTTGGTGATACATTTATCATTTATATACAGGACTACATCTGAGAAAATGTACTAAATTAGAAACTTTTTACATAAAACATTTTTCTGAACAGTTTTTTGCTTAGAAATAAACACCTGTAGCTTTAGTACAGTAAGTGTTGATTTTGTGTCTGTAAATGTGTTCAACCATTTATGAACCTCTCCTCGACACAGCCCAGAATTATCAGTAGTTATCGTCTAAAACCTGGTTTGGCTAAGCTGCCCTTCATTAAACTAGATCAGATCTGGAACCAAACCTGTTTACTTACAGCCAGTTCACGTATCAACAAAACATGCTTGTTCCTTTCTACTGCTTTCATTTTGTTTGCATTAATTCTAATATTATACAGTGTTGTTATGAGCAGAAACACATTTGTTGCCCAGAAAAGTGTTTTAGTCAGTTTAAGTGCCAAGATTTTACACAGAACTGCACGTCTTACAAACTGATGTCAAACGTTCAACTCCTTAGTGCAGAATTTTCTGGATTGTTATGTAACTCGTTATTGCAAGCTAACAATTTATCTTGAGATAACTCTATTTCAAGCTAACAACTTTGTTATCTTGAGATAACTCATTATTTCAAGATAACAACTTTGTTGTCGAGATAACAAGACAATTAACTCGTTATCTGAAGATAACTGTTATTTCAAGATAACTTATTTTGAGATAAGACAATTAACTTGTTGCCTCAAGATAACTTTATCTCAAGATAACTAACTCATTATTGCAAGCTCACAACTTTGTTATCTTGAGATAACCAGACAACTTATCTACAACTTTATCTCAAGACAACTCGAGTTTCAAGGTAACAACTTTATCTTGAGTTAACAAGATAACTAGTTATTTCAAGATAACTATCTTGAGATATCAAGACAATTAACGTTATCTCAAGATAACTTTCAAGATTTCAAGATAACAACTTTGTTGTCTTAAGATAACAATTAACTTGTTATCTCAAGATAACAAGATCACTAACTCGTTCTTTCAAGATAACTTATCTTGAGATATCAACTCATTATCTCAAGACAACTTTTGTAAATTCGAGATAACTTTGTTATCTTGAGATGAGATAACTCGTTATCTCAAGACAACTTTTGTTATTTCAAGATAACAACTTTACCTTGAGATCACAAGATAATTAAATAACAATCCAGAAAATTATAACCACCTTGTGGCCTCTGGACTTCTGTACCTTAGACACAAACGTTTTTTGTTTGTTTGTTTGTTTGTTTAAATAAACAAAATACAATCAGTTGTGTCCAAACTTTTGACTGGTGCTGATTAATATAATATACAGAGATTAAATTCAGTAATATTTCACTGTTAGTCCTCCAGGTTCGTGTCAGTAATGACTGTTATAAAACACACAAAAGAAACAGGACAAACCAACACAGTCATTCAATAAACGATTCTCATAAACTACTGACAGCGTTACTGCAGTAGTGTGTTTATTTTATACGGTTATCTGTCAGATAACATGATCTTATTTTCATATGCACATATAAAATACTGAAAATATCAGAACGGGTTGTTGTGCAACAGCCTCGTGAGTGTAGACCATCACAACAGGCATGTAGTTCAGACCGTTTCTCTCAGCTTATCTTACAGGACACCGCGTCCGTTTGGTCGTCCACATCGTACAGTAATAGAGACAGAAGACACAGACATAAAAACAGGGGCTCACTGGTGGGGGGTGTTTAATGAGGGGAGGACGCTGCTTTAGGAGGTGTGGGGAGACAAAATCATCCTCAGTAGAAAAAAATAGAGAAACAGAAAAGAAATGTTGAAATCTCTCTCTGTAGAAGGTCTGGACGTGTTGTGTGATGTGCTGAACGGACACAGCCCTGGCCTCCACTGTCCACTTTCATTACCGTATCCTTGTGAACAGGTTCAACACTGACTTGGATTCCTGAGGAACAAACGACAATTAATGAGGAGAAGCAACGATAAACCGACGAGGTCTGTCTTCAGTTTAAATGCAAACACTGGGTCATTTATTGGAACCAACAGTGGAATCAATGTTTTCAGTAATATAAAACTAAACATGGACAAAACGATTCTAATGTGATGCTGTTATTCGTCATACAGCCTCACAGCTTTAATACTAAGAAGCTCTTTAAAAATTTTTTAGATGTGTCTAGAATGATAAACAGAGCTGTAGAACATCAAAAATGTTTTATGTCTAAGTTCTAATAAAATAAATATGCAGCATGAAGTTCTAATAAAATGAATATCCTGAATAAACTTTTTAAAAATATTGTGAATGATGTTCTGATAACATTAATATCCAAAACGAAGTTCTGATAAAATTAATATCAAGAATGAAGCTCTAATAAAACTAATATCCAGAATGAAGTTCTGATAAAACTAATATCCAGAATGAAGTTCTGATAAAACTAATATCCAGAATGAAGTTCTTAAAAAAATTTCATCAATGAAGTTCTGATAAAATTATCCAGAGTAATGTTGAAGTAAAGTCAATATCAAGAAAAAAAGCCTTTTATTTGAAAAATATCACATCTTCATAAAATCTCATCAGTTTATTTAACAATAAATAAATATTTTATTATAATTATTATGTATGATCAGTATCTCCTTGGTATTCTCAAAGAACCTGAACCATTGTATGAGATCTCTAAATACTCCTTCTTTTGAACAGCTGTGTTCAGTTTGGGTGTGTTGGCTGTGTTTACTGAACCTTGGTGCAGCGCGTTTTGCTGAAGACGTTCCAGAACCTCAGCGTTTCGTCTCCTGCTCCCGTCACTATGGCCTCGCCGTCTGGGGACACAGCCTGGAGGACAAACACACAAAAACACTGCCTTATATTTGACTCCTGTACAACATGACAACAGACTCTCCAAACTAGTGGAAGCTGACGACTCAGGATCTGTTTGCAAGATCTGTTAACCAATTTTGGGTCAACAACAAAACATGTTTCCTCTTAGGCAAGTGAAGCAACACCATCTGTGGACCATCATCATCAGTTACAGAGTTACTGCTGAAGCCACATAATCACCAAAGTCTCTCTTCACCAAACTGAACAGAACAGTCCACAAATTGAGGTAACATAAAATATCACTAGGTAATTAAAGTCACAGTCAGTAAATCTTCTCACCAGATAGAGCACGCGGTAGGAGTGTCCAGTCAGCTTGGCCACCTGTGTGAGCGAGGGGTATTTCCACACCAGGATCTGGTTCTGTGAGTAGCCGTGTGTGCTGACCTGAGAGTGCGAAACACTGTATTTTACCTCAACATACACATTAATGCATTCAGATGAACTCTGTCACTCAATCATCCGTAGAAACTGCTGAATTTATTCTGACATAATCAACAGCAGATGAGACTTTGAATCTGTGCAGGGCTCAAAATGTCAGAAGCCTATTTTTTAAAAATGTTATCTATGGATTTAAATGAAAATACAACCACCACCAGTTATTTTGAACAAATTCAGAATACAGTTTAGAACGATGCCTGTATCATCAGTAAAAATAAATAAGTAAATACATAAATAAATAGGTATAAGGTTTATATCTGTATTCATATTCACAGTGCATTCTGTGTTCGTTCCGAATGCTGCCCCAGTTTGTGTGTATGACGAGGAGGTTTTTCCTCACCAGTTCGTTGGCGTGTTTGGACCAGGCCAGGTTGCAGACCTGTGAGCCCGTGTCCGTGCTCTGCAGGGCCTGTCCTGTGAGAGTGTTCCAGAAGCGCAGACAGCGGTCGGCCGTCCCTCCGCCGGACGCCAGCAGGCCGTGCTGGTGAGGCGACCAGGCGATGGCCTTCACCGCCGCCAGGTGCTCGCTGTACTGCTGCACGGGCTGCAGGCTGGAGCTGTTCCACACCAGCAGCTACAGCACAGCAGAGCACCAAACACAGTTACTACTGCTCTCAAAGAACATGCACTACACTGAACAACAGCTGGTCGGAATCTTCAGAGAAATAACAGTACCCATGGAAACAAGTGCAAAGGAGTAGTTCAGAGAAAAGGAAAATTTACACAACTCTGTCCTTACAGCCAAAGCAAAGAATCTTATACTGCGCTCACGCTGGCAGCAACGCGACAAAGCGGCGGCCATTTATTTTCAAGGAGAGCTGGCGATTTCCTGCGACAGCAGGCAGAGCGAATGTTGGCAACCCAAAGTGGGAGGAGTCGGCGATGCGACAAAGTTGAGCAGAGTTTAACTTTATGCAAATAAGGAGCGAAGTGATTTGGCGATTATCAATATGAACTGGGCTTTGAGCAGTGTAGCTGCACTTTATCTCCACCACTGTGAAACAATACGCTCAGTTTTTGGTACCCAAATAATTGTTCCTACTAGAGACTGAATAATTGAAGCTGGTGCTTTTGCCGCAAATAGACAGTAATCACAAAGACCAAACAGCGGTTTCCTCACAGACTGACTGCACAGACACGGGGTTTCAATAAAAATAAGCCACAAGCGATTTCTCACCAGGATTTTTAATTTTAGCAGGAACGCATCTGATTTGTGCTTGGCGTCAGTGAAACCATGGCAACCAACGGTCAAGTTGGAGTTCAGAAACGCCCACAGGAGATGAGCAATCAGCGATTTGAGTAACGAGACGAAAAGTCGCTGCTGGTGTGAACGCAGGGTTAGACATCTTAATTGGTACTTTGATCCATTTTTGTAGACAACAGCATTTTGTAGTTTGTATTTGAGATTACATAACAACTCGACAGTTTAAGGCAAGAGTGTGTTGAATATACTGGTGGGATATACGCTCCTATTACCTTTTAACTATATTAGTCTTATAGCTCCAGTGAGAAAGTAAAGAACCAAACCTCAGATAAACCTCATGTCTTGGTTAATCGACTAGATTTGAAGGTAATCTGTGATCTATTGCTCCAAAAACAGCAACTTCATGAAAGGTTTCAGTGACACTGCGTCAGGCATCCAAAACAAAGGTGACTTCAAGATGAACTGTGAAAGAATTCGAGCACCGATTTGTGAAAATTCATCATGATTATTACTGAAACGCGCAGCCGACTCACTTTGTTGTCGTTTCCTCCGGAGGCGAGGTGCTGGTGGTCCGGAGACCACTTTAGCCCGCACACTTCCTGCCTGTGGCCCTGCAGCTTCCTCTCCACGGGCGGAGGGGTGCGCACATCCCGCTGCAGGATCACCCTGTCCCGACTGCCTGAGGACAGCTGCTCGCCGTTCCACGCCAGCGCCCCTGAGAACAGACGGAATGACAAAGTACCTGACAGACGCTCCCCATGATGCCTGTGTGGGCCTGACCATCATGATAAACCATAGTCCACTGGCTCCTGGTCTGGAGTGCTGCTTGCCTGCACATCCCACATCCCATCACACATGATCCAACTAGTCAGCTCACTGACCTGTCAATGGTCCACCCACAAATGCTGCTGCTGTTGTGAGGTTGGACAAGCTTTAGAAAACGCTGGCAAAAATGCTGTTCAACCTAATGATACACTATACCGCACTCAGCTTTTGTCAAAAAAGTACAATTTAGAGTGTGTTAATTTTAAATAATATGTATTTTCGGTGTGTGGAAAGTCTCGTGGGATCTCGTAACGAGAACAGCTGGATACAGTAAGACATTTTGGGCAAAATGTGGGTGAGAATGTAGACTTATTAGGCAAGGCAAGTTTATTTATATAGCACCTTTCAAGCACTGCTGTCATTCAAAGTGCTTTACAAATGAGAAAAATCAGTCAGAGATGGTTTAAAAAAAGGTAAGTAAATGCAAATAGAAAAACACAAAAACAATTAAAACATGATTACAACAAATTTAAAAGAGAAAATCATTCAATTAAATTAGAAATTAAACTAGGAAAGTTATAACAATAATCAAATAAAAAACTAAAAGTTACATTAGGATTTTAAAAAGTTCCGTTACAGAGGAAAAGGGGCTAGAAACGCTAACAGTGTTTAAACTGAGCTGAAAGCTGCTCAAACAGGAACGTTTTAAGCCCGGATTTAAAAGTGTCCAGTGTCTGGCTCTTCTAATACTCTCTGTCAACTGGGTCCATTTAAGAGCAGCATAGTAGCTTCAGCAGGACTAACTGACCAGTTCCTAATGATCTGAGAGTTCTGCTCGGCTCATATCTCTGCAACATATGAAATCAATATGCTGGTCCTGCACCACTGAGCAACTTATAGACCAGTAATAGTATCTTACAGTCTATTCTGTAACTGGTAGCCAGTGTAAGGATTTAAGAATGGGGGGTGATGTGTTCCCTTCTTTTATTGAATTCTAGTGAAACTCTGGCAGCTGCGTTCTGAATCAGCTGAAGCTGTTTGACTGTCTTTTTGGGAGTCCAGTTAGGCGACCATTACAGTGATCAATCCTGCTAGAAATAAAAGTGTGGATCAGTTTCTCAGTTAGAACGCTTCTCAACCAATCAGCTTGCATGGCCAGAACTAACTCTGGTATAAATACTCTTAGTGTATTACAGATGTGTAAAATATCAGGTCATCCCATCAAAACATTTTCTGTCCATCAACTCAAGCACTTAGTAACAAAGCAAATCACTGTAAAAAAGTGTCTGTGATATTTATCTCCGTTAGTGCATGCAAGCGGGTCTGGGTCAGGTACACATGTGTGGTCAGGACGGGTCTCGTGGGTATAGGTCAGGATCAGGCTTCAATATCACGCTTGTGCAGACCTCTAAGCTGCATTAGCCAAAACCTTCACTGCAAAAAAATGGCATCTTGTCAAGTAAAATTATCTTAAATATAGTTAATAAATCTCATATCTAATTCTCCTGTTGAGATTGTTGCAAGCTTAATTTATGATTATTTACCATAATTCCAGACTACTTGTTTTAAGTAATTCTATTGAGTAAAATTATCTCACTATAATGGCATATAATTTTGCTTGTTTTAAGAAATGTGCTTGAAACCAGCTAAATTATCTGCCAGTACAGTGAGATCATTTCACTTAATAAAATTACGTAAAGCAAGTAAAAAATGTCTAGAAATAAGCTAGATAATCTTATAATACGTGCATCTTTTAATAAGGGAAATATCAGAGATATTGACTTGATTTAAGATCATTTCACTTGACAAGATCCCATTTCTGGGTTCATTCAGTATTCGAAGGGTCCCTGTGATGCCAGACACTGACTGACACTGTTTACAAAATGTTAAAATAGCTACTTTCCTCTTGGGTTTGGTTCCAAATCAAATCTAACCCACCCACTCCAGCTATTCAAGGTGGTCTTCAGTATGTTGGTGTAAGAGTAGAGAAGCAGAGTAGAAGCAGTCGTGTATGTTACGTACCAACACGGGCCGAGTGCCCTTCCAAGCTGGTTAACTTCCTCCCTCCGGCTGCGTCCCAAATCTGCACGAAGCCTTTATGGGTTCCTACAGCAACCAAGCTTCCCTGTGGAGAAAAGAACAGTTAGAACTGCCCTGATACATCATTTCATGCAGCATTTGGCAAACAAACGCATATAGAAGCTTTAGGTAAAGAAACTCAGGCTGGGCTGACCCGCTCGTTCCAGCAGACTGACGTCACAGAGTCTCCATCCACTGACAAATCGCATAACCTCGTCACCTGTGGAGAGTTTGAGGAGTAAAAAACACAAAACGTTGAAGTGGTAGTTCAGAATTTACACAGGTTTTATTTACCCTAAGTGTAGTCCATGGTTCTTTAGTTTTGCACTGGAGCTACAAAAATATGAAATAATAAAAGCTTATAGCCCACCAGTTAACTTCATCACACACGAGTCTTAAGCCGTGTTGACTTGTATAGTCATCTCAAATAGACTTGCTTGTGTGGTTTCTGACACTGATATCTATAAAAGTATGAACAAAATATCTGCTAAAACTATTTTTAGCTTTTTAGCATTTTTCCGCTATACTCATCCATGTTTATAGATAACAGTGTGTTGTACAGTGTCAGAAAACACATAAGTGAGTCTCTTTGAAATTACTGAACAAACAGAGGTGGTCAAAAATATAACGTCGTGATACTTCAAGAAATCTTTACGATACATGATACGTCACGATATAGACATCTGATCAGTTGGGACTGAGAAAAAAGAACCAGAAGTGCTAAATTTAAAAAAGTACTATCAAAATCTGTGAACACAATGATTTTTATGCAATATCTGGCACTAAATCTAGTTAAACAGGACTAATTTTGCTCTCTGTATAATGAAACATGCCGTTAGACAGTGTCTACAAGTACTGACGATATTCACAATATGTTTAGAAAACGATACCGTATTGTATTGTGACATTTTGATCACAATAATGATACATTATTGTCATATTGCCCAGTCCTACTGAACAACTCCAGTGCTATGAACTAGAAGGTGACGCAGCACCGTTAGCCTTGTTGCTCCAAGTGCATTATCCAGCGTTTTACACAGGATTTAACAAATGTTTTGCATAATTCAATCGCTGAGACGTAAGTTATTGAAGGGGGTTTGCTGTGAAATGGTTACTTATAGAGAAACTCACAGACATGGATTTCTTTACAGTGGTAGCAGAGGAACCAGGGACATGATATATATTTTATTATGTTTAAAATTCATTTTATCTAAGATTCTAAACAACCAGTGAAGCTGCACGTCTTTATATTTAACGTTTACGATGGGAAAATTGTGTTAAATCAGAAAAAATTATCTGTTTTCTCTGGGGACTATTTTGCCATACAATTTATTTTGTATGCACCCCATGAAATGACTTAAAAATAGCTCACAACTATCGTAAAACTTCTTAGGCATCAAGCAGTGTGTTTGTTTCGGTGAGGCAGCTTTTAGCGGCGTGAAATGCTTCAAATGTCTGTTTCCCATCACCACCACTGTGAACGGTTTTCACACCAAACCACTCTGAATGACTTTGTTTATATCTCAACCACTAAATTAAGCATATTTTTTTAAAAAATGGTGAAATTTCCCTTTGAATTTCAGTTAATGCAAATTTGTTCTGCCTCACACACACACCTGGCTGGTACAGGCGCTCCACAGGTAAACACAGGCCCCCAGACCAACACTCAGGAGGTTTCCGGCAGACCAGTCCACCTGCGCACATCAGAAAACATTTGTGAATGTTAATTCTTCAGTTTTAGTGGAATCAAATTCTGTCCGCCTGGAGCTCCATTATACATGGTGTGTTACACAAGCATGAACAAACCTGTCTTACTGTCAATCTACTCAACATTCCACGTAGCCAAACATGCTCAGACTATGCGTACAGAAAGAGAAAGAAGAGCAGGGATTAAGCCATTGCTAACAGGTTGCATCATTCAAAATGTACAAAGGGCCTGGACACGAACACTGCAGAGGCTGAAGCTGCCTGAGCTACCTGCAATACTGCTGTTATAGCCTGCAACAATTTCCATGCACATTCTCCAGTCATATTATTTTAGATATGGATACAACAATGCTGTGCTAATTTAAAATCTCATTTATGAGTTATTATTGAGAATTACAATAGATTAAAATAAGCATTATATTAACATATATTTAATACAGCACCTAGGGCTGCACGATGTATCGGCTGTGAATCGCTACTGTTATGTGGGCCTTTGCAATACTGAGATCACAGAAGGCTGCGATATGCAAATGAGCGCTCTAACCAATCAGATTCTTTTTGCCATGTGCTGTGAGTACTTTCACCAGTTAGATGTGGGTTAGGCTTGTGAGATTATACTATATTATACTAATATATTATTATCCGATCACACCCTGTGACCGATGATTTGTGTCCTGACCAGTGATTCGTCCACCTCTAGGCTACTGTTATTATTACAAATGATTATTATTAGTTGTTGGAAAGGTGCATTTTCTGACGTTTAAATCATCCAACGTGAATGGCAATCACAATCAACATAGAGTAATACTGTCAATCAGCTCAGGCCTACTGTGGGTTCACTGACGAATCAAGATATTTGTTATTTGTTTAAAATAATGCAGGCCACATTTTTAACACTTTGCAAGGCGCATAACAACAGAAATTTGTAATAATATCACTGCAATACCAGCATTCTGTCATACAGTCCTAATGAAGTCAGTTGTATACTGCAAAAGGTTGAATACCCCTGGTCAAGTGACAGGTCTTGTTGTTTTTCTAAGCAAAAATAAGTTTACACGTTCTCTACAGCAGTGGTCACCAGCCCTCCTCCAGGAGATCTGCTTTCCAGCAGAGTTTTGTTCCAACCTACAGCTAACATGCCTCGTACTCTGTTAATGCATCTGAATCAGCCAATCCAGGACTTCTGAAGCAGTCAATGAGCTGGAGCAGGTGGGGCAGATTATGTTTGGAACTAGACTCTCCAGGAAGGTAGATTTCCAGGACCAGGGTTGGTGGCCACTGCTCTAGGAGTACTAAAATATGACACCTTTCTGAAAATTTAGGAAGCAATTTCTATTTATTTGCTGAGTTTAACATACAGTAAAAAACCCATTAAATATAAAATGTAGCACAGGCCATATTTTCTGTATTTTTTTTTTTATCAAAAGTGATTGTGCATTAAAATGTGCAGAAGTGTGTTCCCTGTAGACGACGTGCTCACTTACTTTCACTAAAAAAATCAATAAAACGTGTCATCCGACCAGGGGCACTCAAATGTTTGCATATGACTTCATATGAATCCATATTCAAGCGTTATGCTGCCTGTGCATGGTGCAGTTGGAAAAAACACTGCATACACTGTACGTTGTTGTATAATACTGGATACAATGAGGCGTCCATGGCTCCCAAAAAAACCTCCCAAAAAATAATTTCACTGACACAGTCGACAGCAAAAATTCAACTGTTGACGGAACATTCTGGTGCTCTACTGTTGGCTGAAATTTCCAGCATTGCTCCACTGAAAACAACGGAATATCCACTTTGCTGTCTGCGGCCTACCCTCATACTGTAAATGCAGCATTAACGGGGCTTAACGCAGCGTACCAGGTTAAGGTAGAAGTCGTCCTGCAGCTCTGGAGCGTCCAGGACCTTGAAGGGAATTTTGGAGATTTTTCGTGCTGGCTTTCGCGGCGAGCGCAACAGCTTGTGACTGCAGACAGATTGACACACACACACAGTAACAACAATCATCAATGCTGAATGAACAATGTGTAAGAAGAAAAACTCCTACATTTAAAAAGAAATTTAAATTCATTAAGGAGCAACTGATAAACTGGAATTGGACCCACTCAGTGCAGAGTGTGACTGTACCTTTTGTTGCTGAGAGGCGAGAGGGAGTAAGGGGAGATTTCATTGCCGCTGTCGAAAGGCACTCGCTTTGTGTGGATTGTGTACTGAAAGACACAGAAATGAAACAGTCAGTCATCTTTACCTTCACCAACAGTACGGCTCATGCGATAAACAACTCTAAGCCAGCCTTCTATATGAGTATAACTCACTTAAAGATGGTAATGATGCTTAAAATGATCATGATAAATGGCTGGTCTGTCATATACGGTCAGCCACATTACTATTTTTCACTGCCCAAATGCTCTAAGCCTGGATGAGGGAACCAGACAGTACACCTCTTGTGCTTTTGAACTGGGCATTAATTAAAGAGTGAGTTAAAACGAGTCATACAAGGCTTTACTCACTGAACAGACACAGAATATCTCGTGAAAGAAGAACAAAGTGTCTGAGTTGAGGTTGAGAAGTACACCAGCACTTTTTAGTCAGCCGTTTTAGTTCTGCCCAAATGTGAGTCATTTTTACCGACTGCAGCTCCTGCTTCAGTAAAGATTCTTTGCCCTGCTATCAAACGAGCCCTAGAAATAAGATCAGGTTATATTAATCCAGCGCAAATCAACCTGTCAGTAAAACGCTCATTGCGTGGAAAAGGAGTGCAGGCATTCAAAGAAAGGTTTCCTTGTGTTCTCTGTGGCTGAAATCAAGCTGATATGTGTGGTCCTACCTCAAACTTTTCATATTCAGTTTATGTAAACGCTGTGTTAATTATCAAAATAACGTTACTGAATTGTTGAAAGTTATAAACACATTTTGATGAAGCTTAATGTATCCATTGATACAGCTATAACAATATGCACCGCTTTTAAATGGATCAAATTTGAGAAAATAAGACAAATGCGATTATCACGATTCATTAAGTCCGACAGCCCTATTTTTTATTCATAACCATGTAATTTAAAACAGCAATTTATACACATATGGGTTATTATATACATACAGATTAACCTGTTATAAATGACTATTATATATTTGTAGATACTATATACATATATTCTATCTATTTCTAAAGTTCTGAGGCTTTCAAAGAAACGTTTCTTTGTGTTCTCTGCAGCTAAAATCAAGCGGGGATGTGTTGTCCTGCTTCAAGTGCCCAAACTCAAACTCAGAACTTTAAAACGCATAACCCCCCGCCCCGGGCGCCGTGGATAGGGCTGCCCACCGCTCCAGGCAAGTGTGCTCACTGCCCCCTAGTGTGTGTGTTCACTAGTGTGCATGTATGTGGGTGTTTCACTGCACGGATGGGTTAAATGCGGAGGTCTAATTCCTCTGTGTGCAAACACAGTTGGATAATGGTTCTGAATTCAAATTCAAGCCCAAAAAACACAAACGGTCCCGCTCAGGAGATTAACTGAACTTAACTGAATTAAACCTGAGCAATTCTAGTTTGGAAGACGTTGCCTGGATACTGAAGAATACTGTTAAATAATTGAATTTATATCACCCACCCACAGTAGCAGTATGTGCCTGTGAGTGATGCTCACCCTGAAGAGGCTGTGTGTGTCCTGGTTGAGGACGGCCTGTCGCCGGTCGTCTGTGTGAGGATCAGGAACCGTCTCGATTCCCGCCCCCAGCAGCTCGTTCCGCAGCAGAGCGGCGTAGGCCACTGCGTCTGTTTACACCGGTGTAGATAATAACATGTCATACAGTGTCAGAAATCACATAAACACATCATTTACAGATTATTTGCCAACTCCATCACTATGTGATGACTTAGCTATGTAGTTAGCAGCATTCTAATTGGTGCAGATAAGCTTCCATTACTTGTTAGCTGCACTGGCCTCAAAAATATAGACATCAAACATGTCTTGACTGATTGACTAAGACGGAAATAGTGTATATTTGATTTTTAAACCAGGCTATCGCTTGAACCACAGATGACTCCCTAAAACATAAACGTTACCCTTTCCACTGTCCGCACTCGCATCCTTTGACCTTTGATTCTGGTTGGGCGACCAGCAGTTCTCCTACACAATCAAGAAATAAACAAACAAATAAATAAGAAAGGCATTTTTGGGAGAAATAAGCATCGGTCACAGATAAAGTGACTTACGTTGGCGTAGTGGAAGTTGATGCTCCAGTTGCTCCCCGCGCGAGTGGGTATGAACCGGTCCCCCGATTTAACGCTGACTGGACTGCATGTGGCGTATCCTGACTGGAGTGGGAAAAAAACAACAACCGTAAAGGAGCTGGCCATCAGGATCACGGACAGCACAGCGGTCATCTCACTAGTTTTGGGCGATGGTTACTGGAGTATATCTAAACTGTGCTTTCTTTTGTCTTTTTTAAACATTTGTTTTGACCGAGTGTGTCAGAGAACCGCACAACCAGCTGCGACTGCGTCTCACAATACGAGAAATGGCCAGATCCAGACAAAGCTGATGGAAATGTTTCACATATTTGTACAGTGCAAGTTCTTATGTTGAGTTATTGTTCTATAGCTCATCACACAGGCCTCAAACACAAAGATAAATCACGATATCAACCAAGCGATCTTATACACCAGGCTGCAATGAATGACTGTTAATCCTTCTGTGTTCTTTTTTGTTTAGTGGTGTAAAAGGTAATGTGTTAATTACATATTAACACAGTAAATTATTAACATCACCTTTTTAAACTCTTTTTCCTAGTTCATGTGAGTTTTATGGGTGATACGGCCAAAATGAAGCATCACAATACTTCAAATCATTTCCACAATGCATGACGTACATCACGATATTTTGTCTTTCTGAGATTTAAGTTAGAACAGACAATTTACAATTATAAATATATAATAAACAGGCCTAATTATGCTCACTTTATGATGGAACATGTAGTTAGTCAGTGTTCTTTAAGTACCGACAATATCAATAATGGGCACAGGCGTGTTGTGATATAGTTTATCACGATAACGATAAAACATTGTCATATTGTTTCAAGTTTATTAGTCATTTGAACGACATGTCAGGACATTCATGCATTAAAATGCTTGTGATGAAGCTCAGCTAATCACTACAGCAGGGCAGCATTATGTACATACTAAAAACAATACAGTCAAAATACAGCAAAAAACAAAGCAAAAAGAAAAAGAAATAGAATAAATATACACAAAATATACAGAGACAGGATATACTATTACTACTATGTACAAATATATTGAATAAAGAATAATCTTAAAAGAGAGAATATATATATATATATATATATATATATATATATATATATATGGTTGCTGGAGGCTATCCCAGATGTCATCGGGCGGAAGGCATTGGTCACCAGTCCATCAGTCCATCACAGGGCAGTGTGTATGTGTGTGTATATATATATATATATATATATATATATATATATATATATATATATATATATATATATATATATAAATTTTTTTAAGTGACTTGGTTATATTGTCCATAGCAGTGATAGAATAAATATCAAAGTGAAGTGCAATAGTGCAATAGTATTGAGGAAGCACTCAATATACTGTCTATGAACACTGCATTAACAATTAAATTAATATTATTGAATTATTGAATAAGTAATAAATACACTCTGACGAAGCAACAATTTAAATTTCTTTAGGGTCAAATTAGAGAAAATAAGACAAATGTGATAAACTACACAAAAAGTGTGATTAATCTAGATTGGTTAAAGGTTTAATAGCCCTACTATTTATTCATATCAATGTAAAGTTAAACAGTAATTTATACATAAACTGTGGCATTCTGTATGAACAGGTTAACCTGTTGACCATCTACTGCAGGTTATTTCTCACACCGGCTCACTACTAACAATACAAGCTGGATGATCGTATTTATACCATTTACCCACCTTGGTCAGCTGGCCCTCGGGCACGTTCTGGTGATTGATCTGCCTGAGGAGGCGTCTCTCATAGTCCTGGTCCATTTCCCCCTGAAGCCACCGCTCCGGCTCCGGCTCTGCCTCAGTCTGCACACGCAGATCCCCCGAGCGCTCCCATCCCTGAGCAAAAACACGCCTTCGTCAGGTCACGAACAGCGCCAGGCGATCCGAAAAATGACCTACTGATCGAGCAGACGCAACTCTACGTCTATGTACTGTCATACTGATAAAGGTCTATATAAAAACACTACACAGGTGTACAGAGATACTGCCTCTGCACTCTAACAGCGACAAACACACCTTAGTCTTATTTTCATGATTCTACTGTCCACTTTCAAAGCTGCTGCTGTGCACCTATTATTGTTATACATATATACATATATATATATATACATATATATACACATATATATATATATACATATATATACACATATATATATATATATATATATATACACATATATATATATATATATATATACACACACACATACATACATACATACCAAAAGGGTTCTCCTTTTGTGTACAATCTTGGCGTCACAACAATCGAAGAACCCTTTTTATTGCTATATAGAACCCTTTTCAAAAGGGCTCTACATAGAACCATATACAACACATTCTCCATCAATCCGAAGAACACTTTCATGCCTTTAATCGTGCAAAGGGTTCTTTGAGCGTTCATGATTCTATATAGAACCGTTTTCTTAACTAAAGAACCTCATTTTTAAGTGTGTATCTTAAATGTATTATCCTCTGCTTTACTAAAACACATTACAGACTTTAAATTTGCTGGGTGACATCAGCGAGTCTGACAGGGGAACTCATCGCAGAGCAATTTACAGGCCTGAATTTCCTTACAGTGGGGGTGACAGGAACCAGGGTCTGTCGTCTATTTACTATTTAAGGCCGAAACTTTATCTCAAAACAGTCATAAGACAGGATCTCACATATCAGGCAGCTATTAAACTCTTCATAGATCTGGTTCCTATCACCACCACTGTCAACTGTTCTCTAGAACAGAGCATTTCAGATTAGACTGCTCTGAATGAGTTAACATCTTAACCATTTAATTAGGCAGAAGTTTGGAAAAAGTGGTGGAATTCCCCTTTAGGCCAAAATAACCTAAACCAAAAGTTTTAGTTTAATGTATGTAGACAAGTCTATCACTCTTTCCACACCTTACTCATTTTCACTCCAGAAGGGATCACCCATCAGCTAGCTTGTTCTAAACTCATGTGCTAAAGGGGAATATCACCGCTTTTTCAAAATTTCTGCATAATTAAATTTTTAAGCTATGAATAAAGTCATTGAGAGTGGTTTGATGTTAAACATCCCATTCTAGAGAGACTATTGAGTCAGAATTGCTCACAGTGGTGGTGATAGGAACCAGACGTCCACCTCTAAAAGCTCCCTTATAAAAAGTTATTACATGAAATGGTTCTGAACACACTGACACTGTTTTACAACAGTACTTTTTATAATCCATTCATGGCGGAGAAGCAGATGCAGTATATTGTAAGGCAAAATAGTCCAACTATTTAGTCCAACTTTAGAACTATTTTACCATCATCAACATACTATATAAAAACTCATGTAGGTTCACTGGTAGTTTTGGACGGTAAATAAAATGACTGTATTTGCACTGAAGACATTGTGACCCCTGGTTCCCAACAACGGCTGAAATATGCAGAAATTTTGGAAAGTCGGTGTAATTCCCCTTTAGCACCAACATACTTGTTATCTGTCAGCTGAAAGCAAAAGGTTTAAGAGACAGCATCACACAACCAAGCACTGCCAGGCTACCGAGCCTTAACGAAGCTGAAATCAGCTTCTGGTTCGAATTTCTCCAGTCCACCTTAAATAGTGCAGCAGTTACATTCTGCACCATTTAAGGTGGACCGGAAAATTCGACCAAGAAGCTGGTGAACAGGCTAACAACTTCAGCCTCGTCGAGACGTAAAGCCAGCCTGACAATACAACACCTTTCAGATGAGACTATACTTAAATATTTTACGTATACAAGCAACAGAAAGCAGACATATAGGTTAACATCTACTGCCTTTTAGACACATCACAAGATGCAAGGCAGACAATAGCAACCTGTCACTTCACAATACAGCAAAGATAAACATGACAAGACGTTTAAAAGATACTAAAGCTACTCAGCAAAGAACACCTACCACTTTTTTATGGCTATTCTTCCATAATAAATACATACAATCTCACATAAAAGCTCAAGACATTTTCACTCTCCTGCCTACAAGACACACAGTTGCTATGGAAGCTAACTGGAAACCACAAACACGTCAAAACCAGCTAAACCAGCCTAAGCTAAGAGTCATATTTTGCCTAACATCTTAATTTCTAGCTATAAAGCCTCCATTCAGGCTGTCTGGTCGCTGTCAGCTGTGGAAGAACGACATTTTCCGCCAGCGACTGTGAAATAGCTTAGCCAGCCGGCTAACGTTAACGTTAGCTAACCTGTTTGTGCTGTTTATGAGGCGCACTTAGGGCTCATTTTGGAGACCGTCAGTCGGAAAAACGTTCACGAAGCCTGTAAAGAGCTTCAGCGTACGTGTGCTGAGAGGGTCTTAAAAAAGGTCAGTTTCTGTCCTCTTTTTCCTGCGTGTTTGTTTGTTTTTCAGACGTGTGTGTTCCCAGTTATTCGGCTGAAGAGCTCCTGTGTTTACGTTTGACGCCGAAGATGGCGACGACAATCAGCTGTGTAAAAGCGAACCGGCCACACGAGGGCGCTGCGGCGCACACGTTCATTATTAAATACACAATCAGTTCAGCTCGAACTCTCTCAGTCTACCGTATAGAGAGGCACGAGAAACGAAACGCGCCTCAATCAACCAATCAACCGACCAATCAATCAATCAATCAATCAAAGAGTAGCCGAAAATTACAATTTTGACATAAAACTGTTAATAAATACGTTTTGTTTACCCATGCATTTATGTAATTCTACATTTATTTATTTATGTATATTTCTAAATTTATGACAGAAAAATAAATAATTAAATAAATAAATGTAGAAAGGTAGAAATGTACATAGAAATATATTTATTTATTTTTAGATTTATGTAAAAAATAAATAAATAAATAGGTAGGTAGGAAGTCAAAAAATAAAAATAATAGAAACTGGGACATAAAAAAGACATGAAAAAATAAATGTTTTCTTTACCTATGCATTTGTGTAATTCTACATTTATTTACTTATTTCTAGATTTTGTACTTAAATAAATAAATACATAAATAAATAAATGAGTAGCCAAAAAGTAAATAATTAAATTTTGACATAAAACTGTAGATAAATAAATACATGATCTGTTTAGCCATGCATTTATGTAATTCTACATTTCTCTATTTGTTTACAGATTTATGCCAAAATAATTCATAATTAAATAAATGAGAAGCTTAAAAGCTAAAATAAATAAATTAAGACATAATACTGTAAATAAATAAATAAATGTTTTATTTACGTATGCATTTATGTAATTCTGCATGTATTTATTTATATATTTAAATATTTATTTATTTATTTATAGATTTATTTCCCCAGTACGCTAATACACTGTTAGTTAATCACAGAGAAAGCAGCGTGCTCGATTACTTCTGCCTGTTTCTGAAATGCTGAGAGTGATAGCAGAAGAGCTGAGCAGAGCTTGTGTATAGTTCGCTCGATGGTGGATGAATTAAGACCTTTATACACTCCAAACACACTTTATACACCTTATACACACTTTATACACTTCATACACACTTTATACACTTCATACACACTTTATACACACTTTATACAATTCATACACACTTTATATACACTTTATATACTTTATACACACTTCATACACTTTATACACACTTTATACAATTCATACACACTTTATACACACTTTATACACTTTATACACACTTCATACACTTTATACACACTTTATACAATTCATACACACTTTATACACTTCATACACACTTTATACACACTTTATACAATTCATACAATTTATACACACTTCATACACTTTATACACACTTTATACAATTCATACACACTATACACACTTCATACACTTTATACACACTTTATACACACTTTATACACTTTATACATTTTATACACACTTTATACACACTTCATACAATTCATAAACATTTTATACACTTTATACAATTCATACACACTATACACACTTCATACACTTTATACACACTTTATACACACTTTATACACTTTATACATTTTATACACACTTTATACACACTTTATACACATCATATACACTTTGTACACTTTATACACACTTCATCCACTTTACACACACTTTATACACTGTACACTTCATACACTCCGAGCGTGATTTATTCGTGACATAAGTTATTTTGACATAAACATAGTGGTTTTGCTTTCTAATGGGAATTGGTTTAATAGTTTCCAATAGAGAGCAGAGTAGTTTCCTACAGAACATCTTTAGATCCCATTAGGAGACCTTCAAATGCCTTTAGAATCAGCCACTGGTCACCTGTGAAACCACTAGGATCCTTTACATTTCGATATCAACCTATTAACAAACCCAAATTGCATTACAAAACCATCAGGAACCAACAGAAACACTCATTGGGCTTTTCCAGCAGAGAAATTATCCAACTTATTCTTTAATTGAACATGAGATGCTGCCGTAGGCGACTGAGTGTGGGGGCACGTGTTCTTTATACATAGGCTGATGTCACTACACATAACGTTATTTACCTCCTTATTAATATGTAGAACATATAGATGGTTGTTATTCTCCCTCTGAAGTCCAGAGGAAGACTGACCCTCTGAAATCAATATAAAACACAGGCGGTGGGCCAAAGAGAAACGTTTCATCTTTGAGGGTCCCACCCCAGTGATGAGAGGGGTACTGCCCCAGTGACAGTTTAGTACCTTTATTTAGAGTGGAGTCTTAAAAAAAAAAATATATATATATATATATATATAATGTATATGGATATATACACACCGATCAGGCACAACATTATGACCACCTCCTTGTTTCTACACTCATTGTCCATTTTATCAGCTCCACTTACTATATAGGTGCACTTTGTAGTTCTACAGTTACAGACTGTAGTCCATCTGTTTCTCTGCATACTTTGTTAGCCCCCTTTTACACTGTTCTTCAGTGGTCAGGACCCCCATGGACCCTCACAGAGCAGGTACTATTTGGGTGGTGGATCATTCTCAGCACTGCAATAACACTGACGTGGTGGTGGTGTGTTAGAGTGTGTTGTGCTGGTACAAGTGGATCAGACACAGCAGACACTGCTGGAGTTTTTAAACACTGTGTCCACTCACTGTCCACTCTATTAGACACTCCTACCTTGTCGGTCCACCTTGTAGATGTAAAGTCAGAGACGATAGCTCATCTGCTGCTGCACAGTTTGTGTTGGTCATCCTCTAGTCCTTCATCAGTGGTCACAGGTCGCTGCCCACAGGACGCTGTTGGCTGAATATTTTTGGTTGGTGGACTATTCTCAGTCCAGCAGTGACACTGAGGTGTTTAAAAACTCCAGCAGCACTGCTGTGTCTGATCCACTCAGACCAGCACAACACATACTAACACACCACCACCACATCAGTGTTACTGCAGTGCTGAGAATGATCCACCACCCAAACAGTACCTGCTCTGTGAGGGTCCATGGGGGTCCCAACCACTGAAGAACAGGGTAAAAGGGGGCACCCCTATACCATGATGAATACTGACTTTCAAACCGTGTACTGATAACAAGCTGAGTGGCCTTTAGCCCGGAGGACACAGCATCCATGTTTTCCAAAAAGAATTTCAAATGGTGGTTTGTCAGACCACAGGACACTTTTCCCCCCAAGTCCATTTTAAATGACCTCAGGCCCAGAGAAGGCGGCAGTGTTTCTGGATCCTGTTTATATATGGTTTCTTCTTTATGTTTTGGAGTTTTAACTGGCATTTGTGGATGCAGTGATGAACTGTGTTCACAGACAGTGGTTTTCAGAAGTGTTTCTGAGCCCAGGCAGTGATTTCCACTGCAGAATCATGTCTGTTTTTAATGCAGTGCTGCCTGAGAGCCCATAGATTACGGCCAGCAAATACTGGTTTTTGACCTTGTCCCTTGCATACAGAGATTTCTCCAGATTCTCTGAATCTTTTAATGGTATTATGTACCATAGATGATGAAAAGCTCTTTGTCCTTTGTTCTAGGTCTCTAAGTTCTTTGCTTTTTTATGTTGAGAGACGTTATTCTTGAATTGTTGCACTATTTGATCCTACAGTCTTTCACAGAGTGGTGAACCCTTCTCATCTTTACTTCTGAAAGACTCCGCCTCTCTGAGATGCTCTTTTATACCCAATCATGTTACTGACCTGTTGTCAGTCAACCACCAGATGTTTTTTTAGCATTACGCAACTTTACCAGCCTTTTGTTGCGCCCGTCACAACTTTTTTGGAACATGTTGTTGGCATCAAATTAAAAACGGGCAAATAATTTTCAAAAAACAATACAATTTTTCAGTTTTAGCGTTTGGCTTTACATGGTTTGCACATCATTGCATTTTGTTTTCATTTACATTTTGCACAGCGTCACAGAACTTTTTTGGAAATGGGGTTGTATACATATACATGATTAGGGCTGTCACAATCATCAATTGTCACCTGATGGTAGTTTGATATAATAAATAACTGTGACTTACAATTTAATTGCCTTGTCTTAAAGTGGCCAGACAGGCTGATAAGCCATCTTGCTTCCTTGCAGTCTTTGCTTTCTGGACACTCAATGGAAGATCTGTCAAATTCCTAATAGAAACCTAATTACTAATAAAGTTAAACACGTCTCATATAAACTTATACATAAAGTCTACCCAGCTAAAAATTACTTTACCGAATTGAAACATAACATTGAAACGACTTGCTCATTCTGTAGTAACTATGCAGAAACAGCCATTCACGTATTCTGGCATGGTCAATATGTAAAAAAAAATCATGTGCCTATTATTCTTCAATATATTGATGTTAGGTATTGTTTACTATGGAAACGTATTATTTGGCCTTCTGGATAATCATTTTATAATCAAAGCTATTAGATCCGTTAAAGCATGTGTAAGAGTTAGAGTGCATAGCTGCAATAATCCCTGAAAGCTGAGTGTGTTTCTTGTTTTTGCTTAAAGACATGCTGAGCTGTTCTTATCTGGGGGAGGCTGAGGGCTTCGGCCTTGAGGCCGGTACAGGGAGAACAGGATGGGGCCTTCAGCTTCTCCTACCTCCAGAACATTCTGTCCTATGATGTCTGTTCATGCTGCTCGTGCCAAGACCTGCCAGGGTCTGGGCCTTGAAACCCCCCACCCACCCTTGCTGCTAACTTCCATGAACTATTTGAAGGTTCCACCATCTGCTACGAAGCCCAGTCTCACATTCCCATCCTAATTTCAACAGAGCCGGTTTATGAGAAGCCTGACCTCTTCCTATTTCTCCCGTTGTATCAAAACCATGACTGCAAAACAGCAGAGGGCTCCCGCGAGCGAGTGGGCTGGCGAGCAGAGCAGCTCATTGGCTGTTCATGCTCACAGACGTCATGAAACTGGGACATGTAACAGTTAGTTGACTGTTAGTAGTGGCTACTCAACAGGTCTCTATGAACACCTCACTAAGTTTGGTATTCACTAAATGCCCACTCAGGCACCATTTAATGCAGAGAGGAAAAAGCTGGCGAATAGGAAGCTGACAGTGTCAGAAAATGCTACCAGTATTAAAACTACAGTTCGGATGTGTGGACAGCCAGTCTCCCTTTAAAAACACACCACATTTGGAATGAAGTGGGTGCTACCAGACTTTTGCTGCTTTTGGGACCACTGGGACTTGGCAAAGGGGTGTGATCCCCTCGGGATATTAAACATTCTCCAGCTACCTTTTCTGTGGTTGGTACAGTTTACTGCACAACAGCTCCTTGTCATTGTGGCTTTATGCTGTAAAGAGTGCTGCCTTCTAGCATAAAGAGCACCGCTTTTTGTTTATTTCTGTCTCCTAGTTGCACATGCATCTCCAAGATGATGTGCACAGAAACCCCCCCTGTAATATGTATGGACTTTGCCCCCCTCATTAGACACAAAAACCTGCCATTGGAACACTAGGCACCTAAACGAGTTCCCTGGTCCTGGTTTGATCAATGTAAACATAGTTTTCAGAATACTTTTCACTTTAAAATCGGCCATCATTTCTTTACTGTCAAAACAATTTATTTCCAAAATCGTAACTTTACATGAAAAAATCAAAAACATTCTTAACTTTTAGGATAAGTTGTAATACAATGTTCAAATAATGTAGGAAAATAAAAATCGTCTACAGCAACGAATTTTTCTGCCCACCTTCAAACATTGTCAGCTGCTCCACAAGGGAAAATAGGACACTGGACTTACACAGCTCTACTGCATTTCCTCCACTGGGAAACTCAGACCATAACCCGGTGCACCTGAGGTCTCTGTATAAACGTCTTGTACTGAGGCAACCTGCGGTGACCAAGTCAGTCAGGAAGTGGTCAGCTGAGGCCATGGATGTCCTGACGGGCTGCTTTGAAACAAGTGACTGGGACATTCTTTGTGATGAGGACATCAACGGTCTCCTGGTCTCTTTAAGAGTATGTAAACCTTTGTGTGGACAATGCTGTGCTTTCCCAGACGCTGTGTTGTTTTACTAACGACAAAATCCTGGATGACCGCTGAACAAGAAGAAGGGGGCTTTTACAGCGGGTGATATGGATGGTACGAATAGAATACAGAGAAAGCTGAGTGTTAGAACTAGAGACTACAGGTGGAAGAGGTGTGGAACGCAATAAAGGAAGTGTCAGGCTAGAAACTGCCCTGCAATCTGCAGGCTGAGCAGACCTGGCCAAGGGCAAATGAGCTGAACACTTCCTTCAATAGGCACAATACTGGGCAATTCGCAAATCCATCACCCAGGACTTCGCTGAACCACACCCTCCCTTTGTGTCCTCCTCAGGCCCCAAACGATGACCATCCCTTGCTGTCTCACCCCTTTCTTCCTCATCCAGACCTCTATATCACAGCTGACCAGATGAGAAGGAAAGAAAGGCAGTGGGCCCTGATGGTGTCAGTGCTAAAGTACTGGAGTACTAGCTTACAAAAATATATTTTTTTTCCGCATCTAAAATGGTTTTATTAGGAAAGATATTTGAGGAACAGGTTTCGGAACAAAAACGTGATACTAGTGCATCCCTACTTACTGTTCACAGCACAGCTTTAGCATAGGGAGATGGGGAGAATAGGTCTGGGCCCAGAGAAGAGCAGAAGAGCATGTTAACATCCTGCTAACTGACGGTGGGATGAGAGGGGAATAGAGGTGAAAGAGGCAGGGGGATTAGGGCAGTAAGACGTCTGTAGTTACAAACATGCAGTAGAATGTGTTGGAGCTGGAGGCCATCAGGAGAAGGTCGGTTCTTTTCACCTTGCAGGCTGTGATCTTCGGGAGGCCTTTATAGATGAAAGTTGTGTTGCTGGCAGCAATGTGGCTGTTCGGTTTGTCACTGCACTTTCTCCTTGCTGCTTTAACTCACTTTCCAGCCTGCATTTGTCCTTTTTGTCGGGAATTTTCCCCTATTCCTGAACGCTGCCTCGCTTTACCTATCAAACTACAGACGGACATTTCATTCCATTCCAGCCTCCACTCATAAAACTGAAGATACAGCACTAAATGGCGCAGCAGTTAAATCACATTATGGAAAAAATTAAGCAAGAGAGAGAGGCAGTCAGGACCCTCTCACATTAATCTGCACCAGAAGTTATATAAATCACAAAAATACAGGCTGTATCAATTTAAGTACACATAAAAAATTGACAAGGATCATCATGTTTCTGGCTTAAATCTGAGTCTTTTTGCACTTGTGGGTCTTCAGCCTTTTCTGTTGCCAGAAGCTCCTCCCACACTCCGAGCAGTGATGCGGCTTCTCTCCTGTGTGAGTGCGCTGGTGTATTTGGAGATACCCTCTGGCGGTAAAACTCTTCCCGCAGTCTGAGCAGTGATACGGCTTCACTCCTGTGTGAGTGCGCTGGTGTATTTGGAGAGACCCTCTGGCGGTAAAACTCTTCCCGCAGTCTGAGCACTGAAACGGTTTCTCTCCTGTGTGAGTGCGCTGGTGAAACTGGAGACCATTCTTTGAAGCAAAACTTCTCCCGCAGTCTGAGCAGCGATACGGCTTCACTCCTGTGTGAGTGCGCTGGTGTGCTTGGAGAGACCCACTGGCGGTAAAACTCTTCCCGCAGTCTGAGCAGCGATACGGCCTCTCTCCTGTGTGAGTGCGCTGGTGTCTTTGGAGAGACCCACTGGCGGTAAAACTCTTCCCGCAGTCTGAGCAGCGATACGGCCTCTCTCCTGTGTGAGTGCGCTGGTGTGTCTGGAGACTGCTCCGTTCAGTAAAATACTTTCCACACTCCTCACAGTAGTACGGCTTCACTCTGGTGTGAGTGCGCTGGTGTCTGCGGAAATTACCCAGCACGTTGAAACACTTCCCGCAATCTGAACAGAAATACGGCTTCGCTCCGGTGTGAATGAGCTGGTGCTGCTGGAGAGCACTCCGTAGAGCGAAACACTTCCCGCATTCTGTGCAACAATACGGCTTCAGGCCTGTGTGGACAGCCTGGTGTACTCTGAGAGAAGCTCTTTCTCTGAAACTCCTCCCACACTCTGCACACTGATACGGCTTCTCTCCCGTGTGGATGCGCTGGTGACTTCGGAGGGAACTTTTTCCTCGAAAGCTCTTCCCGCACTCGGAACAGTCGAACAGCTTTTCTTGGGAGTGAACGCGCTTGTGCTGATAGAGATAAGTCTGTCGACCAAAGCTCTGGCCGCACTCTGGGCAATGATACAGTTTCGACCCCGTGTGAACGTTCTGGTGTAGTCGGAGGTGGCACTGTCGATAAAAACTCTTCCCACACTCCGAGCAGCGATACGGCCTCTCTCCTGTGTGAATGTGCTGGTGTTTTTGGAGGCTAGTCTTTGCAGTAAAACTCTTCCCACACTCCGAGCAGTGGTGCGGCTTCACTCCTGTGTGAGTGCGCTGGTGTCTTAGGAAGTTACTCAGCTGAGTGAAACTCTTTCCACACTGTGAGCACTCGTGCGGCTTCACCCCCGTGTGAATGCGCTGGTGCCTTTTGAAAGAACTTCTGTTACTAAAACTCTTCCCACAGGCCGAGCAGCGATACGGCTTCTCCCCCGTGTGAACCCGCTGGTGACTCTGCAGCTCGACTGGTCGAGAAAAACTCTTCCCACAGTCTGAGCACTGGTACTTTTTCTCCCTGGCTCTGTCTTTCGTGACTCTTTTGCGAGGTGATTTAGCACACGGAGTAGCGCTGGAAGTTTCCTGACTACTGGAGCTTTTTGTGGCTGCCATATTCTGAGTTTCCTGATTTCAGCAGTCTGATGTTCTCCTCACAGAGGCGTCTCCTGATGTGTTTAGGTGGTAAGCTTGAGCTGCAGAAAGAAAGAGAACATAATGAACAGGACGTCACATTTTCACAAGTGCAGCATCTCAATGGTTACACAATTATTAGCTGACAGTGATACAAGGTGGACTGACAAGGTAGGAGAGTCTAATAGAGTGGACAGTGAGTGGACACAGTGTTTAAAAACTCCAGCAGCACTGCTGTGTCTGATCCACTCGTACCGGCACAACACACACTAACACACCACCACCACGTCAGTGTTACTGCAGTGCTGAGAATGACCCACCACCCAAATAATATCTGCTCTGTGAGGGTCCATGGGGGTCCTGACCACTGAAAAACAGGGTAAAATGGGGCTAACAAAGTATGCAGAGAAACAGATGGACTACAGTCTGTAACTGTAGAACTACAAAGTGCACCTATATAGTAAGTGGAGCTGATAAAATGGACAATGAGTGCAGAAACAAGGACATAATGTTATGCCTGATCGGTGTGTATGTATGTGTGTATATTAGCTGCATTTACACCATTCTACTGAGCCCCTAAGGTGACATGGTCATTGTTTTTTAATAAGGCTTGGCCACGCATTAAGTAAACTGTGGTCTCAATTTAGTAATTTGTGGCTACACCTTGTTAAAAAACAATCACCATGACTGTGTCCAGAAACCCTAAGAGTTACTGCTTTTCCCTACCGATCCTCCTCGTCTCCTCCTTGACCTGGACACTGATTTTGTGACGCCATCTCACTGGCTGTCCGAATACTGGAGGAGATGAGAGGAGCCGTTTAAAATACCCGCCGAAGCTGCTTCAAGCGGAGGATACGCCAGTGTCCCTGCTGAAAAAAACAGCACAGACCAGCATGCATGTCACGCTGGTCTAAGCTGGTTACCCAGCATGGTCATGCTGGTTGACCAGCATACAGTGTCAAAACACAACATATGCTGGTTTTAGAGGTGATCAGCTTATCAATTCCCATTGCTGTGACGGATGTTTTGAATAAATAATCTTTATCTTTGATAGTTCTAACAAGTAGTGTTTATTAACCAATATAATAATAATAATAATAATAATAATAATAATAATGATGTTATATTTGTATAGCGCCTTTCACAAACCCAAGGTCGCTTCACATAGCATAGGCAAACAAACAAACCAAAACCTAAGCAGTGAAAAAGGTAGAAAAATGCTGATTAAAGAGAAAAGTCTTTAAGTCAGATTTGAAGGAGGAGAGGAAGGTCTGGTGCGCGGGACAGCAAGTAAGTCATTACAAGAAGACCTGAGAGAGCGAGAGGGAGTGTAAGAGGTCAGCAGTTCTCTGAGGTAGGGGGGAGCAGGTTATGCAGGGCTTTGAAAGTGAGTAGCATAATTTTAAACATTATACGGGACGGGACCGGCAGCCAGTGTAGCTGAGAGAGAATGGGGGTGATGTGAGCTGAACGCTTAGTCTGAGTGAGAACTCCAGCTGCAGAGTTCTGAATGTACTGTAGCTTTTGTATAGACTTTACAGGGAGACCAACAAAGAGGGAGTTACAGTTGTCAATACGGGTCATAATGGAGGCATGAACCAAAGTTTTTGCATTATCGGTCAGGAACGGGCGAAGACGAGCAATGTTACGTAAATGAAAGAATGCAGTCTTAGTGAGGATCTTGATATGCAGATCAAATTTAAGTGATGGGTCGAGTAAAACACCAAGATTTCTAACAACAGGTGCAGGTTTAACGAGCAGGCCATCCATACTAACCGAAAAATTGGATGATTTTGATAGGAAAAGGTTTAGGGCCAACCAGTAAGAGTTTTATCAGCGTTTAGCATGAGAAAGTTATTGTGCATCCAGAGCTTTAAATCAGAAATACAATCGATTAGTGTATTGGGAGGGGAATCTGAGGGTGTGTGTGTACTGAGACATAACTGAACATCATCAGCATAACAGTGAAAGTTAAGGCCATGGCTACGAATGATCTGGCCAAGGGGTGAGATGTAGATGAAGAAAAATAGGGGTCCAAGTACCGAGCCCTGAGGGACACCACATGTAACAGGAGAGGTGGAGGACTTGTATGGACCTAGTGTGATGAACTGCTGTCTGTCTGTAAGATACGACCTGAACCACTGTAAGAATAGTAATCTTCACACTGTAAGACAGGCCTTAGCTTGTCTGGGAACTTGGACACCTGAGTGCCCTTTTAACAAAGAGGCATCCAGAAGTTTGTGAGAATCTGCTGTGGGAGAAAGAAGAGCTCTCCTTGAGATGATAAGAATAAATAATAAGTCTCTGGAGTAGGTGAATTTACAATACAACCAGTCAAAAGCTAATGCCCTTGGGGAAGTGGAACATCCTGGAACAGCTAAGATAAAACATTTTTAAAAAACATATATCATGTATGTTTGGAAATAAGGGTTCCCAAGGAAAAGTGTAAGGTTTGGAGATGATAGGAACAAAGATGGTATAGAATTTTATGGAAAGGGAGGAGTGACTGCTTCATCACACCAAACAGGATATAAAAATGGGTGTTTCATGACGATCTTTGCATTGTGGTTGTCCGGGAACCATCTTGCCACTGTTGTTTATTAAATAGCGACGATGTGAAGATGATGGAGAAGTCTGCGCTGACACTGTCCTGCTTGTATAAGATGTTTATTACAAAGTAAAACAGTATCATATCAAGCACTATAAAGTGCCTGAGAGGGGATCCATGCCAATTCTGCAGTGTCCCCTCCAGAACAGTATAACTAACTGCTTATATAGGGTTGCTGTCGAAGAAGGAAACAGAACATATGGTCCTTCTTAAAATGATCTCATCCATCTGGAACTAAGAGAGGAAGAGAGAGGGGCCCATTCCCTATGGGACCTTGACCCTTGGACCTTTGGACCAGGGGCCTCCTAACTTAAACATTTCAAACCTGCAAAGTCAGATAACACATGGAACTCGGAAACCACAGTACTTTATAGGTGCATTTGTGTTCATCAGGGTACAAACTATGTAGATGTACCATCTAAGGTGGGAAAAGGGCGTATTAGTACCTTTTAATCACTTAACACTTTAAAATAGATAAAATAAAATCAAATAAAAAGCCTGGAGTCGAAACAGGGTGAATGGTATGGAGCAGGGGTGTCAAACTCAGCCAGTAAAAGGACTGTATTAAAAAAACTGTGGACCAGAAAGGAAAAAGTTCTTTCTTTACTGCAAGTTCATTTAGACTTGGGCTCAGTTTCTGAGCTGCTGAGCTCACATTAAGTGTTTATACTGGTTGAACTGCAGCTGAAATGCATTTTGGTGATATGACTGGTGTGGAATTGAGGTGTAACCGCTGTCCCATAGACTGTTGTAGGGGTAGGAGAGTCAGAGCACATTACGTTGCAGTGCATGCTGGGGACTGTAGTGCAGCGCATTGTAAAATGGGCCAATATTAGAAAATAAAAATGCTTTTTCAGGCCGGACAGGATTGTGTGGCGGGCCTGGTCCAGACCACAGGCCTTGTGTTTGACACATGGGGTATGGAGTAACCAAGGTGACATGGGCTGCGTCCAGAAACATTTGCCGCTGCTCCTGTCCTCTCCCTCCTTTCCTACTGCTCCTCTCCTACCCCAGAGGAACACAGAGGAATCGAGAAGAGGAGAAGAGCAGCAGGAATGGAGAGAACAAGCAGAAACTGGGTTAATGGGGCAGCAGATTCCTTTAAACATCATTATATTCCACTATTAGGGTTGGAGGAGAAAATTGATACAGCATATTATCGCGATGTTTTGAGTGGCAATATTGTATCGATACACGAACGAGAGTATCAATGTTTTATTCTAGAAACTTAAAGTTTTTATGACCGTGTTGGTCAGTATGTCTGCTTGACAGTCCCATTTCGCTGCAGTAAAAAATGATTGAAGTTAGATAAATGGACTGAAAACTTGATTTCGTCTGATAAAACAGATGTTGACTAAGTTTTCCTTTGGGGACATAATTTTCAGTGGAAAAATGTATTGCAGCATATGTTATTGCAATACTACGGCAGCATTTTAGGGCCACTGTTAATAAGCCCACTGCCTTCCCTTTGCAAAGCCTTTGGCCACAATATTGCGACCTTTTCTGGTATTAATGCCACTTTAATGTCGTTCAAATCGCAGTAATACCATATCGCGACTGAAGTTACATGATAATGTCGTATCGTGGTGCTTTTGGTGATTCCCATTCGACTATTGACAAAACGAGCCAATCACGATGTTCGCTTGAAAGCACACCCTAAGCTGCTACACAGAGTGTGGAGGACCTTTCTGTGCCTTCTGTAAGGTAAAGTGATGAACAGTGCGAAGGATTTTTCATAATTTCTGGTAACTTCTATTCATTTCTGTGAAGTAGGTTTGTGTGTTCTTTGTACACTGTCACAAATAAAGGTGCTGTGCTGGTACATTTTTCATTCAAAGTACAAAGAATGTAAACGCACCCTAAAAGGTACAACAGTGATTTTAAGGTCCAGTTTTGTACCTTAAATAAGTTTGTCCAGGTGAAAAGTTCGTATTTGTACCTTTTCATAACTGAATGTTTTAAAACAGAACAGTAAAATAAAAGCCTGGAGGCGAGACGGTGTGTGGAGTCAGTACAGCTTAGAACATATCATTTCAGTGGATTATGGTGACGGATGTTTTGAATAAGTAATCTTTATTTTTGATAGTACTGACAAGTAGTGCTAATTAACCACCGGGAACCATCTCGCCACTCAAGCTCAATAAAGAAGAAGGCCTTTTCCTTCCTTCCACAAGAACTCAGCGACTAAAGTCTCTTATTTTACTTTGCTCTTTTACACTTTGACTATTTTTCTTATTTTGTTAGAAGAAGTTATACTGCAGTTAGCTCTTAGGGTGATAGCATCTGTCCAGGGGCCTTGGGCACAGAAGAGAGGCTCTTAGGCCCGACAGCTGCTGACCAGCATCCAAAATACAATATATGCTGGTTTTACTGGTGACCAGCAATGCTGGTCTATGCTGGTTTTTCTAACAGGGCTGTTCTACCTAGGAAGTCTTGTACAGTTTTTAGAGTGAC